CAGAGTTTGAGGTGAAACCTGCAAAAAGGTATGGAATATTTCTCAGGATATATGGGAACAGGGGTAACGTCGTATGAGGAAACCATGTGCAGCTTGTAAACCGTAAGGGGAAATGTAAGAGCAACAGAGAATGACTACGAAGTTGCTGGCAAAGCCTTCCAAGCTCGTCCTAACCATGAAACCACCTTGGACAGAGCCTGGTTTGCTCCCAAGAGAACCAAGATATCTCATCCTTTGGAAGTAATAAAATGGCTGGACCCTGGTGCTCTTATATTGTAACAAAAATCTTGTCTAAGGTTCAGAAAGCTCCCAGACCACAAAATCAGTACAGTTCTATAGCAACATAGCTCCTTTTCAGGATAAATATTTCCTTTTCAGCTTGTCTGAGCTCAAGAGGCAAATGTTGCAATCAATTTTCCTGCTATCTTCTGCAGTAGTGTGTTACTAGATGAAGACCTGCTTTGAATGCTATAGGAGTACTCAGAACCGTAGCATGGCTGAAGCTTAGCAGCCTGGAACTTGATCAGTGTTTGGATAAGGTGCCATGTCCCATGTTAGCCATTTTCAGCTTTCTAAGGGACGAGTGAGATAAAATGGTCTGGTTCCCAAATAACACTAAGCCAAACCATGGTTTAGCACAAACAAAAAGGCTCATGGAGAGGAAGCTGCAACTACCTTAATCTCTTTGGAACACTCTGCTACTGCAATGTTAAGATGTGGCTTTGACTTAGCTCCTCATCTGAACCCAGGCTTGTGGTTTAGCTCTATCCGGATAAACTATGATCTGTAGTCAAGGTCTGTCCAATGGCTTACCTCAGCGCAGCAGCAAAATGACTGGAAAAGAAGCCAAGTGCCTGCAATCTCCAATCCAGGACCCCACACGTTTGCTTGTTTACACTAAACCAAAGTTCGGCTTAGAGTTATGTGTGAACAAGATCAATTCATAATACAATAGTAAATATTACTAACAATTTTGGAAAGAGTGCTGCTGCTGTGTTCTCTGCTTGAAGTATAGTACTTTGAGGAAAAGGGTATTAATTGGTAGCATAGATTTCAGTTAATAGTTATAGAACCCTACATTAGCAGAAGATTAGCTTAAATGGTCATCAGATCTTTTGCAGCACTCTGAACAAAAGCATGATCTCTTCCCCTGCTCTTGCTTCCTATTGGTTAATATTTTTCCATATTGGAACTGGTGGGATGTATTTGAAAATATTGCAAGGAAAAGAACAATCCAGGAAAAGAATCCTTCCTCAGTATACTGCTTTGAACTTTTTGAAAGTGTAAACAGTTAAGCCAACTGCTTTCTCATTATATGTGCACAAAACTGCCACCCTATTTGCCTTCCCAAAACCACATTATGAAAAATGAGCTTTGCTAGGCCCATTTTAGAAAACACAAACTGTTCCCTTCTGCCTCTATAACAAGCCTTCACTAAAAAGAATTAAGCTACATTAAGTTTGACCAAAATTCACTTTTAAACTTTTACTGGCTAACAATTACTTTGTCAATCTATGTGCTACTACTCATTTGCAATCAAACTACAACTTTCACCAATCTTACACACATGCAAAGTTTAAAAAAGCACTGCCCTTTCCCCATTACAAACAGGAAAAAGAACAAAGCAATCCATGTAGGATATGTATTGTAATTTACTGACAAAAATGAATGGAGAAAGACTCAAATTTATGAATGTTAACCATAAGCTCTGTCACATCAGAGGTGTAAAAATGCAATACACTTTGCAGCTGGTTTATTAAGTGGTATCATATGATTGTACAATAGGTTCAGTTTTGACAAATTTGGGTATTACTGCATTTCTAAAGAGATTCCTACTTGTTTTCCAAGCACTATTAACTTTTTGGGTTTAAGCAGAGGCCTCAAAGTTTCAAGTAGAGCACCGAGTCTTTTGTTTCTTTTCGAATTAAAACCCACATTTGAGAGTTGGAAGAAGCTGCTGCTAATGTGTCTGAGGTTTGATCCTTGCAATTTTTGCTCCATTTACAGTGTGACTTTGACGTGCTGGTACTTTACCTCCCTAGCTCAAACCTCTGACAGGCTGCAGGTTAATTAGCTACTTGTAAAACAGAACAAGACCCTTACATTAGCTAATGTGAAGCACAAATTATTTTAGCCCTGTTCCGACTGGGAATGGCACCAAATAATGCAATGCAGAAAGGAACATTTATGCTAAGCCAAAGGCTCTCTGAAAGAGCCCCAAGCTTCTGTTTTGTGGTAATACTCTCTCTGCTGGATACCTACAACCTTGTTTCATGCATAAAAAGAAAAAGCAAGCCCTCTGAGAATGCGCTTTTGCGTTACGATGCAAGCAACCCGCTCAGCCTTCTGTAGCACTGAAGCCTGCAGCTATCAGCTCTCCCACTGGGAAGCCAGAGGTTCAGAGTGGTACAGGGAGCAGCTGCTACAGAGGGGAAATTTACAAGGGAAGGGAGCAGTTTAAGTGTAACTTGCAGAAATCAAGGGATAGCAGCCTCAGGTCAGAGGGTAAATTTTAAAAGGAGGCTTCCCTTGAGAGCATGGGGAGGGGGCGTGATTAGTTCTGGAGAGGAAAATGCTTTCTTGATTTATTTTAAAAATTAATTTGATGGCTCCGTGCTGACAGAAAAAACAAGCGAGCACCTGCCACATCTATTATACTAGACAGCGACAGTCACCACCTCTATTCTACTGTACTAGTAGGAGCTTTGTTATCTTTTAGGAAGAGATGTTTTTAACAGAATAGATTCTACAGTGGCAGTGGGTTCAAAGCTACAGATTAGATGGAGAGCCTCTTACTCAGATCTAGGTTTGCTCCCCTGATCCCAGCAGGCTTGAAATTGCCCTTGGCTATATTCCTCTTCCCCCACCTCTCTTGTTCAAAACCAATTTGAATGGGAAATGAAATGTGGCTCCAGAGACAATGGTTTACTGTAAAGTTTTTGCTGCAATGCGTGGTGTTAAAAATCTGCAAAGACCCATGCAACCAGGCTACTCTGTAATGAAAAGCTATAAAGAATACCCAGGTGGGAAACACAATACCAGTGGCTAATTGAAGCAACCAACAATATTCCTCAATAGAATTCACGAGTGCTGTTCAGAGAGAGAGAGAGAGAGAGAGAGAGAGAGAGAGAGAGAGAGAGAGAGAGAACACTTCTAAGCCCCTGAACTCTACTTCCTAATAGAAGATCACAACAAATCTCAAGACAAATCATCCTAATGTTATTGCTTGTCACTCTGCCTCATATATGCAAGGAAAACCAGAACTGGAGACAAAATGTTAGCGTTTAAAGAATACAGATGCACAGAAACATAGATTTCCAGACCGAACTTAGAAATCAATTTCTGACCTTGGATATGCCATTCTCCTATTGGTATTTTCTCCCCGTGTATAAAGAGGATCAATTCTCTGATGAAGCTAGCTTCGTTTGTGTTCTTTAAGAGCATTCAAATTAATGTTTAGCACTTTTATTTTGTCAAGTACTGAACAGGGAATAGTTGTGGGAAGCTCTTTAGAGAGAGCTTACAATTCTTATGAATCGTCATCGAAACCATTCCGCTCAAAAGGAAACTTGGCCATAAATGCTGACAAAGCATATATTCTTCCTGAAAAATGTGCACTCCTGGTGACAGGGTTAATGATGTTTGAGCAGCCTCTCACCCTGACCTGCCCCTCCACATATTCCAGCTTTAATGCACTTGCATGATTTCACCCTTCCCCCAGAGCAGAGGGTGGGGAGGAAAATGGCCTCCACCTCCAGTTATTTTCTACATGGTTTAACCCCCTGGTGCCAGGTTTAGTGCCTTACTGCAGAACGGAATGCATTAAATGTGCAAATCCCACGAGGGGTGGAATAGTTTATCTGGTAGGGGTTAAGACAAAATGACAGCCTTCCTCATTCACGAGGCTTTTTCCAGAACAATATTTCCAAGTCTGAAATAATCAATATACAGCATTCTCTCTCCCCTCCCCCCCCATTCCCAAATCCTGTTTTCTTCTATGGTGGTACTGAACTGGAGAACTGTCAGCAGCTTTCAGGCCCACAGAGAGTAACAGCCCAGCCTAATATCAGTTTCCAGATCTAGATACCCCCCCCCCCGCGCGCCTTTTTCCTCATGTCTCTCATCTGTAACGCAGAAAATTCTTTGGGAGAGATTTTAGCAATGTCACCTGCTCTAACAATTTCTGCTGAAGGATCTGGCCACCATTGAACTGATGCTAACTTTTTTCAGACATTATGCTTCTTTTATTGGAAGCATAATGAACCCAAGTCAATATTGGGAATGCTGGGTCCTAAACTTGGTGGCAGATAGAACCCAGAACCACACAGAACTAGAGCTTAATTCTCAGTATGTGCTAAAACTGCTTAGGGTGCACTGCAGGAGCAGGGAATCATATGACTGAATATTCCCAGATGCGAAAATTAAAATAAGTTAAATAAGCTTTCCGCACAAAAAATTAGATACTAGGGAGAAGGGTTCTAGCTTAGCCTTCTCCTTGTTGTATTAGCTTTCTGTCTGTAGAAACCCTCCAGCAATCTGAAGTGGTACAGTCCAGACGTTTGGGTGAAATCTAAATTGGAAAGCTTTCTGCAACACTGTGGGCAGCCTCATTCCTTAGCCAGGGTAACGGGGTGGGGTGGGGACCAAGACACAAGTGAACATTTCAATTATTCTGTTCTAAGAGGACGGGTCCCAAGGAATATTACCCCCAAATTAGTAAGAAACCTATGCTTAAAAAAAAGAAATTAGAAAGCCATATGCTCCTAATTCAGCAATAAGCACTGCTACATGATCTCTTAACACAAACTCTTTAATTCTATAAATTGGGCTTGGAGCTAGTCTGATGATACGGGAGATTAAGATCCTTGATCGACCAGGAAGTTTCATCAAAGCAAGTAAGATAAAACAAGTAGGATTACAGGATTAAGCGATATATATGCTGCAGTTTTTCAATTTTTCAAATATTTATTACTCTAGTAGTGCTTGCCCTGGAACCTTACCTTTTTGGAGGCTGTGGAGACATTCAAGCCAAATCTCTGAGCCCTTTCCTTTAATTTGTCTATATTTACCTAGAAAAGTCACAGGAAACAGTTTAATATAATCTCCACTTATATTCTTAGATTAAGGAATCCTAAAGACAATATGCACTTATGCCAAGGAAAATGGAAGAGATCTGAAATTTAGTGTTTGTATTGATGAATTTGCTAAACCCTAATAAAAATCCTCTTTCTATACTGCAGCAACCCCTCTTACCAATTACGGAGGGAAGGAGAATAAGATGGCATCCAGAAGTTCAGAATTTTACTGCAAACTGCTTCTAAGAAGGATTTGTGCTAGTGTTTTAGTAGAGGGATTTTTAAGAAGACTGATTCTTCTATTTTAAAATGTGTTGACAACAGTAAAAATGGAGCCATCACATCTGTTGTTGCCAAATCAATTGTGTTTTGTATATCTTCAATAAATCATGTTTAATGTATTGTGATTTTTTTGGGATCTGATTTGCATTTTGAACTCTATAGCAACATGTATATACCATTCTACTCTTAAAGATAAACACAGGAAAGTATCAAAGAGAAAAAATATATTTTCACCAAATTTCAGCACCATCTCAGATTTGAGAAGATGCCATGTCTAATTACATTCAGAACTAAGAAGCATTTGGCATGAGCTGAATGTTTTAGCAGCTTGCGTTGTGTCCCGCCCCACCCAGTGACATATTGGGGAGCAAGAAATTCTCTGTAAAATTGGGATCCATCTCTTTCTCTTGGCAAAGTTCTCACTGGGAGGCAAGAAGGAATCTTGCTGGGCGCTGCTTTGCAGATCAATTCTTTTAAAGTGCTACAACAGCATTTTTAAGGACATGACAGGCAGCAGTGTCATTCTCCTCTCTTAGCAAATTGCTATGGGGTGTAGTGGCAGCCCTGCAGATAAAGTTGCAAGTCTGCAGTTGCCAACTTTAAAGGAGGCCAATCGGCACCCCTGCTTGATTAAAAATAACTGAAACAGACTTTTCTTTTTTGGGTGTGATAAAACTATTTTTTTAAAAAAAGTTCTCTACATTCCGTTTCAGTCCTAATTTGGCCAAGAAATTTACATTAGGGAAGTTTTGCCCACTTCCCTTAAAGCTATTTCAAGCAACATAGCATCCTTTATGAGGAATATCTAATAGTTGCTAAATGAGCATATATTGCAAAGATTTATACTATAGGGGACCCTGGAATCTTTAGGCGGGAATCTACTTCATGATATTGTCAAAGTACTTCCCAAGTAAGCAGCAGAGCCGAAGACTGAAACTAGCATTTGTTCTACTAGAACTAGAATGATCCTCAAGAAACACTGCCTAAATTAGCAGGGCAACTAGCCCTTTGTTCTTAATACTATTATCAGTAGTGCACATAGTGCTTTGCAAAGTAACATAAGCAACACGTTCTAAAAGTGTAGCCTTGTTGTAGATTAATAAGTCAAAAGGAGTTAGGCTCCTATCTCAAAGAATTGACAATCTAAATTTTGACGATAAGAGAGTCATGTCTTATCGGAGGATGAATACGAACAAATGCCCACGCTTAGACATCATTTTGGCCAGAAGTGACAACTGAAGGGTTAAGCCAAAAGCTTCACAGAAGAAAGAAGCTTGAAGGGGAGGGATGGTAGTGGTGGAGAGGTGGCAGTGGGAAGGAGCAACTTCCAGGCATAGAGGCAAGGGAGAAAGTGAAGAGACACATGAAGGAAAATAAAGACTTTTCAAGAACTGACTGTTGTCAAAGAAGGTCATAAGCAAAGATCTGCCAGCAGAAAGACAAGATGAGGCAAATCTGTTACGTCTGATGGCAATGGCAAGGCATTGGTGCAGGATGGGCGGGGGGGGGTGATTGAAAGGATTTGAATAGATGTGTCATATGACTTAATAAAAAGAGAAGTGAAGAAATGAATTTGGGCAACAGCTTTTTAGATACAGTGAGATGCAACAAAGCAAGGTCAAATAGAACAAATTAGCAGTAGTTAATGGAGGAGACAACCAGAGAATGAACCAGTTTTTCATCCGACAGAACAAAAAAGAATGGACAGATCTGTTGGATATGAACTTTGTGACAGAATGAATATGGGGAAGCCAAGGAGAAGGGAAAATGGGGGGGACGGGACCAGCAAGGCTTCTTGCTTGGTTTACTACCTTTGAACTAGAACAACAGAATCTGAAGTTGTACATGGGAGAAAACAAATTAATATACCTGATTTCCTAAGACGATAGAAATGCTTTTAGCAATGGAATAAAGAACACAATAGACATGCAGTATGCATCTCATCTTTTACTCCATTAGGCATCAAAGAACCACAAAAAGTGAAAAAAGAAAGCAAAACATTTCAAAGAATTGGATCCAAATAAAAATTATATGCTTGTCTTGAGGTGCCCACTCACTAAAGAGCATAGTTTTCAGATACTGTTTTTGCCTGTCAATTCCCCCCCCCCCCGGGTGGATTCACTAGCAAGTTTTAATGAATGAAGTACCATTGTAAAACCAAGCCAGCTATAAATGTAAGCAAAGTAGCTACTTACTGTAGTTTTACTTTCTGTCGCAAGACCTGAAATAGGGAACAAAAACCATTTTAAATTATCATATTTGAAACAAGCTTTCTTCCGATTGCCTAAATAGTAAATTTAAAAAGTGGTTAGAATAAAAGTAGTGGTCTTAAAGCAAAAGAGACTCAAAAGATGCTTGAAGTAGAAATTTTTATTAGAATATATAATGGCTTAGATTCTAAAATTAATAGGGCATTAGCAGAATAAATGTTTCCTGTTTCCTGCAATCTCCGAAAAGCTTCTCAAGGAAGCTTGGGGAGCCCCACCTGAACAAAATGGGATGGGAAGGAAACTTTCTCTCTTTGAACTTTCTTAAGATTGCAATCCTATATCCAGGTACCAAAGTACAAGCCTCACTGAGCTCAGTGGGACTTTTAGTATCTGCCAGTTACTCCATCAGGGGTCTGCCATGTTCTGTGGCCTACACCAACTTTCTAGAAAGTCTATGCTGGTACTATGTGTTACCACCTTAATTCTAAAATGATTTATCCTCTAACAGAAATACAAACATTCATTCTAATTGTTAATCCAGAGTTAAGCACTGGGACAAATAATAATTTTGTCACTTGCATCTACAGCTTTTGGTCCTTGCTTTGGCCCTTCAGAGACCTGCAGAATCCATCACATTTAGTTCATAATGATGCCACGGGTTGGATTTCCAGTGGTTTAGTAAAAACATGGTATTTCCAAATCCAGGTTATTCTGGGATTTACTATGTAATTCCATAAAAAAGATTCAGTTATATTAATTTATCAGCAAGAGGATCTTGCAAGGAGATTAAAAATCCAGTGAATAACCATGGCTGGAACCATGTTGCTAATGTATTTGTAAGGGTACAAAGACAATGAAACTTCATTTTCAACCCTCTTTTTACAGCATGGTTGGAAGAAAAATGGTCACAATCATTCAAAGGAAGGCAAAAATATGAGATACTGCTTCAAGAATCACATACCTTTAGTTGAAGCTGCAGGCATACCAAACCTGTGGAGAAGAGAGAAACCCTGGTTAGGGACTCTGAGGTTTTGGGTCTCTAAACCATGATATAGATTAGAAAACAATTTTAATACAAGTTAAGTTGCGAATTACCTTGTAAATCTGCCATTACATACCTAGACTACTAGATTGAATCAGATCAGCAATTGAAGTTGGATCTACATAGCATTTCTGCCTTGTTCACAAGATAATCAACAATCAAGCAGAACAGATGGTCCAAAAGGGAAATTGTGGGTTATTCTTCCTTGTAGCATATTACTTGCCATTACTCATTGTTTAATAATCGGATGTTTAAAGCTCTGGATCTTTCACAAGTCTTCAATGTACTTTTCTTGATATGAAGAGCAAGGTATCTTATCAGCAGATGGTAACGTTAAACACGGGACGCGGGTGGCGCTGTGGGTAAAAGCCTCAGCGCCTAGGGCTTGCCGATTGAAAGGTCGGCGGTTCGAATCCCCGCGGCGGGGTGCGCTCCCGTCGCTCGGTCCCAGCGCCTGCCAACCTAGCAGTTCGAAAGCACCCTCGGGTGCAAGTAGATAAATAGGGACCGCTTACTAGCGGGAAGGCAAACGGTGTTCTGTGTGCGACTCTGGCTCGCCAGAGCAGCGATGTCACGCTGGTCACGTGACACGGAAGTGTCTCCGGACAGCGCTGGCCCCCGGCCTCTTGAGTGAGATGGGCGCACAACCCTAGAGTCTGTCAAGACTGGCCCGTACAGGCAGGGGTACCTTTACCTTTACCTTTAACGTTAAACACACCTTGTATGGTATTTTCCTCATTTTTTAATCCCTTCCACGACCTTTTGTGTTGCTCATGAATAGCAGCACAGAAGTGAAAACATGGGATATTACTTAATTTATGATAATAATAATTTGCCTCATTTATTTGTCTCATTTCAGGATTGTCTTAACATTTCAAAGCATGTGAAAAGAACTGACCAGACAACCAGTTGTTCATAGATTTTATGGTAATTTTGACATCTTCTGGGGGGGAGACAGACTTCTACCTGGAAAAGGACATTATGAGAGAAGTCTACTATGCCCTGTTTTTGTTTTTCTAAAATATTATCTTGGATATTTCCCCATTCCCTTTCTATCTTCCATTGAGTCTATGAAACAGTTTCTCTTAGACGAAAGACTAAGATTTAACACTCTGGATAGGCTATGGAAGTATGAGGACAACTGTGAAATTCTATTTAAGCCATGCAAAGTTTTCAGGGTTTAAGCAAGCATCTCTACAAAGCAACGAAGCCATTTTTGGTTACCCACAACTCAAATTCCAAAGGTCCTCCATCATAGTCACTGCAGACAACTAGAACATATCAGTTGCACAATGCATCTATAATAAACTTTGACCTGCACAAGGCAATGGTTAAAAAGCAATCACAGAAAACAAATAATGACAACAAATAAAGACTTACCGAGCTGCTCGTGCAGCCTTCTTACTCTCCAAACTCACAGGTACATTGAATCTCTCTGCCCGTTTCTGCATTCTCTAAAGTGGAAGTTAAAGAAATACAAATATGTTAGGACAATATAGAAAAAGAATGCATTTTGTTCCAGATTTATGAGTAGTCATAAGTATATTCCCACCTGCACCTATTAAACTTTTCTGCTTATTCCAAGATTTGGAAGAAAATATGCTATGGAAGCAGGGCAATTGTTGCGGTGAGACACCACCAGGTCCATCCAAACACTGAGACTGTCAACTTCTATTTCCTATCTCTACTTGAGAATCTCTGACTGTTTCTCCTGATGCAACAATCAACATGTTTTAATGAGCCAGAGGTTACGACAACTCTGACAATATGGACACAGAATAAGTGGTAAACACCCAGTAAACCTGTGTTTCTGTTGGTAGATATGAAATGATCCATCTTTGTGGCTAAGAGCATATTGAGGTAGGCAAAATTTTAAACTACCAAGAATACAGCGCCAATCCCTTAACAAGAGAGAGACAGAATAGTGCAAATGGCTGTTCCAGCAGGCATGCTTCTGTTCAGAAGCCCGGTTTCTCTTTAGCCAACACAATATATGGTATGTAACCTCATGCCCTTTGCTATAAAGGTAAAGGTACCCCTGCCCATACGGGCCAGTCTTGACAGACTCTAGGGTTGTGCGCCCATCTCACTCTATAGGCCAGGGGCCAGCGCTGTCCGCAGACACTTCCGGGTCACGTGACAAGCTGCATCTGGCGAGCCAGCGCAGCACACGGAACGCCATTTACCTTCCCGCTAGTAAGCTTCCCGCTAGTAAGCGGTCCCTATTTATCTACTTGCACCCAGGGGTGCTTTCGAACTGCTAGGTTGGCAGGCGCTGGGACCGAGTGACAGGAGCGCACCCCGCCGCGGGGATTCGAACCGCTGACCTTTCGATCGGCAAGTCCTAGGCGCTGAGGCTTTAACCCACAGCGCCACCCGCGTCGCGCCCTTTGCTATAGCCATCGGTATTTAGAAGAACGTTTAGCTCAGAGGTCGCCAACGTGGTGTGCCACAGATGTTGCAGGATTACAACTACCATCATCCATTAAATTCGCCATGTTGGCTGGGGCTGATACCATCAGAAGAGCGCTGTATTGGCTACTCCTATCTTAGCTACTATGAAGGGATATGTGTACCTGCTTCAGACACATACACAACCAGGGCAGCTGAAATAGATGTTGGCAGTAATGTTGCACATTTCAACCAGAAAAAGCTCTGCCCAGAAGTCACAGGAATAGCAGCCCCGGCATGAATACAAAATGAGCAACTTATTTCCCCACCTAGCTGCAGAAAGCAAGTGACAGCTCAAACAGATCACAGCTGATCCGGAAACATGCAAAACAGAACTTCATCAGAAGTTAAGATAAAATCTCTCTTACAAATGAAAAGCAAAATTGTTTTACAGAACATGGCAGGAGTCCAAGAACATTTGCTGTCATAGGCTCATAAAAAGGCTACTTTTCACAAATAAATAATTTTGCATGGAATACATGATTCAACGTACGTTCGTTTGTGGCGTAAATGAAAGATGATCAGACATAGAAATATAGTTACTTACAATAAATAACTGTATGAAACATGCAGAAAGCCCAACATATAAAGTATTTCTGCATAAAAAGAAGATAGCTTCATTCCTAATGGCTAAAAGCTTCATGGATGCAGCAACATATCTATGACGATCAAATTAAAACACTTCATGGTATGACCTACTGTCAACCTAAGAAATGCACGAACCCTTCATTGGACAGCACAACCCATTGCTAATTCTTGCAAACAGTAAACTTGTTCACTAAAGTGAGGTTTTCTACAAGTTGAGAAGAATCTCAATTCCTTATGTGACCTGAAAGCAGTTCAAGTGCAGCACCCTTAATGACAGTGCTGAAAATAAAACCCTGTTGCTCTGAGAAGGTCATGATACACTAGGTACGTCAATTGAGTCTGGAAGGTATTTACATTATAAAGTTTAAAAGTTTCATGAAACATCAAGGGATTTGAGAAAGAATGGAGTTTGGCAGACTTGCAAATCGAAAGCAGAGGGAGCAAGAGAAGACGCAAGTAGAATAATTTAATGATCCCTTGATGAAGGCTTCCCACAAAGTTTAGAAGACGTCACTCTTTCAGTACCAGCTCCATTTCAGATAATTTTCCATTTATTGTTTCTGGTTACTTGCCCCACCAAAGTAATAATCCATGATTTGTGACATCAGTCCTCAATTGCTGTGGTCAGCTTACAGGCAGATTAGATCTTGAAGGTGACAGTTGAACAGCAGGGAGACAGACTTGTGTTTTCATATCAGCTTCCTCAGTTAGAGAGAGCGCAGTGGAAAGTGATGAAAATAAAGGATTAAGGAAGCCAAACAGATGTAAGAGAGAAAGTGTATGCCAGGTTTATCCACAGAACCCTTTGCTCCCTTAGAAGAAGGCCAAACTCTGTATAAGAGACAGAATTACAGACGTGTCCATATCTCCTTTAATGTTGGAAGCGGCTCCTAACGCGAGTGTGGAGAAAGAGCCACAGAATGAGAAGAGAACAATTTGAAGGGCAGATATGGAGGCATAGTAAATACATTTCATCTCACACTGCGAAATAATAAGTAATCAGTTCTCCAAAACTGGTCTAGTGATTTCTCTTGCCAATGCAAGCCAAAAGATAACACAGGCTGCATTCATTTACTAATTGCAATAGAGCTACACATCATAAAGCTAAGAGAGACTACTGCAACAGATATATGTGGCATAGGAGAATTAAGGCTAATAAGACACAGTACAAACTACAACTACTGAACCCAAAGCTAACCTTTTCAGTTTTTAGGCAGAAGTGGGGAAAGCTGCTTATCAGTGATGCAATAGTAGGGGATTCCTGCATTGGCAGGAGATTAGACTTGTTGTTTAGTTGTGCCCGACTCTTCGTGACCCCATGGACCAGAGCACACCAGGCACTCCTGTCTTCCACTGCCTCCTGCAGTTTGGTCAAACTCATGCTGGTAGCTTCGAGAACACTGTCCAACCATCTCGTCCTCTGTCGTCCCCTTCTCCTTGTGCCCTCCATCTTTCCCAACATCAGGGTCTTTTCCAGGGAGTCTTCTCTTCTCATGAGGTGGCCAAAGTACTGGAGCCTCAGCTTCACGATCTGTCCTTCCAGTGAGCATTCAGGGCTGATTTCCTTCAGAATGGATGGGTTTGATCTTCTTGCAGTCCATGGGACTCTCAAGAGTCTCCTCTAGCACCATAATTCAAAAGCATCAATTCTTTGGCGATCAGCCTTCTTTATGGTCCAGCTCTCACTTCCATACATCACTACTGGGAAAACCATAGCTTTAACTATACGGACCTTTGTTGGCAAGGTGATGTCTCTGCTTTTTAAGATGCTGTCTAGGTTTGTCATTGCTTTTCTCCCAAGAAGCAGGTGTCTTTTAATTTCGTGACTGCTGTCACCATCTGCAGTGATCAAAGTCCCTCCTTCCAACTGTCTGATAGCTTAGCACAAGGGGTAGCCAATATAGTGTCAGGGTTGATCAGAGTTGCAGTTCACAATTTCTGGCAGGCACAGTGTTGGCTACTGCCGTGCTGGACCATGGCTTAGCCTGTACAAACCCAAGCATGGTGTAAGGTTTACATGTTTCCCTCAACCCTCTCCTCTTCCTTCATGGCCAGAAAGATGACTTCAGCAGAGTTTATTTCACTTTTTAACATTACATTTGAACCAAGAACCCTGGTTTAAGCTAAACAGTTAGTTGAACAAACGAACTTCATAGCCTATGGTCTGAAGCTGGTTAAGAACTGACAAGAGTCTGTTTCAAATAAGAATCCCTGGTTCAAATGTAATATTAAGCCCAGGTTCTTTAAAAGTAAAGCTAAACTTTGCTGAAGTCCTCCTCCTCGTCATGTAAAAGCAGGGGAAGGAGAGAAACATACTTGGGCTCAACTACATAGCACTAATATATGGCTTAGTGTTAATGTGAATGCACCTATGACTTTATTATACAGAAGCAGTTCAGAGGAAATGGGGGGGGGGATATTGCTTCCTGCTATGTAAAATGGCTCAAGCAGTCCCCGTTCCCCATCTTTCTACAATAAACAAGCCAAGATTCTCCATGATGGCTGAACTCCAGGAACTGTGTTTTGTTTAAACTATGCTTTGTGAGAACTGTGGTTTGTTTACAATGGGAAGCAGATGCTCCCAATATCTCTTTCTAGTGCCCAAAAGCAGAGGAGAGAGGAAGGTGAACAACCTGGTAATAGCAGACCAACAGCAGACTAGAAACAGAAAAACTCAGTAACATACGCTATAAAACACTGGCCAAATCTGAGCTACATGTGCTAAAATTATGGTGGAGACAGAACACTATTTCCAAATGTCGGAGCCTAGTTGTTAAACTCAGATGAAAATAATTGAAAAAAGAGAAAACCTTACCTCCGTTTGTGGAATTTCTGAGGCAATTTTCACCACCTTCTTCTCTGCACCTCTAGAGGAAGATAAATTGACAGACTGAAGCATAAATAACATATCAACTGTGTCTATTTTCAACAATTTAATCTGTAGCCAAGCCTGAACTATTTCCTGCAAGTGGTTTTTGAAGGACATTTGACTATGACTGCAGTTTCTGTTTGAGCTCCAGAAGTCTGTCCTGTCTTCCCTAAAGCTGTTGTCAGTGTAACAATAATTTATATTTGAAAAATGCTCAGTAAACACTATTTTAATACGAGGTGTTCTACTTCAATAATATACTGCTTTAAAAAATAGGAAGCTATATTGACACAATTCAGTGAAATACTGGCAATACCAGGATAAGGAGGCATTAAAAATCAGCATCTGGTGGTACTGATTTAAAAAAATTTAAAAATGGGTGGGTGGTGGAATAAGAGATAATTGATTATGAAATCCAAACTTCCTCAGAATTAATTTTATGTGGTCATAAACAATATTTTATTTAAGATAAATGTAGGAATTTAGTAGGAAATTACATTGGCAAAGATACCCTGGAAAATGTAGTATCAATTGAAGGTAAGATTAGGGAAAGTTGCATATTGCATTAACTGATATGGTAACAAGATATTTTGGAATTTGTAAAATATATGTAGAAACATACATATATATTGAATGAGACCTAAGTAACAGTAAAATGATACAAAATACATTGTAAAAAATTAGATTTGAAGATGGAATAAAAGATGAAATCACTAAACGGGATCTGTGTGCCTAATGGCCTGGTGGATGGTCAGCCAGTTTGTTAATTTAAATTTTGTACATGCTCAGAAACCAACAAGAAACGTGATTGCTTACAGACTATATAGTTTCCAACCAGGAAGAGACAGGCAACAGTAACAGCACGTGCTGAAACTGAACCGAGTCTGCAGTTCACATAGTACTGCATGAGTCAATTAATGTATGCATGGATATATATTATAAAGAGAACCGGGGGTACAAAAGAAAGAATTTGACTGTGTAAAGGTAAGTATGCTGTCTTGATAAGGGCAAACCTTTAATCAACTCATGGGTTCCATCTCTGCTCTAGCAAGATGGAGCTTGGTAGTCACTTTCTGCTTGTATGGTGACAATCCTCGTATTTAGCCTCTGTTTAAACCCCAATTATCTGTACAACCTTGAAAAGAATGAAATTATCTTCAACTCTGTATGAAACAGATGTCATTCAACTTGAAAGGATAGGAAGAATAAAGGGAATAGGCAAAGTATGAAGATGAGGAACCAAGAGACATTACAGAACTCCAGACTCACTGTCTCTCTCACATGCCAATGTAAACTGGACTCTTTATCTGAAGTTTGAATTACATATTCAAATAGTTGGGTGCGTTCTACACCAGTTAGATAAATGAGGTCCTATTTAGCATGTAATCATTCGCATAGTATAACCGGTATAAACCACTTACGATGAACAGCCAACCCCAACCAGAAACCTCAAGCTTATGCTATATGCCGTCAGATCTTTATTCTTTTATGACCACATTTTCACAAAGGGACTGCTGTGTTGTAGTTCATGGGACAGCTATGGTTGACTTTTGGCCAGGTCAGCTATAGCTCCATTTCAAACACACACTTCTTTAACAATGTGCAATGGGAGCCAGTAAACAACTCAAACAAAAATATAATGGAGTGGGCGTGCTTGGAAGTTTATGCTCTGAAAACAGGGTTGAGGTTTGCAAAAGAAAACAAAGGAAGAAGATGCAAAGTTCGGAAGTTCCCAGGCTAAATGAAACAGCATCCTCCTCCTCCAAACAGCTCCCATAAAACAGTGGGTCATAGCCTGACTCATTAAGGTCTCCCATTTAGAGAAATGGATGGCTTTTGTTCAGGATTCCTGGACAGTTTTTCTATTTTATGCCCTGAAAGGTAGTAATGGTTTAATGACTTTTTCACAGGAAGCAATTCAGAACAGGAACCAGGGACTTGTTACCCCTGCAGCACTGTTTGCTGCCTTCTGTTTGTGATGCAGAGAAAGGGCACCCCCTGCTGCCTAGGAACAGCCACTACACTAAAATTCACATAATCGTGGTCTCCAAACTGAAAATTCAGCTGTACAGCATAGGATTTGGTCTAATTGTATGCTTTTTGGGTTGCTACTAATTGCTAATAGATCAGGGTTATGTAATAATATGCTGCAACAACAGTCATTCAAATCAAAAATCCCAATAAATATAGGGCAGACAGCAACACCTGACTGGTATTTATGGGAATGATGGTTAGAAACTCAAGCTTGTAATTTTCATTCAATAGGAATTTTCCCATATATTTGCACAGAAAACGCAATGATCCAGATAATTTTTTCTCATTGCACCATGAATACAGCCATAGCTTGAACTAAGAACTTATTCCGTTAGAACTGTACTCACCCTTTCACATTATGCACAAATGCCACTGGCATAAAATATTCAAGCTTCTAAGACTACAATCCTAACCTGTTATCTGTGGGTGAGCTCCACTGAATTCAGTGCATCTACATTCCAATGACTTTGGTGCCAAGAAAGGCACAACGTATACATAAAACAGAGCAGGGACCTCCATAATGCAAATTACGGTAGCAGCACATTCTCCCAAATAATCACTTGTCTTCTCCTCAGCTCTATTTTGCCATCTGATAAAAATGTACCTAATTTCTACAGCTGGAAGAATTAGCCAGAAAAAGGTCTAAATATGAATTGGGACAATTAGAGTACTTTATTCTAATTACCTTCTAATAATTGAGAACAAAATACTTTAGTTACAAAGGGTTTTGCTGGTTCAATAAGTTGTTTTATTATCTTTTCTCTGTAAGCTGCCTTGAGAGCGCTATGGGGATGAAAAGCGAAGTGAACATATTCCAAACAATTAATAAAGAAATACACCTAGCGAATGTGAAAACTGTGCCCTCAGGTAATTCAGGCCACTGCATGCAATTACTATAGCGAGAAATCCTTGTGCATCTGGTTCAGTCTGATAAGGAAGCTGAAAGCAGCTAGAAGAGCAAGGATATGGGATCTGCTCATAAAACACACAGACCTGCTATATTTTATCTATCTTAAAACCACACATCTCAAAATGTGAGGCAACCCGGTTAGGAGATGCAACGTAATTGCTAGGGGCGGTGGTAGTTCACCCTCCTTGACCTCTTTTCCCTGCACAGTTTGTGTGCATGAGGGTCAGGAGTAGGCTGCATACCCCTTCAAATGTTTAGCTGATGAATGGCACAAGGGACAAATGGGCAATTTGCTTCTCTATTTTAGCCTTTAAAGCATGTCGTTGACACAGGTGGCCCTTTTCTTTTTTACAACTTGCCCATTCCTTGATGTGGAACGAGAATGAGCTTTGCAAGCTAAACTGTGTACTTTTGCTTTGTCTTTACTAACGCCAAGATGGCTCTAACAATTCTTCTTACACCTACAAAGGCTAACAAGAACCGAATGTGAGATTCTCTGTTAAGAGAGACAGAGAAAGACAATATACTGACAAGAGACTAGGGAGCTAATGCCATTCCGGGGGTGGAGGGAGAGATATGGTAAAACTACTTAGGTTACAAAATTTAGCTTTCCATGGTGCAACATTTTTATTATATTGGTGAAAAATTCTTACTTCTTTATTAAGTTCAAAATATATGTAGCCTTAAGAGATTTTGAGGTTGGATTGCCATAGACATTTGGCTCAAGGATGATAGAGTAAATCCCTAATGCAAAGATGTCCAATAGCTTGGATGTTCTATAAAAGAATATGGGACTTTGTCAATTCCAAAAGGGTCTACATTTAATTTTAACTTTTAGCTAGCCTTCTGGTTTGCGATTTCCAAAAAAGCCAAACTATTCAACATGTGATCCCTAGCCACCACTAGTCATCCATTCATCTATAGAGTTACAGATTCATATAATGACAAAGTCTCAGTGGTCAGGTGGCACACAAATACTGAAGGTAAACAAACACATTAATGTTTGACCAATAAAAAAGGTAAAGGTACCCCTGCCCGTACGGGCCAGTCTTGACAGACTCTAGGGTTGTGCGCCCATCTCACTCAAGAGGCCGGGGGCCAGCGCTGTCCGCAGACACTTCCGGGTCACGTGGCCAGCGTGACATCGCTGCTCTGGCGAGCCAGCGCAGCACACGGAAACGCCGTTTACCTTCCCGCTAGTAAGCGGTCCCTATTTATCTACTTGCACTTAGGGGTGCTTTCGAACTGCTAGGTTGGCAGGCGCTGGGACTGAACAACGGGAGCGCACCCCGCCGCGGGGATTCGAACTGCTGACCTTTCGATCGGCAAGCCCTAGGCGCTGAGGCTTTTACCCACAGCGCCACCCGCGTCCCGTTTGACCAATACGTTCTAGCTTATGAAGGGCAGATAATTACACTTCAGTTGATTTCTCAATAGCTACTTCCTCTTTGATAGGAGCATCTGTGGGCTTCTGTTCTTCCTCCTGCAACATAAACAGTCAAAAGGAGAGAGGTAAACCTAGAGAACAAAATGAATATAAGCCTCACAAAAGATGTTAATGAGAACTACAGATAACCATCTGATACGATGCAAATCTTATTGGACATAGGAACCAGAGTTCAATGGGACCTTAAACATGAATAGAATCTCAACCTTGCAAAGTCTTGTGGGCAAATTTACATACAGGCCACGACCATTTTGTGCATCAGTGGAGCACAATTGTAAAAGTTACAAGTGCAACTGTACTTATTTGTGTAAATAGTTAGGGGTGGTTCTTATGCCTTTTAGACAGCTAAATTCAGAACTGAATGTAATACTCTTTGGGTGAAGTCCAAATTATGTTATGGGCATCATAGTTTATTTATTGGACTGATGTAAACCATCAATGTTTCTGAGCACAAATGTGTTCCAAAGCCCCAATGCCGAAAAATGTCCAGTTATCCAGATGTACAGTATTTTATGTCAGCATGAACAGCAATCATGTTTACTGTATATATAAGCCTGATCGTCCAAATAATTTGAATTTTTGTGAAGCAACTGGGACACGCAAGATTACATTGCACTTTATGGGTTGTTGTTTTTTTAAAAGATTCACAAATAACTCACTAAGCAGTCTACATTCTAAAAACAAGACAAAACAAAACAAAAAACTAATCTAGAACTGGAATCAGAAATGTGATTACTCAGTGTTGCTTGAGCTTAGAAATACTACTTAAAATTCATTCTCTTTCAGACTATTGGCAGGATGGATTCAGTTTTTTGCAACCTTAATTAAATACAAGCTTTGCAATCATGAAAGAAACCCTGAGTAATTTCAGTGTGCACTCCGACACTAATACTGGGACACAGTGGTAATAAACAAACATTCAATTCCTTGACTATTCTATAACTTCAGTTAACCTTAAAGTTAATAAAATACAAACCCAGGTTTCCCATTTTATGCATCTTGCTAAAAACTAATCTCTTAGCAAAGCAATATTTTAGTAACCACAAATAGTAAAAACAGTTGTATGAAGAATGATAAATTCAAACTCAACCACCGTTTAATGTGTACATTTGCAGTACAGGAAACTGTAGCACAGAATATACATTACTTAGAATCACTGAGCATTTCAGCAAACCCCCTCCGCCCTGCAACAGCCTTGCTCGCTCTTCACATATAAACCATCTCAGCAAAATCACTTGAAAACAAGCTCCTTTCTTCCACCTCATAAAAATGTGTTGGATGCAAAAGACCTTACATGTCACCCTTCTAGTTCTAGATCTACAAGTGACAAAAAGTACATATTTTATTAAAGTTTTGTAGCTGGTTATCAGACACTTCATTCAAAAATCTCAAATGAACACAGTTGCACATCTCCAATTCTACAATCAATATGTTCTCTATGGCTTCCTAATCATGAGCATCATTTAACATCAGTGCTAGATATATTCCTAATCATATGTTTTATAAGCAATTGCCTACTAAAGACATTTACCCAAAAGAGGTTTCAATTAAACTAGTTCAAATGATGAACAGTTTTAATACACTTGTGACATGGATCCTTATCACTATGCATCCTATTACCAAAAACAAAAAGATAAAGATCAGCCAAGATCAGGATGGAACATAATACAAGTTAACTGAACTACATCATTAAATAACTTTCTTACACTAAACTATAATTTACCTCTGTTTCTTCTCCTAAGACATCCTCTTCATTTGCTTCCTCCTCAGCTACAAGAAATCAAGGGGAAATGAAAAATTACTAAAGTATATTTTACATGTTGTGTGTACAAAGATCTTAGTGGTCTCCATCAAGACAAAAGCTTCTATTTTAGTTTCATATTATTAAATTAAAATAACCAAAACAACCTCAAAGTTAGAAGAAGAGTTTGGATTTGATATCCCGCTTTATCACTACCCTAAGGAGTCTCAAAGTGGCTAACATTCTCCCTTCCCTTCATCCCCCACAACAAACATTATGTGAGGTGAGTGGGGCTGAGAGACTTCAGAGAAGAGTGACTAGCCCAAGGTCACGCAGCAGCTGCATGTGGAGGAGCGGGGAATCAAACCCAGTTCACCAGATTACGAGTCCACTACTCTTAACCACTACACCACACTGGTGTATTAGGGTACAGTAAAGTACAGTACTGCAAAGCAAGTACCTGTTTCTTTATCGCTGTGTGACAGAGAAGTCCCTATTACAACTGATGCCTGCATTGCACAGTGATGAAGAATAAACTCAGGTCTGCTTGCTTTCACTGAACATGCAAGAAGCCCTGCCCTAGCTGACATCATCAGTGGGCAGAGTTTGGGGAAAATGGCCTTACGGGCCAAAGTTCACCCCCTGGCAGGGCATAGGTTGGAGGTTCTCCACTCCATTGCAATCCTAAAAAAGTAAATTTAGAAGTGATTCTCATTGAAGGAACACGCTGTAAACCAATCTTTAATTTAGGCTGCAAGGCAGAAGAGAAGAAGGGTGTGAGGTTGCATTCATCTGTACTCAATTTTCTCTCCTAGACTAGTAGTGTCTCACCACCTCCACAAGGAGAGACCAAGTGACACTCTATGGAAAGGCATCAGAAAATGAATGGCAAACACAAGCAACACTGGTGAGTATCCTGCTCTGGATGAGGCTGCACCCTCCTTGAAAAAGCAGTAATGCAGCTTGGGGGTAATCCTTGATCTAGCATTGTCACTTGTGGCCCAGGTGGTTTCAGTGGCTCATAGAGTCTTTTGGCAGCTCTGGCTGGTTTGCCCACTGCAACTGTTCATTGACAATGTTAACCTAGCTACAGTGATGATCCATGTTCTGAGAGTTTCCCATCTGGATTACTATAAAGCAGAGATGTCCAACCAGTAGATCATGATCTACCGGTAGATCCCTGGCTGATCCTGGTAGATTGCGGGATCCTTATCGTGTACAAAAAGTTAGGGGGGAAGCTTAAAAACTCTATGCAATCCTCCCCCCAAAAAGCTCAACAACTCTGGGCACTTCCCTCCTAAAAAAAAAGTTCAATAGCTCTGGGCAATCCACCCACCCCACACACGCTCCTCCTCCCTCCAATGACAATGGGTAGATCACTGCCAGTTTTTTTATACTGGGAGTAGATCACAGTCTCTTGGGAGTTGGACATGCCTGCTATAAAGCATCATAAAGCACTAGAGGCAGCACTTTTTCTAAAAAAATGTTTAGGAGTACTCTCATTTTCCTACTCATATTGAAATACTGCCCCTCAATGAGGCCAAACTTAGATTCACAAAATGTTTAGGGGTACGTGTCCCCCTGCGTCCACCCAGAAAAAAAGCACTGACTAGAGGTATTATGGAGCTGAGAGTGTGGAAGAAAGGGACGGAGGCAGGACACCAGGCATGTCATGAACTGAAAATGTGCTGGCATGTGCAAAGGTGTATTTCCTTTTGTCTTGAATTTCCCACCATTCACCCTCATTGGATGTTGTTGTTCAACATATTTCTAAATGACCTGGATGAAGATTTTGAGTTGATGCGCATCAAATTTGCAGAAGACACCAAACTGGGATGGGAAACCAATGCCACTGAAGACAGAATCAGTGCCTTTGACTGTGTTGACCACAGCAAACTATGGCAAGTTCTTAAAGAAATGGGAGTGCCTGATCACCTCATCTGTCTCCTGAGAAATCTCTATGTGGGACAAGAAGCTACAGTTAGAACTGGATATGGAACAACTGATTGGTTCAAAATTGGGAAAGGAGTACGGCAAGGCTGTATATTGTCTCCCTGCTTATTTAACATATGCAGAATTCATCATGCGAAAGGCTGGGCTGGAGGAATCCCAAGCCAGAATTAAGATCGCCGGAAGAAATATCAACAACCTCAGATATGCAGATGATACAACCTTGATGGCACAAAGGGAAGAGGAATTAAAGAACCTTTTAATGAGGGTGAAAGAGGAGAGCGCAAAATATGGTCTGAAGCTCAACATCAAAAAAACGAAGATCATGGCCACTGGGCCCATCACCTCCTGGCAAATAGAAGGGGAAGAAATGGAGGCAGTGAGAGATTTTACTTTCTTGGGCTCCATGATCACTGCAGATGGTGACAGTAGTCACGAAATTAAAAGACGCCTGCTCCTTGGGAGAAAGGCGATGGCAAACCTAGACAGCATCTTAAAAAGCAGAGACATCACCTTGCCAACAAAGGTCTGTATAGTTAAAGCCATGGTTTTCCCAGTAGTGATGTATGGAAGTGAGAGCTGGACCATCATGGTGCATTCCCACTCTACAAGTCTATGATTTTATGATTCTAGTACATGTGAAAATGATATGCCATGTATGATCTAGCAGAAATTCCTGCATTGTGAGGGTTGGACTAGATGACATTTGAGGTCCCAACTCTATAATTCAGATTGTAATGTATCGAGGGAGAAAAGTTTTTATCCTACTGTGAGTAGATCACAGTCTCTTGGGAGTTGGCCACCCCTGCTTTACACCATACATAATTTTATATCCCTCTCTCTTGTCTCCCCTTACTCATTATTCTAAACAAAACAGCCCCAAACATTATAGCCTTTCCACATAGGGGAGTTACACCAGCTCCTTGGTAATTTTCATTGTCCTTTTCTACTACTCTTCTAGTTCTACAATATCTTTTTTGAGAAGTGGAGACCATACTTGTGTGGCTCCACCACAGATTTGCATGTATATATATATATATATATTTAAAATCCCATTCATAACTATTCCTAGAATGGAAAAGCTAGTTCTCACTATGGAGGAATATAAGAAGTGGGATCCCCCAAGGATCTGTGTTGGGATTGGTGCTTTTTGATTTGTTCATAAATGACCTGGAATTAGGGGTGAGCAGTGAAGTGACCAAATAATAATAATAGTAATAATAGTAATAATAAACAACTTTTATTTATATCCCACCCTCCCCGGCCAAAGTCAGGCTCAGGGCGGCTAACATCAGATATATAAGACTAGTATAAAATAAAACAATAATTAAAATACCTCCTAAAAACAGGTCAAATCAAATTAAAAGTCAACCATAGCTGTCCCATGAACTACAACACAGCAGTCCCTTTGTGAAAATGTGGTCATAAAAGAATAAACTTTTTTTAAAAGAACGGTGGTTACTTTCAATGTTTTTCAGTTCTCTGATATAGAGAGTGATTTTAAAAGTCTTCAAACATCTTGGCTGTGAGTTCTGGAAGACCTGCTCCCTGCCTTGTTAGTCGTTTCCACCTGGCTTGGGAGGGCAGGGTCCTGACCAACTACAGCTACAAAAGCTGAGGCTTCTGAATGGATTTCTGGGGGGTATTGTTTGGCAGGGTGAATTGCTGGGTTTTTGTTGTTGCTGTTGTTAATATTATTTTTTTGTATTTTAATTTTAGATCTTATAATGATTTATGTGGAAACTGTGCAATTATGGTTGTGAACTTTTTGATATGTTTTATTTGACTACTTTTGTTATGATTGTAATTATGTAAGTTTTCATGCTGTAAGCTATCTTGAGCATAGCTTTACCTATGGAATACAAATTCAATGGGTCATGTTAGGCTTGGGCCTCTGTTCTACATCTTCATCAGCTACATAATTTGTCAGTTTTTCAGCAGCCACCTTATCCTTTAATAAAACTTTAATTCCTTGGTCCTCTAGTGATCCAACTGCCTTCCTAACTAGTCTCCTGTTTTTAATTCCTGGCCTTAATATTTTCAGTAATATGTTCCTCAAATTATTTTCTTGGATCTGTTATATTACACTTGCATTTTTGTGCTTGTAATATGCGCAAATTTAAATTCCTTTTTGTTTTCATTTTGCTGGAAACAACTTGCTGCCTCTGAAAACTTCGATGTCTCTGGTTGCTAAGAAAAAGTGACATCGGGGTTCTAATTTTCTGTTGCCAGGCATTGCCTCTCTACTTTTTCAAATGATTTTGGGGTATCAAATGTAATGTTAGTGACTTACTATGATACAGGTCTTTTCTAGCAGCAGGGTTACATAGTCACTATTCTAGGTTTGTGTTCCTCTGCCAGCCCAGGCAGGAAACATGATTTGTTTCAGGGCTCCTCCTAGCTCCTCAGTTTTCCCTTCTGGTCAAGCTCTAAAAACTGTAGGATCTGCAACACAACTGAGAATCCTAACAGTGTCACTGGAAAGAACCTCAATTTTAATGGCTTGTGAACTGTGTGTTCTAAACTACTGATTCTTGTTGTATTGTTTATAATTGTTGTTCTAGACTGTACAACTTCAGGGTAGAATTTCTTAATTTAATTGTATACAGTGTACTGAACATAGTTGGCATTATGTATAATAATATTAATATTAATAGTAACAAGCATACACTGAACTAAACTGCTCTGATAACAATTTATATGACCACCTTTTGAGAGAGCAGCTGCATATAGGGTGAACCCTGTTGCCAGAAAAGGCCCATATCATAGTAAGTGACCAAAGTTACATTTTCCTGGCAGCCTGGACTACAATGCTACTATGCTGGGACCTACCAGAGCCTATGTTCCTTTGAGCAGATATTGAATCCACTCTCTATAGTCTAGCTATTATCTGAAGGACACACCTTCCAAAGGGCTGCTTCTGCAGAAGTGCAGGCATCCCCTTTATAATGTCTGGTAACAGCAGAGGGGACTGCCCTCTAATGTTGACATTAGTTGCCAGACCACTATGGTGGCTGTAGCTCTAGTTGAGTGAGCCATCACTTGCCTAGGAGCAGGAAGATGCTGAATCTAAGGCCTTAAGCTATTTAGCTATGGTGTATGATTGGGCCTCATCACTCATTGATCTTGGATGAAAAGACACCAATAGGGTACAGTGGTACCCCGGGTTAAGTATTTACCATATTTTTCGCTCTATAAGACGCACCAGACTACAAGACGCACCAAGTTTTTGGAGGAGGAAAACAAGTGAAAAAAAATCTGAATCTCAGAAGCCAGAACAGCAAGAGGGATCGGTGTGCAGTGAAATCAGCAACCCCTCTTGCTGTTCTGGCTTCTGGGATAGCTGCGCAGCCTGAATTCGCTCCATAAGACGCACACACATTTCCCCATACTTTTTAGGAGGGGAAAAGTGAGTCTTATAGAGCAAAAAATACGGTAATTCGTTCCGGAGGTCCGTTCCTAACCTGAAACTGTTCTTAACCTGAAGCGCCACTTTAGCTAATGAGGCCTCCAGTTGCCACCGCGCCGCCAGAGAACGATTTCTGTTCTCATCCTGAAGCAAATTTCTTAACCCGAGCTGCTATTTCTGGGTTAGCGCAGTCTGTAACCTTAAGCGTATGTAATCTGAAGCCTATGTAACCCGAGGTACCACTGTAATTAGTCTGTCTGAAAGCTGGGGGGGGGGGGGGAGCCAAGAAAAATGTTAAGGTCTATAAGGACAGAGGACATCTGCTGAGCTTGGCAGGAAACAGAAAGGCTGAGGAGCCAGGAGGATGAGCACTGAAATGAATCATAGAAGTTTCCTACCTGGACTAGTAGACGGTCCCAAGCCCAGCATTGTGGCCATGCTGCCCAGGCCACCAGGAAATTAGTGGGTAGACCTGTGTGGCATACAACAGCCGTAGTGTGCTTTGGGCTAGAGTGTGCTTTGGGCTAGAGTGGATTCCAGTATCTGCCTGGAGCAGAATTCAAATCCCCTTTTTCTGCTTTCAATGCAATGTTATTGACCACCATGATAAAGCGTCTTATATCAGCATTGCTTCCTTTGCAGACATGCACTTCATCCTTACATTCCAAAAGGTTTCTGTTCTAAAATAGTGTCTTCAACAGTATGAGTATTTATCCATGTCAGTTGTGCCTTTTACTGAAAATAAAACCTGTGAACACGTAGTTGGGGTGGTGGTGGGGTTTGAACCTGTCTCTCTTAGCTCTAGAAACATTTCTCCTGACCACTGCTGGTACTAGAGAGAAGACGAAGAGGAAGAGTTTGGATTTGATATCCCGCTTTATCACTACCCGAAGGAGTCTCAAAGCGGCTAACAATCTCCTTTCCCTTCCTCCCCCACAACAAACACTCTGTGAGGTGAGTGGGGCTGAGAGACTTCAAAGAAGTGTGACTAGCCCAAGGTCACCCAGCAGCTGCATGTGGAGGAGCGGAGATGTGAACCGGGTTCCTCAGATTATGAGACTACCGCTCTTAACCACTACACCACACCAGCTCATGTTTCTTTTCCTTTTATCTGTCACTGGCAAAGATTCTGAAGGGAATTGTGAGGGTCCTGCCAAAAACGCATCCATGAGACTGAACAAAATGCAAAAACGCAATTAATGAAAAATGTAAGCAAAAGCTTCCAACTCCTCCTCTTGGCCATGTCAGAAACAGAGAGACGAGCACTTGAGCCAGAGGCTTGGTCACTTAACATTAAACCATGGTTTAGCATGACATTAGAAAGTGGCCTATGTCTTGCTCAATCATTTCAGAATTTTATATGAAGAGCAATTAATAAACTGAAGTCAAACAGGGAACCTTTGACTCTTGTACAGAAAGACTGTAAACAGTTTCACAATGAACATCCAAAAAGCAACACATTTGTTTAAATATTTAAGGTAACCTTTGCTGGACTCTGCTCTATCTTGTTAGAAGGATCTTGGTAGAGTGTAGAAAGAATGCAGTGTAGGAACCTACCATGCTGCTCAAGATAGGCCTGGAGTCTATTGATGAGATCCTGTTTGTTTCCTTTTGCCTCCAGACCTCGGGCTAAACATTCCTGCTTCAGCTCAGCTAGCTGTAAAGTAGAAGAGACTTTGCCTTAATAAAGAAAGTGTGGCTTCCTACAGATTAGGAAGGAAACATGTACAAAAATGCAATAATCATAATGGATAGATATTAAGTGGTGAAAGGTTTTGAACAAGCTAAGGCTGTGTATTTTAATGAGGACATGGGGTTTATTTAGATTTTTTTTCAACACTCATTTTATAACATTTGTAATGAAAGCCTGTAGGAATCTGCAGTAAAAACAAGACCAAAAATAGAAGATTCTCAGTCTCACAATAGTTAATAAAGTTGACTTATGAAGTTAACCTTTCACTGGCCTAGACACCTTAGAACTTTATTCATGAGACTAGTTTTCCTCATGGAAGACTTCTCTCTAAATGCACATGGTAATATTTTGTTCCTGGGAAAATGAGATCTCACTAAGTTACCCACTGCACCTCCGACTGCTCCAACTTTGTGCAAGAGTAACATTACTGGTGACAACCATCACAATTCTATGCTGCTCCACCACATCTTCTATAAATTTGTAGTTTTACTCTGTTATTACATCCTCTTGGGCTGTGTGCCTACCTTCCACACCACAGCTGCCATCACCAGGAGTCATGGTGCTCATAAGGGCCTACCTAGGGTCCCACAAGGTTTTCAGATTGCTTCAATAATTTATTAAGTATATAAACATGGGAAGTATATAAGCATGATCTTATATAAGCTGCCCTGGGAACTTTTCTGGCTGAGGTGGGGATGCTTTGAATGAATAATCACAAGCATACAAGGGGAAACATTTACTTCATACTGTGAAGTTCCTGGTTCCCCACAAGCATTTACACAAGCATTTTGTGGCAGGAAGCATCCACCTGGAAAATGGGAGGGCAATATTGGTTGCCCAGAACCAGGGGCAGCAATGACAGAAAGTTCAGCATGCAAACTGAGAGGGGGGAAAAGGACTGAATTGTATAAAGTGGATTTATCAAAGCAAGTTCCTCTATATTCAGGTTGTACTGATTCCTATATAAGTGGGCAAAGGTTTGCAACCTTAATCCTAGAGAGGCTCATGCTTCACTGAGTAACCAAAGGACAAGAGAAGACATAGGCTTTTAAAAGATCATTTGTAAAATGAAGTGTTCTACTGGTCCAGGTTGAGACTTCCATTCAAACACATTCAACTTTCATTACGTAATTTCACAGGAACACACATTTTTATACAAATACCTGCTTGTGGCTGACTTCTTCCCTCCTGTTTCTTATTTTGAGTGCTATTGGGGCAGGGCCATTTCCTGCTAGACTCGCCACCAGAGAGCTGGGGAAGAGGAGTTAACATGGTCCCTCGCCTGGTGCCCCTTCAAATGTTGTGGGTTACAACTTCCATCAGCCCCAGCAAGCATGGCTAATGGTCAGGGATGACAGAGGAGCTGTCATCCATTAACCTGTAGAAGGCAGGTAAGGGAAAGGACCCCTGGGTGGTTAAGTCTAGTCAATGGTGACTATGGGGTTGTGGCGTTCATCTCACTTTCAGGCTGAGGGAACAGGCATTTGTCCACAGACAGCTTTCCGGTTAATGTAGCCAGCATGCCTAAACTGATTCTGGTGCAACGGAACACCATGACAGAAGCCAGAGTGCACGGAAATGCAGTTTACCTTCCTGCAGCAGTGGTATCTGTTTATCTACTTGCACTCATGTGCTTTCAAAATGCTAGGCTGGCAGGAGCTGGGACAGAGCAACAGGAACTCACTCCGTCATGGAGATTTGAAGCGCCAACTTTCCAACTGGCAAGCCCAAGAGGCTCAATGGTTTACTGGGTTAACATAACATCCTCCACTACTAAAATGAGAGAGCACTGCGTTGTACTGAATTGTTGAGAATTAGCTATCAGCCACTTTGAGAACTATTCATTCCAAATGACTTACTAACTGAAGTAAATCAACAATGATATGCTTCCAACTTTTACTGAAAGATTACACAAATCCGGGGAGGAGATAGCTATTAATGGCTACTAGCCATATAGATATGCTCTACCTCCACAGCAGAGGTGCCAACTTGAATAAAATATTTGGGGGCGGGGCAAGTAAGAGCCACATAATCAATTATAATGGGGCTCACCCGCACCATGTGAATGGGAATGCCCATCAGGAGTGCCAGTTTGGTCCTGTGACTGTGGGTGCCATGCAGCGTGCGTGGCCCTAGCACCAAAATTTGAGAGTGCCCAGCCCCCTTCATGGGGAATTTGTGGGTGCTTGGGCACCCAGGTTCCAAGCTGTTTTGAGTTCTGAAACGTTCGAAAACTGAAAACTCAATAGCCAACAGGTAGGCCTCAGGATCTTGCACTCAGCGGAAGCCGCGTGGTGTGTTCGACTTCCGAGGCATGTTCAAAAACTGAAGCATTTACTTCTGGGTTTATGGCATTTGAAAACCAAATGTTCATCAATGGAGACATTAAAAAACCGAGGTAAAAGGTAAAGGTACCCCTGACAGTTAAGTCCAGTTGCGAACGACTCTGGGTTGCGGTGCTCATCTCGCTTTACAGGCCGAGGGAGTCAGCGTTCGTCCACTCCGCTGACAGATTTTCCGGGTCATGTGGCCTGCATGACTAAGCCACTTCTGGTGCAACGGGACACCGTGATGGAAGCCAAAGCGCACAGAAACGCCATTACCCACTGGAGCAGTACCTATTTATCTACTTGCACTTTTTGGAGTGCTTTCGAACTGCTAGGTTGGCAGGAGCTGGGACCGAGGAATGGCAGCTAACCCTGTCGGGGGAATTGGACTGCCAACCTTTTGATCCGCAAGCCCAAGGCTCAGTGGTTTAGACCACAACGCCACCCATGTCTCGTATGTGTGTGTGTATGTATATATGTCTATAAATTTATGTGTGTATGTATATATACGTGTGTGTGTGTGTATCTATCTATCTATCTATCTATCTGTATATATGTGTGTGTGTGTGTGTGTTGTATATGTATATACAGTGGTACCTTGGGTTACATATGCTTCAGATTACAGACTCCGCTAACCCAGAAATAGTGCTTCAGGTTAAGAACTTTGCTTCAGGATGAGAACAGAAATCGTGCTCCGGCGGCGCAGGAGCAGCGGGAGGCCCCATTAGCTAAAGTGGTGCTTCAGGTTAAGAACGGACCTCCGGAACGAATTAAGTACTTAACACGAGGTACCACTGTATCTATCCCTCAAGGCACTCTCAAAAAAAAATTGGGGGGGGGGGCCGAAGAGTTTGCTCCTTTGCTTCACAGTATGAGGCACCAATGCTTCCGACTACCATTGCTGGAAACCACGGGAGGGGAGAGTTTTCTCTCGCGCTCCTATATCCCACAGGCATCTTGGCTGGTAGTTGTGTGAGAACAGGATGGTGGGCTAGACAGATCCCCTCGCCTGATCCACCAGGGCGTTCAGCTTGGGCTACGCAGCTACCACCAACCAACGTGGGCGAGCAGAGCGCTGCCCCTTCCTGCAGGTGGGCGCGATGCCCGCAGGTCCAGCCGGCCTGAGAGGGGAGCGCGGCGCGACGGGAACCGCCGCGACTCTTTTCCCGCCCTCGCGAGAACTCGGCGGCCCGGTTGGTCTGACGGCGCACATCCCCACACGGAGCCTGAAAGGCAGCTCCCTCAGGAATTTTCCCTCAGTGTTGCTGCCGCCGCCAGCCTGGAGTGAGGCGGAGGAGAAGGAGGCCAAGCGCTGTTCCCTCAGAGTATGAGGAGTCCGCCCCACCCGCTCAGACCCGGCCTCGGTACCTTCAACTTGTGCAGCTCCACTGTTTCCGCCGCCATCTTCCCTTCGCTTTCCCCCTCCCTCAGCGGCCTCCTCCCTCGCGCCCCGACGGCAAACCGTGCGCGCCCGCTCAGGCCCTGCCGCCCAATCCGGGCCTCGCTTTCCCATGAACTTTGACGCTTCCCTAACATCCGTCTCGCTCATTGGCTCGTGTGTGGGGTTTTTTAACCGGTAAACGGGGAGAGAGGCGAAGAGCGGCGGCAGAGAATAGCCAATGGGGAAGGACCGGGGCGCCTGCCCGATTGGCTGATTGGCGGTGGGGGGCGGGGACGAGGAATCGTTTCCTGGAGACCGCCTGCCGGCGGAAGCAGAAGCAGGAAGAAGCGCTGCTTTCGGGTGCCTCGCCTTGTCCCTCCCTTGCGAAGAAGAGACGCCGCCGCCGCCGCGGAACCAGCCGCGTAGGTCTCCTATAGGTCTCCGTTGTGGGTCGTGGGGCAGGCGGTGTCACGAGTTTCTGGTGATAAACGAGGGCTTCGCAGGGAACCGCCTTGTATTGAGTCGGAGCACCGGCCCACGTGAGCTTAGTGTCGGCCCTGCACTAATTATCATCATCATCATCATCATTATTATTATTTTATTATTTTATTTATTTGTACCCAGCCCATCTGACTGAGTCGCCCCAGCCACTCTGGTCCAGCATATACAGAAACATCAAACATTAAGAACTTCCTCATACAGATGTCTTCTAAACAAAGGTTGTACAGTGGTACCTCTGGTTATATACGCTTCAGGTTACAGATTCTGCTAACCCAGAAGTAGTACCTCGGGTTAAGAACTTTGCTTCAGGATGAAAAAAGAAATTGTGCTTCGGCGGCGCGGCAGGAGGCCCCATTAGCTAAAGTGGTGCTTCAGGCTAAGAACAGTTTCAGGTTAAGAACAAACCTCCGGAACGAATTAAGTACTTAACCTGAGGTACCACTGTATAGTGATTTATAGGGCCTTCCGTAGGAAGGCAAAAAAGTAAAGGACCTCTGGAAGGTTAAGTCCAGTCAAAGGCGACTATGGGGTTGTGGCGCTCATCTCGCTTTTCAGGCCCAGGGAGCCGGCACACAGCTTTCCAGGTCATGTGGCCAGCATGACTAAACCACTTCTGATGCAACGGGACACCGTCACGAAAGCCAGAGCACACGGAAATGCCGTTTATCTTCCCACCGCGGTGGAACATATTTATTTACTTGCAGTGGCATGTTTTTGAACTGCTAGGTTGGCAGGAGCTGGGGCGCCACTCCCTAGAAAGCTCTTGTTGGTTCCCTGTAACCTCACTTCTCGCAGTGAGGGAACTGCCAGGAGCTCCTCGGAGGTGGACCTCCCTGTCTGGGCTGAATGATGGGGGTGTGTGAAGATGCTTCTTCAGGTATACAGGGCCGAGGCTATGGTAGTCAAGGATCCAGACAGGGGGGTGGGGCCCTTCTTGGAGGTGTCTGGGGCAGGACCAGGGACCTTCTTGCCTTGCCCAGTAAGCACTCCGCCACAGGACTAATGAGGCAGTTTCCTCAGCTGCTAAAAAACGGAAGAAGCAGGAAATAGGAATAAGCATAAAACACCCTACTGTTTTATGCCATGGCTGCCAGTGTGGCACCTGTGGGCTCGGATGCGCCCGCAGAGGCTTTCCTTAGCTTCTTTTCTCTCCTCCAGCTCCCCAAAATTAGGCTTGAAAGAAGCACTTTTTTGTAGTTGATAGCAATGTGGTATGTGAAACAACTGTGTGTGTGTATTTCTGCATTTTCTATTTTACAGATTCAAATGAAATAATATATAATGTACAGTGGTACCTCTGGTTACATACTTAATTCGTTCCGGAGGTCCATTCTTAACCTGAAACTGTTCTTAACCTGAAGCACCACTTTAGCTAATGGGGCCTCCTGCTGCCGCTGAGACACCGCTGCACGATTTTTGTTCTCATCCTGAAGCAAAGTTCTTAACCCGAGGTACTATTTCTGGGTTAGCGGAGTCTGTAACCTGAAGTGTATGTAACCTGAAGTGTATGTAACCTGAGGTACCACTGTACAGTATCTCTGCATCCAGCATATTGTTTTTCCTCTTCAGCATGAATGTTGGCGTGGCCCACAGTGAGGTGAATCCCAACACCCGAGTGATGAACAGCAAAGGCATTTGGCTGGCTTATAGCATCTCAGTGGTTCTCCTCCACATCATTCTTCTCAGCATCCCCTTCTTTAGCGTTCCTGTGGTTTGGACTCTGACCAATGTCATCCATAACTTGGTAGGTTATAACTTTTTATCAGCTCGTGAACTTTAAGTTCCTTAAAGCTATTTTTTGCACCTGAGCCTTTAATGCATTCTCTGGGTTGGTGGTGGTGGACCTCAAACTCTGGGGACTCTTTGTGTTATAACACGTTCCCAGACACACCCTCAGTGACTCTGCTTCGCACCCTTCTTGACTGTTATTGCCTGGGTGGAATGTGAGTTTGTATTCTGATAGGGATCCTTGCTTGCTTGGATCAGGGTAAGAAATGAGTGTGTGCGTGTAGAAACTAGCTTGTTGGACAAAGGTAAGAATTACAACCATGGCTTCCCTGCCCGCTTTGTGTGTTGTCGTCTTCACACCCCTGCAACACAATCCCTGGCAGCCTTCAGGCTGAAAACATATTCCCTATACCTGCTACAGATCCTAGGGATTGTATGCGCCTTTTCTCTTTTCTACAAGCAGAGAAGTCTTGATTGTTATCACAGATCATGGGACAAAACTTGTCGTCATTGTATGTCGAACCTTCTTCCATATAGGCCTGAATATAGGCCTCGCTTTCACCCTCCAAAGCTAGCTTGTATAAAACTCAGTGTGTGACCTGTTATTGTGCTCTTGCATCATTGAAGTGATCTCATTTTAAGGATGCAGCTTATGTTTGGACCAATACCAATACAGTGGTACCTTGGTTTACGAACTTGATCCGTTCCAGAAGTCTGTTCTTAAACCAAAGCATTCTTAAACCAAGGTGTGCTTTCCCACAGCAGCGGGGGACTCAATTTACAAATGGAACACACTCAACAGGAAGCAAAACATGTTCTTATTCCAAGGCAAAGTTGACAAACCAAAACACCTACTTCTGGGTTTGCAGCATTCTTAATCCGAGTTGTTCATAAACTAAGCTATTCTTAAACCAAGGTACCACTGTATGGAAATTCCTCAGCTATTCCTTTTAAACTGAGCTGCACAAGAATCTGAGCTGATGTCCTCTTTCCTGCTGTCCTAGGGAGAGAGAAGAAAAGCCACAATCTTAATTCACTTATTTTCCACCCCGCCCCCCACCAGGCAATGTATTGGCTCCTACACACAGTGAAAGGAACCCCCTTTGAAACACCAGACCAGGGCAAGGATCGCCTCCTCACACACTGGGAGCAGATTGACTATGGCACACAGTGGACGTCCTCTCGCAAATTCCTAAGCATCTCACCAATTGTCCTGTAAGTACCAGGAATGGCTTCGTTTGCACTGCTTTGTCTTTTACTTAAGCAGCAAAGCTTTAACTCTTTTCATGCAGCTAAAAACAGCATGTTTATTTCCCATTAGCTACATCTTGACCAGCTTTTATACCAAATATGACCCTGTGCACTTCATAATCAACACTAGCTCCTTGCTGAGCGTCCTCTTGCCCAAACTACCCCTGTTCCATGGCGTGCGCATCTTTGGTATCAACAAGTACTGAAAGCAGTCGGAATATTGACTCTTCCCGAAAGAAACAGCTCTTAACTGCAAAATCCTGATGGCAATGCTGCAGTCACATCATCTGAAGCTCCAGAGAACCATGCATTAACTTGGGTGGGCTAGCAGGGAGAGTGTCAGCTGTCCACAGAGCTAAGCAGTATTGAGTTTTGCTTCTTGCTACGGGATAGAACCCATTCTCCATGCGGCTAGTCTACAATTAGACCGGCACCTCTTCTGCTGGAAAAGACTGAATCCTTAGGAGGGCATGAAATCTCCAGGACGTCCCCTGCAAGACTTCTACTTGAGCTGTTTGTAATGGGTGCCTGAGACGAGCTTCCGGGAGATACAGCTGTTCTGTGTAAACCTTTTCTGTTTTTATAGAATTCTGTCACACGAAAGTGTTTATGGGGTGGTTGTTTTCAGGGTGGGAGGGCCGGGGAACTCTTACGAAAGAAGTGAACTGTCATGCTGCGCTGACTGTAGTTCCTGATTCTGCTCCATGGTTCCCTTTTTTTGGTTCATTGGCACTCAAGTGCAAATCCTTGAGTCCACCACATAACCTGGCTACTGTTTTCAAAAGAGGTTTCTAATCCTTCTGGTTATAAAGGAGAAATGCAAGACCGTGCTAGTGGTCCAGCAGTAAATTAAAAATACAGGTTTTGTCAACGTTCCATGCTGCTTTTGTCCACCTAATCTCTTATCGGAGGCTGGATGCCTGCATAGCACAGTGCAGGCCTCCAGTGCCATCTTTGTTTTCCCAGCGTCCCTCCAGGGCTGGGGGAGACCGACCTTTCTGTTTGAACACAAAAATACTGTGGTTGATCGGAACCACAGACTTAAAAGCTCCCCATTCTCAAACGAGGATGGTCCAGATAGGCAACAATCCAGGCCATGTGGATTTCAAATATAGAAAGCCTGTCTTTTAGCCTTGCCAAATTTTCCTTTTATGACTGCCCCCCCCCCCATTCAGGGAGCTGTTGAGTCGCTGGCACAGTATTGTTGCATTCAACAAGGGGTTGAACCCAACCAAGACAACTTGATGTACACGGTACATGCTAGTGAATGTTAACATCTGAAAAGGGGGCCTGTTAACAACTTGCATTTAATTTCTAAAAACATTCTTCCCCCAGCAGTGGACAGCTGCTAGTACAGTGGTACCTCGGGTTACATACGCTTCAGGTTACATAAGCTTCAGGTTACAGACTCCGCTAACCCAGAAATAGTACCTTGGGTTAAGAATTTTACCTCAGGATGAGAACAGAAATCGGGCTCCGGTGGCGCGGCAGCAGCAGCAGGAGGCCCCATTAGCTAAAGTGGTGCTTCAGGTTAAGAACTGTTTCAGGTTAAGAGCGGACCTCCGGAACGAATTAAGTGCTTAACCCGAGGTACCACTGTATTGGGATGGACCAGGGATAGGCAACCTAAGGCCCGGGGGCCAGATGCGGCCCAATCGCCTTCTCAATCCAGCCCACGGATGGTCTGGGAATCGGCGTGTTTTTACATGAGTAGAATGTGCCCTTTTATTTGAAATGCATCTCTGGGTTATTTGTGGGGCATAGGAATTCATTCATCCCCCCCCCCCAAAAAAATATATAGTCTGGCCCACCACATAGTCTGAGGGACGGTGGACCGGCCCATGGCTGCAAAAGGTTGCTAACCCCTGGGGTGGACTATAGATTTCCTTCCAAGTGACGACAAAATCATTGCATTAATGGCTCTGCCTTGCTAGATTTTTCTTGTGAAGAATGGGGAGTATTGTGTGGCTGGTGAAACTGCACCATGCTGCCTATTTTCTGCTACCCAGAAGGCTGCAGCTGGAGTGTGCACACCATATAGTTGCAGCAATGCTAATTCTTTATACACACACACACACACACACACACACACCCCTTCCTCATAGTCAAATCAGTCCTCGTTTAGTTTTGAGTAGCTCCAAAAGTTTACATGTTTCCATATATCCTACAGCCAGCGGCCCAGATATTGGTTTTAGTTTCAGGAGGTCAAACATAGGCAGGATTTTGGAGGATAGGCAATATCAATAACGCATTAACAAAACTTGCTTTTAAGATGGTTCCCACTCCTCAAAACACCCTGAGCCACACCTGTGATCACAAGATTAATGACAGAACAGAAAAGCATGGGGAGAGGGCACACAGGTACACACAGAAGCTGCAAAGCTTAGATATCACGTGTGTAGAAGGACTCTTATGGTTGGACTCACCGAGATGAGATCTCTTACCCATCTACTGAGAATGTGGGCTCGGTACACCCTGACAACTGACTGACATGAGACTGCCACTCCATCACATACAAGCACAGTCAAATTTAAACCAAGACCCAGTTACTTTAAATGCATTTCAGGGTTTTATTTCTTCCTTTAAAAAACCTTAGAGAGAAGCAAAAGTGGGAGCCAGTTCTTTTGCAACTTTGAAGGTAAATTAGAAATATTTCAAAGCTACCACCTGGTAGAAAACATGCCACGTACAAGGGTGCTTTCGTGTTTGCTTTTATTTATTTTTTAAAAGGAGTATTTATGTTTTGTTTTCAACCCTTTGTTCTCATCACGGACAACTTTGCTACACAGAAATCACGCACACAAAGTAATGAAACCCCAAAACACAAAATATAATTCCTCACAAAGTCCACACTTTATTTTTTAAAAAAGTGATTATTTTGGGTTCATAAAAGGGTTAAAACTTAATATATATAATATGTGCAACTGTAAACAGAAGTATGGGACAAGGCGTCAAATGCGATTATACAGGCAGAGAACTTTAAAAAAGTTTTAGCTTCAAGACCGGGTTATAGTTTATATAAAAATTAAAAACTGTATAGTCTTTCTTCATCAGCTAAAATCTACAGGATTATCTTAAACTCTTAACCGTCATCCAAAAAAATCTTGACAATCTATTATATTCAGTCACTTTATCATTTTTTTAAAATCTCTCTCAAGCTTTTAAACCTTTGTAGCAATTTTTAAAATTTATTTTTTTTTACATCTTTACAGCCTTCCAAATTAATGGAAATGACACACAAAACAAATCCGAAGAGACAAAAAAAAATGCATACTGGCTTTAACTCAAACCTTTATTTTCAAACAATGTCCAGTGGTTTTGTTACTGATAAAAACTCCCCCCCCTTCTCTACACAAATGCCATCTTATATACAATTTTAATTACTACTTTTAATATTTGAAATTTCCCTACCCCAGCCCCCCACTGTTTTAAACCGTCATAGCTTTGAACGGTTAGCAGAAGCAGCTTTTTCACTCAAGAACATGGTTCTCACCTTGCCAACAAGTTCAAAAAAAAGATATTCTTACACACAAACCCTGATTTTACGTGCCCCACCTTGCCCCCGCTATGAAAGTCTTATTGCCACGTTCTCTCTCTGCCTTGTCTGTTGGATCAGGCGAGAGAATATGAGATGTGGCCTCGGTTAATCACTCAATGCCACTCTTACAGGCATTTGGAGAGAGAGAGAGTGTGTTATAGTGTTTTTTGGGGGTGTGGGAGAGGGGAAATGGTGCAATTGTGCGTTAAAAGGCCTCAACTGTACAAAGTTAAGTCGAGAGAGCCTTATCAGTAAAGACCCTGCAACTCTCACCCCCTCCCCACAATACCAACTTAGGTTCAAGGGTACAGCTATCTTGCAAAGTCATTTCAACAGCAGGGAGAACCTGTGTGTGGGTTTCTTTTCCCCCGGGTTGTGTGTGTGTGTCTCCCCTGTATAATGCCCACATTTTGCCTTCTATTAATACAGAATCTCCCTACGTTTTGGGGGGGGGAGGAGATGGCGCTAGGCAGATGGCTCTCAAGATACTGGTTATAAATTGATTTCTTCTTTAAAAAGGAAAAGGAAAAATAGTCATCTATATACACAGAGAGAAAGCATAAAAAACGGGCTCTTTACATGTTCCCCTTCCCACCCTACGTTTTGTCCATAAACACGTTCTCCCCTCTAGTTCCTTCCTGCCCAGTGGAGGGGAAACGGGGTGGCCTGTGGAGACCCACCCGGCAGTCGAGGAAAACCCGGCAGCCAGAGCATTCTTCCCCATGCTAGTTCAAATATATACACAATATATATAAATAGATAAATAATCCCAAACTCTGCAATGTGCCAACATCTCTCTCTCTCACGCACACAAGCACACATACAAACATAAGAGAGTCTTCAGAGCAGCAAGTTGATCATGGGAAACAATTGGGAACTGGGGGTCTCTAGGGCAACGGGTTTGGCCAACTCTTCCCCCAACCCCAAATATCACAGCTGGGCCCCCTTAGCCATCGGCTCTCTCGTCAAGCACTCTTCCCCCCCCTTCCCTCATCGGCAAAATGGGTTGGGCTCTACGGGAGAGATGTGCTGAGATTGGCATCTGCCGGACCAGGAGATCTTGCGTTCTCCATCACGTTGGCACATTCAAAGCCTTATGGGGTCCCCTGCCCCCTTCTTGGTTGTTGGGGCGGGAAAGCGGACAGCGCTCGGTTCAGCAATTCAGTCTGGAAGGTTGTCAGGCGACTGGGTACTGTTTTTGGTTTGAGGGTTTTGTGGGGGGGAAAGAGGAACGACCCCAGATATAATAAAAAAGTTTCCCACCTCCTGGAAACGCATTCCCATGTCTGCCAGGGGAGCTGTGGCTCTCCGTACTTAGGGAAGAGGGCTCAAAAAGCAGAAGGGTGGCACAGCGAGGGGCTCACATTAGAAAACAGAAAATAGCAAAGTCTAACACTTCAAATGAGGTAGGTTCAAGTGCGAATGCTCCTCGCGCAGGGAGGATGGGCAGGGTGGGGCAGAGGAAGGGCCTGTTTCCAGCTTCGGCAAGCCGACACCTGCTTTCCGCTGGGAAAAAAGTACTTTTTTCTCTCTCCAAAAAAAAGCACGTTATTTACACACACTTTCTCTCCCCCCCCTTCAAATCTGACATTTAAATGTATACAAAATCCAGAGCTGGGGGGCGGGGGCAGTGGGCTCTGGAAGGTGGATTGTCAAGCTAATGAGTCTCTTTGAAGCCTCTTGTTTACCTTGGTAGATTAGCAAGCAATAGATAGTAGACTTTTAAAAAAAGAAGAAGAAATCTCTCTCGCACACAAAAATTCCTTAAAGAAACACACACACACACACACAAGGGGGTGGGGAGAGGGAATTACAAATTCTTCCCCGGGGGGTCCAATTGCCATGCTGCAGCCCTGCTTCCCCCAGCTCTGCTAGAAAGAATGCCCGTCTCCTCCCAGTATAGTATTTCTGAAGCCCGTTATTTACAGGTGCACGGGGGCGGAAGGGCGCTCCCCATTTCGGCCTCGAAAGAATTTATTTTTATTTTTAAAAAAAGCAAAAGAAAAACTAAAAGAAAACCCTGAGTTGCCAGTTTGTCAGTTCCCCGCCCCAGATGGGGCTGCTTAGTGGCTGTTCCTTTCTGCTGGGGAGAAGCAGGTCGCCTTGTCTGGAAGAAGAGGCCGCCGAGCCTGGCAGCCAAAAGCAGCCAGCTTGATGATAATACCATAGCCAAGACTGGCAAGCAGTGGCAGATATGCTGACGACACCCCCCCTCTCTTGCCTTGGGCCCCAGCTGCCCCACCAGCATGTTGGTGGCTTCCAAACATGCCTCGTTTTGCCCCCCCCCCCCGGGTGATTTCCCTGCGCCGCAGGAGGGTTGGAAGAGCGGGTACAGCAGCAGCACCTCCTCTCTGTGCAGAGCCTCTTGTGCCGAGCAGTCGGGGTCTCCCCCTTTGCTTTGTCCGAAGAGCCTCCTTGGGGTTTAGTTCATCCATTTCCTGCAGTTCCAGGCTCCACAATGGCACGGGATTTTGTGCTGATCGTCTTCAAAATCAAACTGGTAGTCGTAGGTCAGCTGAGGGAGAGGAGGACATCGGAAGAGAACCAAGGATTAGTCCTTGAGGGACCTTTAATGTAAAATACGTCACCGCCATCCATTTAGTTCATTCCTGCGATGGCCACGTTGGTTGCAACAAGTGACTAGAGTTGAACAAAATCTCGACACTATTTTATCTTCTCATCAAGATGGCAGCAAGAAAGGGAGGAAGTGGAGTTTGGACTCTCCTTCCTTTTCATATGACTTCTATGCCTTGGTTAAGGTGGAACTTATTACTATTATTTTTAAAATTTATTTTCCGCCCTTCATCCCAGGGAATAAAATACAAGATAAAAAATAAATAAACCAAAACAAGAAGTGGCTAATTAAACCAAAACAATACCCCCCTCCCGATACATTTAAAAGGCTGTAGGATATTGATCAGCCCAAGTTCTGCTTTGTTTTTGCCTGGCGCCTAAAAATATATAATGAAGGCACCAGGCAAACCTCGCTGGGGAGAGCATTCCACAAACGGGAAGCCACTACAGGAAAGGCCCTTTCTCGTGTTGCAACTCTCTGGACCTCGTGGAGGTGGCAATGAAGGGCCTCAGATGATGAACAGAGAGTCTGGGATGGTTTATATGGAAAGAGGCGGTCCTTGAGGTATTGTGGTCCTTTATAGGTCAAAATCAGCACTTTGAAGTGGGCCCTGAAGCTAATTGGCAGCCAGTGTAATCAGTCCAGGATCAGTGCGATATGCTCAAACCGTCTCGTCCCAGTGAGCAATGTGGCCGCTGATTTTTGCACTGGCTGAAGCTTCCAAACAGTCTTCAGAAGCAGCCCTACGTGTAACTTAGGAAGCTGGGCTGGTGTATCTGTCCAGTATGATACTATTAAGACAGGCCGTGGCACTCCAGCAAATTGTCTTTCCATCACCTGGTGATGCTTTTATAACTGGAGATGCCACGGATTGAACCTTCTCTATGCAAAGCATGGGGCCTATCACTGAGATGTAATCCCTTGCTCAACATTAAAGAACAAAGGGGGGGTCTGCCCTACCCAATTGCTCAGGCTGCTTCTGTCAACCTAACAGGAACATTTCCAGCCACGAGCACTAGGATATCTCCGCATCCCTTCACCCAACCAGAAAAGTTGGGGAGATGTACTCTTCCACACAAAAAGCACCGTGTGAACGAGGTATGCAATTCTCATCTTACAGATACGGCACCAACACGAAGATCTGCCGGTATCCAGAGTTGAATAGAGGCTTGAATTCATAGTCTAACACACTATTCACCAGACTACACTAATTTCTCAGGCCTGTGCATGCTCGCTAGCCTACACAGAGCAGGGTTTGGCCTTTTGTAGCTCACGATGCACACACTTGTCGAAGACAGTGAACCCGAGTCAGTCCGATGCTGGCACAGATTAGAAAACGCAAGGATGTGTCTACACAATATGTTTCTGTGGTGAGACCCACGGACTACTCTCTTAGCTTGTGAGCTAAGTGTCCCACGACCACCATGGCAGGGAGATGTAACAGCTACATAAAGGTAAAGGGACCCCTGACCATTAGGTCCAGTCGTGGACTGACTCTGGGGTTGTGGTGCTCATCTCGCTTCACTGGCCGAGGGAGCCGGCGTACAGCTTCCGGGTCATGTGGCCATCATGACTAAGCCGCTTCTGGCGAACCAGAGCAGCGCACGGAAACGCCGTTTACCTTCCTGCCGGAGTGGTACCTATTCATCTACTTGCACTTTGACGTGCTTTCGAACTGCTAGGTTGGCAGAAGCAGGGACTGAGCAATGGGAGCTCACCCCGTCACAGGGATTCAAACTGCCGACCTTCTGATTGGCAAGCCCTAGGCTCTGTGGTTTAACTCACAGCGCCACCCGTGTCAGGCATGTAAAACGTAAAAGGAAGGCCATGCAGCACACACAGGCATTGAAGGAGAGGCCATCCAAACTGCTTGCCGGTTCTTCCCCCTCTTTTCAAGCTTAAGTAAGGTGTGCTGGTGTGCAAGGGCAATGCTTTCTATGCATTAACCCAGAAGGAGTTTAGGCAAGTTTCCCAGGTCTCCAAGGCTTGGTCTGAGGGCGCATGGTGACATTAAGCAGTTTTGGGTCACTGCTTGGCTGGGAGATCCCTGGGCACGCCACGGCAAGTCCCATGATGGAAGCATCTAATAGTGAATGGACTCAAGGAACGCTCCAAGGACAAAAGCATGGGCGCAGCGTCGGGTTTCCCCCACAGGTATTTTCTTCGCCTACACTGGGCCTTGCTCCCCCCCCCACCCCTTCCCCCAACCCACCACAATTCAATTCTCACCTCCTCTCCCTTAGGTATCCGGCGACTCGAGATGATTATGATCTTGTCCTCCTTGTCAAAAGTCACCACCTCAGCCACACAGTTGGGTGCGCAGGAGTGATTGATGTACCTGAGGGGGGGCAGCAGAAGAGGGTGAGATAGGCATCATGCGCCTGGACCCTTAACCCCACAGCACCACAGGCTTAGGCCCTTTAGGAACCCAACTTCTCATCTGGAATTTGGGGGAGCTGAGCCGGCCAGGACGACCACAGCACAATTATATTATTGATCTTCGAGAGAACTAAGTATTCATTAGGTGAAAGGAGGGCTGGGAAGCTGTAGCCCTGGCTGAAAGACACCCTACAGCAGAGGTTCTCAACTTTTTTGAGTCCACGGCTCCCTTGATCAACTACATTCTTTCTGCAGCACCCCTGTGGGGCCCAGAAGCCCAGTTGTGTTAAGCCCTGCTGGCAGAACTGGCAGCCTCTTAACCCTTTTTCAAACACCCTCCCTTGTGGAGTGTTCCCTCAGCCTCCTCTCCTAGGGATTCCTCTGGTCAGCGGCCGCCGCCACCGCCCCTGGTCTCTGAGCTGCTTCCTCGCCCCCCGTCCCAAAGAGAGGTGCCTCCTTACACTGCCCCACAAGCCAAGTTACAGGGAACCAGGCAGAGGGCCTTCTCGGTAGTGGCACCCGCCCTGCAGAACGCCCTCCCACCAGATGTCAAAGAGAAAAATAACTACCAAACTTTTAGAATACATCTGAAGGCAGCCCTGTTTAGGGAAGCTTTTAATTTTTAATAGGTGATTGCATTTTAGTGTTTTGTTGGAAGCCGCCCAGAGTGGTTGGGGAAACCCAGCCAGACGGGCGGGGTATAAAGAATAATAATAATGGCCAGTGACTTGTCTGTCTATTCCCAACAGCAAGGGCTGGTGGACTGGCTGGCTGGGCTCCTATGCCTGCTTGATTGCTTGCTTACTCTCTGAGGCTGCCTCAGTTCCTGGCAACCAGCACCCCCAGGCCAGCCCTAGAGGCACCATTCGCCAGCGGAGCTTGTAGCCAGGGCTGCTGCAACAAACAGCCGTGCAAGCCTTTGGGAGGCAGAGATCCGAGAGGACATCAGAGGAAAGAGGGACAGAGGCCAGTGTTGCCTGCGGAACCCCTGACCATCATTCAAGGATCCTCTCTTATACTGTGGCGGTTTGCATCCCCTCTTAGCCTGCCTGCTGTCTCCCATGTTCCCTAGCCAACTTCCACAATTTTTCAGCTTTGGGCAAGACACTCTTCTTTCTTCCCAACTAGCTAATCGATCATCAGGTCATGACAGATTGAGAACTCAATGATAACAAGTTGCTGGTGTGCTGCTTCTTTGAGATCTGCTGAGGGAATAGTGTTCTGCTCAGCTCTGAGGGACTAAAGGATGCTATGGAGAAGGAAGTTGGCCCCAGAGACCTCCCCAGGACGGCAGAAAACTGTCCCACCAGCAGCGGAGTTGGGAAAGAGGCGTTTTGGAAGCTGCAGTTCTCCAGGATCATAAACCCCTTCCGTTTTCCTGAAATGCCCCTCAAATTGTGCCTGGAGCTATCCCACAGATTCATAGAATTGTAGAGGGGACCACAAGGGTCATCTAGTCCAACCCCCTGTATTGCAGGAATCCTTTTGCCACAACCCTGAGGTTAAGAGTCTCAAGCTTTTATCGACTGAGCTGCCCCACTCAAGAGTGCCTGGAGCTATTCCAGTGGAACTAGTGTAGTAAATCCTGTGCCACTGAAGTCCATGGGAAAGGGTGGGAGGGGGAAAAGAAAGGCTAAAAGAAGCTACAATAGAGCTGTCCTTCTGCCTTTCCCTCAGCCAGTAGAGTACAGTGGTGCCTCGCAAGACGAAATTAATTCGTTCCGCGAGTTTTGTCGTCTTGCGATTTTTTCGTCTTGCGAAGCACGGTTTCGGAAAAGCTTCAAAAATCACCAAAGTCTTTAAAAACCTCAAAAAAGGCTACCACACCGCGTGCTATGAGTTGCTCCTCGAAGTCAAGTCGCAACTGTATTAACGGTTTTAAGAAAAAGGAAACAAACTTGCAAGACGTTTCCGTCTTGCAAAGCAAGCCCATAGGGGAAATCGTCTTGCGAAGCAACTCAAAAAACCCAAAACCCTTTCGTCTTGCGAGTTTTCCGTCTTGCGAGGCATTCGTCTTGCGAGGTACCACTGTATTGGAATACTTTGCCCACCCTTCCCTTTGAAATGATCTTGTTTTAAAAAAAATCCAATTGATGACTGCAACTATTTGGCCCCTCTAAATGTTGCTGAACCACAGCTGCCAGCACCCTCTATTGGATGAAGTCGATGGGAATTGGAGGGCCCAGGTTTCCCATCTGGGAAAAAGCCTCTGTTTAGTTGCCAATGAGTGCATTTTGCTTCGACAGCTAATAACGATGTGTGTTTATTCAGAAAACGCTATTGCAGTACGACTTAAATCACTGCCAATGAAAAATCAACCCACCCTGAACATCGAAGTCTGTGATGGGCTAACAAGAGCTTTGGCTGCAATGAACTGCCATGGTATAGCTTCACTCACCTGGCAGGGCCACCTGTCAGTGTGGCATCAATGACGTGCTCATTGTTGATACGGAACATGTAGATCCCTCGGTTCTGGACAAGAGGGGAAAAGGAGAGAGAGAGATGGATTATATTGTGTGTTCAGAAACCAGTGCTTCATGCCTTTGCTCTCAGCTGGGTACAAGCTAATGGTTTTAGCTTGTTTTAGCTTGCTGGGTACAAGCTAATGGTTTATTTTAGCTTGCTGTTGTGCTCTGTATTTCAGCATGTCAAGCGTGTATGTGTGTGTCACATGCTAGGCCATGTACATTTCAGAGTTGAACCGAAGAGACAAATTTGCCATGTGTTGTTTCACCTCTAGCTGTCGCACTGTGATGTGGAAATCTTAAAAAACAAACAAAACAAAAACCAATGGAAGAAGAGGCTAAATCAGCAACTTCTCTGTCTTGTGCACCTTCAGAATGACCCTGTAAGGTAAGCTGAGACTAGGGATGCTTGAGGAATTTGATAACTGCAAATTCCAGATACGAACTGGCCCTATCTGCACCTCCAAGGCTAAGGTGAAGAAGGTCTGAACTTCAGTTAGCCACTGGTATTCAAAGTTCCTCAACATCACTGTTGTCTCAAAGAATGTATTAGAATACATACTTCGGGAGAAAATAAGTTAAGAAATAAGAAACTTAAAGAATGATTTTGTCCTCATTTTTCAAAGTTTTTTTTTTAAAAAAGCCAATGAACGTGGAAAGGGGACAGAAGTAAAACTGGTGAGTAAAACACATGCAAAAGCAATGAAGATCTGAAATAAGACTGAGCTGTTTATAGTCGCTACCTTCCTCCATTGAACAAATGGAGAAACAATTCGAGAAGAGAACCACCACGGAAGATCTCTCAGATCTCAGTCAAGTATTCGCTGGTAGGTAAAAGGTAAAGGACCCCTGGACGATTAAGTCCAGTCAAAGGCGACTATGGGGTTGTGGTGCTCATCTTGCTTTCAGGCCAAGGGAAATGGCGTTTGTCCACAGACAGCTTTCCGGGTCATGTGGCCAGCAACTGGCTCAACAGGACACCGTGACGGAAGCCAGAGCTCACAGAAACGCTGTTTACCTTCCTGCCACAGTGGAACCTATTTATCTACTTGCACTGGTGTACTTTCAAACTGCTAGGTTGGCAGGAGGGGGGACAAAGCAATGGGAGCTCACCCTGTCGCCGGGATTCAAACCACCAACCTTCCAATCAGCAAGCCCAAGAGGCTCAGTGGTTTTGACCACAGCGCCACCCATGGCTGCTATTCCCTGGATACACACAATCCACCCACATAAAGCCCTTCCCTGGATGACGAGACGACACTCTGGGATCATTTCCAACTCTATACAGTGGTACCTTGGGTTAAGAACTTAATTTGTTCCAGAGGTCCATTCTTAACCTGAAACTGTTCTTAACCTGAGGTACCACTTTAGCTAATGGGGCCTCCCGCTGCCGTCACGCGATTTCTGTTCTCATCCTGAGGTAAAGTTCTTAACCCGAGGTACTATTTCTGGGTTAGCAGAGTCTGTAACCTGAAATATCTGTAACCTGAAGCGTCTGTAACCCGAGGTACCACTGTACAGGTCTATGATTCCCAATTCCTTGCTACTGTCAAGGAGCACAGCTCTGGAACAAACCAGAAGGGCATTTAAGCCTCAGTCCCTCTTCCAGTCCGAAGAAGAAGAAGAAGAAGAAGAAGAAGAAGAAGAAGAAGAAGAAGAAGAAGAAGAGGAGGAGGAGGAGGAGTTGTTGTTGTTGTTGTTTAGATTTGATATCCCGCCTAATCACTACCTGAAGGAGTCTCAAACGGCTAACATTCTCCTTTCCCTTCCTCCCCCACAACAAACACTCTGTGAGGTGAGTGGGGCTGAGAGACTTCAGAGAAGTGTGACTGGCCCAAGGTCACCCAGCAGCTGCATGTGGAGGAGCGGAGACGCAAACCCGGTTCACCAGATTACGAGTCCACCGCTCTTAACCACAATACCACACTGGCAAGAACCCCAAACACTGGCTAGAGGTCGGGACGTTTCCACCCGCATCTCTCTCCACCCAAGGCCTCGCTTCTTCTCCCACCTGCTCCTCGTAGATCTTCTCTCTCCGGTTGGCCACCTCGTTGCGGATGATGGTGCCAATGTACTCAATGACCATCGTGTGCTTCTCTATATCCTTTGCAGCGTAGAGGCCGAGCCCTTGGATGCGGGAGCGGGCCAGGTAGACGTTGTTCTTCCATTCCGTCTTGAGGCGGCGGTACTGGGAGGACTTGGAGTGCACAAACTGCTTGCTGTACGGCGTGTTGGTTTCGCCCGTGAACGTGCTCTGGTAGGCCTTGGACATGCTGGTGCTGTTCAGAGTGTGGGGCCTTCAAAAGGCATGGGGCAGGGAAGGAGAAAAGAGGTCAACGTCAAACCCACTGCAAAGGAAGCAAGCAGTTGTCCAAAGTCTCAAATCCAAGGCCTTTCACATTACCCCATCCATATTTAACTGGATGTCAGGAATCCTTTGCTGTCGCTCGAGGCTCAGGTGGCCTCAGTGGCCCGGAGTGCTTTCCATCAGCTTCGGCTGGCGGCCCAGCTACGCCCCTATCTGGACAGGGATACCCTAACTACTGTTGTCTATGCTCTGGTAACCTCAAGGTTAGATTATTGCACTGCGTTATACGTAGGGCTGTCTCGGAAGACAGTTTGGAAACTTCAGCTGGTGCAGAATTCACCAGAGCAAGACGGCTTGAGCATATTGCACCGATCTTGGTCTGACTGCACTGGCTACCAGTGAGTTTCCGGGCCCAATTCAAAGTGCTGCTTTTGACCTATAAAGCCTTAAATGGCTCAGGACCGCAATACCTCAAAGTCCGCCTCTTTCCATATGAACCTACGCCGACCATAAGATCATCTTCTGAGGCCCTTCTGTGTGTGCCTCCTCCTTTAGAGGTCCAGAGAGCGGCAACATGAGAACGGGCCTTCTCTGCAGTGCCCCCCCCCCCCGTGGAATGCTCTCCTCAGGAAAGTTCGCCTGGTGCCTGCATTATACACCTTTAGGTGTCAGGCGAAAACGTTCCTTTTTAACCAGGTTGATGCGATTGACATCCTATGCCCTTTTAAAATGTGGTTTTATTGTGGGGGGAGAAGAAGAAGAAGAAGAAGAGTTTGGATTTGATATCCCGCCTTTCACTCCCTTTAAGGAGTCTCAAAGCGGCTAACATTCTCCTTTCCCTTCCTCCCCCACAACAAACACTCTGTGATGTGAGTGGGGCTGAGAGACTTCAAAGAAGTGTGACTGGCCCAAGGTCACCCAGCAGCTGCATGTGGAGGAGCGGAGACTCGAACCCGGTTCCCCAGATTACAAGACTACCGCTCTTAACCACTACACCAAACTGGCTCTGGGGTGTTGCTTTTATTTTGATTCTGTATTTTACATTTTGATTTTATTCTGTGAACCGCCCTAAGGCCTCTGGGTATAGGTTGGTATATAAATTCAATAAATAATAAATTTATTTCGCTTTGTGCTGCTGTCTCAAGAGAGGCCTGTGTTGTCCACCCAGCAAGTGATGTCTGGGGTCCGTTCTGCTCACCGTTTGTAGTGCGTGAGGATTTTGGGCTCCGACCGGGCGCAGCCAGTGGGGTTGATCATGAGTGGAAGCTCCATGAGTGGGTGGCGCCCATAGCGGAACATGTAGTTCTGGCAGCTCTCAACACCAGGCAGCTGGGAAGGAAAGGGACCCATTTCTCATATCCTCATGTTACAGGCACAGGCACACCTTCACCACACGGTGCTGACACAGCCCAGTCCACCCCACCCCGAAAGAAAAACCAAACCCAAACACATTTAAGGGGAAACGGAATTTTAAACAATTCCCTCCAGTAGCACCTTAGAGACCAACTAAGTTTGTTACTGGTATGAGCTTTCCTGTGCATGCACACTTCTCCAGATACACTGAAACAGAAGTCACCAGACCCTTATATATAGTGAGAGGGTGGGGAGGGGTATTACTCAGAAGGGGGGTGGGAATAGTTGGCCTCTAAGGTGCTACTGGAAGGATTTTTTTTGTTTGCTTGTTTCGACTACGGCAGACCAACACGGCTACTTACCTGTAACTAGAACATTTAAGGGGTTCCTAGTGCAAATCCATTCAAATGCATTAAAAAATTCAACCATATATATATATGGAGACTACAGCAGCGTTTCCCAAATTTGGGTCTCCGGCTGTTTTCGGACTACAATTCCCATCATCCCTGACAGTTGGTCTTGCTAGGTAGGGATGATGGGAGTCGTAGTCCAAAAGCAGCTTCAGACCCAAGTTTGGGAAACGCTGCTGTACAGCAAGGTCGGCACAACTAATACCAGAGCTGATCGCAGCTTTAGGCTCAAGAGGTGCTGACCAGCAGTTCTGTGGACAGATGTGTAACTTGGCTTAAACCTCCCCCACCCCCCTGGGACCCAACTCATGGGAAGCCCCTTCCCCACCCTACTACTACTGCCGCCGCCACCAAAACACCAGGGTTCCGGTTCCTCGTGTTTGATACATACAGACTCCGCAATTCGCAGCACAGCATGCACCGTCAAGCCAAAGAGCTCTTCTCCCTTGAGATATTCGGGGAAGAGCCTCAGCATGTCCGCTTCCTTGCGCATCAAGGCCACCGGTTCGATGATTCGGTTCCATACCGCTGTAACCAAAGAAGAGCAAAGAAGGATAATTTTAAAAACCTGCCAGAGAAGATGGGCAACCTATCTGGTTTGCGGGCAACCCGGGCTGCAAACTTATCAAAACGTCTTGCCTTACTGCAGTCATCTAACCCTGCGACTTCCAAGTGACTTCAAGAAACTATGCAAAATGCAGAATACATGGCAACATCTGGCAACTGATCCTTGTTTGCCGGCAGCCTAAGTTCCTGGGCACTTGGCTAACAGTGGGCCTGCCGCAAGGTTTCTCTGTATTTTCCTCCACCAGCTCTACACCACTTTATGCTGCCCTGGTCTTCTGTTGTAAGATCTTCTGTTGTAACGTAAGATACGTCAGACAAAAAGCCAATCTGGTCCAACATCCCGCTCTCACAGCAGCCAACCCAAAGGCTGTGGAGAAAGCCTACAAGCAGGAACAGACTACAACAGCTCCACCTTCCATTCCTAGAAACTCACATGCCCATGGGAAGCTTCCTTGTACTGTGTCAGATCCTTGCTCCATCTAGCTGAGCACCGTCTACCCTGAATTGCAGTGACTCTCCAGGGTTTCAGGCAGGATCCGTTCCCCAGTCCTTCCTGGAGGTGCCAGTGAAGGAAGCCTGGACCTTTAGGCTTGTGCTCCGATACACAGCTCCATTGAATATTAAAAACGAATCATCTTTTAATATGCCATTTTCAAAAAGTGGGCACGCTTATGTAGTGTATTCCAGTAGTAGTAGTAGTAATAATAATAATATTTCTTTTATGAAATCAGGGATTGGCTGGGCATTGATGAGTGGGCATTGGGAGAAGGGTGGTTGGACACTGATGGAAGAAGGAATCATTGATCTGGGGGAGAAGCTCTCTGGCTCCACTGGCTCCCAGGACCAGAAGAGGACTGAAGAGAGAGGAGCAGAAACAGGTTACACACAGGCAAAGTCTCTGCCTGCTTGTGCATGGCTCAAGTGGGGAAGATACATAAGCTGAGGTCCAGGGTGGGGTCTCTCTGTTGCGGCAGCTGCCACATTGGATGCACACTTAGGATACCTGAGAGACGCAGGGCTGATGGACATGCCTTTTCCTAGCTTGGTGCTTTTGACAATAAAGATCTAATGCCTGACAGCGCTGTGACAGTAAGTTACAGTGCTGCAGGTCAGTGGCGTTTGGGGTGAGAAGGGGCAATTCCCATCTCGCTACATTTCAGGCTGTGAGAGTCTACAGCTGCGTATCACCTCCTTCTCTGGCCAACGTGAAGGTTCTACCTGTAAAATGCTGGTATTATAAAAATCTGTTGTGTTTTAGGTTTGACTGCCTGATTTTGGAGTTTGGGTGAAAAATATTTAAGACACAGCCTGTGTGAAATGTGCTATGGATTTATGAGATACAGGATGCAGAAAAGCTTATTTCTAAACATACTTTTTCACCTTGAATTTAACAAGAGAGGGGTCATTTGGACCTCGCTGGATCCTGCGTGTCCTCAAAAATAAAAATTTGGAGATGGCAGTTTTTGCAGATGAAGTATGCTGCTCTGCTTCCTTTTGCCCACTATTCTACCTGTAGTTGTTTACACAATGAACTGCTCTCTAGTTTCTAAACCCTGAAGCTTGACAAAGCAGGAAAGATGCATTGCAAGGAGGCTGGCTGACGGACGCAAAGCCAACACCGTTTGCGCAAAGCATTTCTGGGCAGAGGAACCGCATCCCCAGTGCACCAGAAGCTCACTTCAGCCCGGCATCCAGAATTCTAGCTATCTTTCCGGAGAAACGGACCTGGCGGTTGCTCTCGACAGCGAGAGGACTGAGCGGACCCCTACCCTGCGGCGAGGAGTCCGTGAAGACCAAGTCCTCCAAGCCCTGCTCCATGACTTGCACCACAAACTCCGGCCGGCCGTTGTTCTCGCAGATGGTGCAGCGGTAGCAGCAGCGCCGGTTGTTGGTGCGCAGGCTCCAGTAGATGCGGGTGGCCTCGTAGCCCACCGGGTAGAGCGCCGTGACGCTGTGGAAGTCGGCCATCTGGTGGGGCAGCAGCTGCCCGATGGCGTGGAAGACGAGGCCCCCCACCCGGAACATGTGGAGGCGCTCGCCTCGCTGGATGATGCTGGCGATCTGCTTGACCTCGTCGCGCTCGATGTAGACGCGCCGGAAGACGGTGAAGGTGCTCAGCTCCTGGTCGCAGGGGCCCTTGAGCTTGTGCATGGGGCAGAGCATGGTCTTGTCCTTGAAGAACATGCACTTGGCCCGGATGGCGCAGGCGAAGTGGTAGACGTTGGGGCAGCGGATGCGGTTGCAGCTGTTGGTGGCGCCCGTCTTCTGGCAGAGGGTGCACTTGGTGAGCAGGCCCCGGTGCAGCGCCACCTCCACGTTGATGAGAGCCCCGCCCTGGGTCTCGTAGACCTCTGTGGACCACAGGGCGCAGTTGAGGTGCACCCAGAGGTCCAGGTCCAGGTTGAGCAGGCGCGCCGGCCCGTCGGTGGCGCCGTCACCCTCCTCGTGGCAGAAGCAGCACTTCCGCAAGTCCCGGGGCACTTTGTCGGGGCGCAGGGTGGCGGCCAGGCGCTCGACAAAGTCCGCGATCTCCCGGTCCCCGTCCCGCTTGGCGCCGCCCTTCTGGATGGTGATGAGGAAGCGCAGCCGTTTCCAGCGCACCCCCTTCCACTTCTTCAGGCGCGGCTTGTTCTCCTCGCCGTCTTCCAGGGGCCGCGAGCGGGGCTTGGCTTTGGGCGGGGACTGGGGGGCTTCCTCCTTGGGGGAGGAGGGTGGGGGCGGCGGAGGGGACGGAGCGGGCAAGGGCGGCGCTTCGGGCTCGGGGACCGGCTCGGGGACCCTGGGGGGGCTGGGCGGGGAGGGCGCGAAGGGGGAGAGGGGCGGAGAGGGTTCCTCGGGAAGGGTCAGCAGCTGCCGCACATCCAGGTTGGCAACGTTGTTGATGTAGCAGTGCTGGGCGGCCTTTTCCGGGGTGGGACTCTCCTGGAAGAGAGAAAGGAAAAAGCATTTTGAGAGGCGGTGGTCTCAGGCTGCAAACCAGTAGGCCTGTGCCCTGCCAAATGCAAGGTGGTTCTTTTAAAATGAGATTCAGAAGTACAGCCGTACCTTGGAAGTTGAACTGACTTCCAAAGTGTTCGAAAACCAAAGCGCGGCTTCCGATTGGCTGCAGGAAGCTCCCACAGCCAATCGGAAGCTGCGGAAGCCCCATCGGACGTTCGGCTTCCAAAAGAACGTTCGAAAACCAGAACACTCACTTCTGGGTTTCGATCATTCGGGAGCCAAGGAATCGAGAATTAGGCTGTTCGAAAACCAAGGTACGACTGTAATACAAAACACAAGTGAGAAGATTAAAGATTTTATTCTAAGCAGCAAGCAATATATACATACCAAGCAAGCGCTTCAATCTGCCATTTGGAAGCCCTCAAGAAGCGGCAAAGTGACTCCCCCAGGTAGCCTCAGTTTGCACGGCCCCACAAGCTTCTCTCTAAAACTCTGCCCACAACCATCCGATTTATAGATAGCTAGCCTGTGTGGCTTGCCCGACTGGCTAAAAAGGTAAAGGTAAAGGTACCCCTTACCATTAGGTCCAGTTGCGGACAACTTTGGGGTTGTGCGCTCATCTCCCTTTACGGCCGAGGGAGCCGGCGTACAGCTTCCGGGTCATGTGGCCAGCATGACTAAGCCATTTCTGGCAAACCAGAGCAGCATACGGAAACGCCGTTTACCTTCCCGCTGGAGCGGTACCTATTTATCTACTTGCACTTTGACGTGCTTCTGAACTGCTAGGTGGGCAGGAGCAGGGACTGAGCAACAGGAGCTCACCCCGTTGCGGGGATTCGAACCGCTGACCTTCCGATCGGCAAGCCCTAGGCTCTGTGGTTTAACCCACAGCGCCACCCGCTTCCCAATGCCTCACTTTCTCAAAACAATGCCCAACATCAAAGAAGGTAACCTGCACTTCCTCCCAACTGATTAGGACATTCATGCCATTAAAGAACTTAACAAGAGGCAGGGAGGGGGAAGGAACAGAGGCAGGAAGAGCAACCATGTCAGATCACTAACTCCTCAAAATACAATTTATCTTCTGGATAGATTGCCCATACAGCTTGGCACTAGAGACACAGCCACAGCTGCACGCTTTGCAGGTGCCATACAGGTGCTGCTCCTCCATTATTACACCTGTGCCAGTTTGCCAACAGCTAATCAACAGTGCACCCGTTGCTTCCTTCTTTTCTACAGAGCTGGGGGAGGGGATCAGCCACAGGCGGTTCATTAGGGAAAAGGAAATGCAGCTCAGGGAGGGAGGGGTGTACACTCTCACGGGGAGTACTGTTAGAACTTTAAACCAGGCGCATCACTGCAATTATGGATTGCTAGAAGAAACTGGGTGTTTTGAAAGGCAAGTTGAGGTGGATCAGCATTGTTCTCATCCCACAAGTCATTCTTACAGCCCTTAAGTCCTAGTGTTTGAGATGGGGGGAAATATGTACGTACAGTGGTACCTTGGGTTACAGGCGCTTCAGGTTACAGACTCCGCTAACCCAGAAATAGTACCTTGGGTTAAGAACTTTGCTTCAGGATGAGAACAGAAATTGTGTGACGGCGGTGCGGCATGCCCCATTAGCTAAAGTGGTGCTTCAGGTTAAGAACGGAACGAATTAAGTACGTAACCAGAGGTACCACTGTATTCTGAAGTACAGCGGTACCTCGGGTTAAGAACTTAATTCATTCTGGAGGTCTGTTCTTAACCTGAATGTTCTTAACCTGGGGTACCACTTTAGCTAATGGGGCTTCCCGCTGCTGCCGCTGCACAATTTCTGTTCTCATCCTGAAGCAAAGTTCTTAACCCGAGGTACTATTTCTGGGTTAGCGGAGTCTGTAACCTGAAGCGTCTGTAACCCGAGGTACCACTGTAGTCCTCTTCTCCCGCTCCACCCCCAATTTCTTTCTCTTCTACTTTCCAAGACACCTATGGGGTACTGGGGCAGGTAGGAATCTAGGGCCCAGTTAATACACCTTCCCAAAGCAAAGGAAGATTAAAGAGAGAGAGAGAGAGAGAGAGGTGGTATTGGCAAAACGCAGAATGAGACAGAATTTAAAAGGAGGGAGGGGAAGATGAAGAGAAATTACACTGGAAGGGGGTATTGTGCCAAGACCTCCAGCTAATCCCCCTGATTTCTGTTCTGGTTTCTGTTCTGGTAATGTATTTTGTGTTTTCATATTGTGGTTTTATGCTATGAACCACCCTGAGACCTGCAGGTATAGGGCAGTATACAAATTTAATTCATCATCATCATCATCATCCAGTGGTCAAACCTGCCAAGTGGATAGGGAGAAAAGCATTCTGGGAAATCTCCCACCCCCGACCCTTTCCCACCTGTTTGAGCAGCGTCAAGATGTCCAGCTCGTTCTTGAGACTGTAGCCAGGCAGCATTGCATCAAACTGCTTCAGCCATTCTGGCCCTCCTTCGGGGCCCTTGGGAGCCGCTGGCTTCTCTTTGCCTAAGGGGAAAGGGGGGGGGACCTTTTAAACAGGTACTTACAGCCAGGGGCACAGAAACCTCGAGTGCACATATGCGTCCACGATCTCCTGAAGTTCGGCTACTTACCCTGCGCATCAGCATCGACTTTTCTGGGCTCGCTGGCAGCAGCCCGCATGGGGCTGTCCGGAAACAGCACTTCGTAAGAACTGGGGATCTTCATGCTCAACAGCTCTGCCACGGCCACCATGACACCGTTCAGGTTCTGGGGGAACATGGGAAGAGTCAGGAAGGAGCGGCGGGTAGCCGAGCCGCCCGAAACCTTTGCGGGGTAAGCTCACCTACTCACAAGCCTCATTTTGCACAACTGCCGCTGCACACCATTGCTTCAGCATCCCAGACAGTGGATTGAGAAAGATTCAGTCAAGCCTATCCTTAAGCGTCAATCCCAAAGTCAATCCCCGGCATCTCTGGTTAGGACTGTGAGCATCTGCAGTTTGAGAGCCACTGCCAGCCCGCTAGCTGTTTTTGGACTACAACTCCCATCATCCTCAGGTACCAGTAGTCAGGGATGATGGGAGTTGTAGTCCAAAAACAGCTGGAGGGCCAAGTTTTGGAAACACTGGTGTAGACAGTGCTGAGCTAGGCAGACCAATGGTTTATCACAATGCAGTCTATCACATTCCTATGTTTTGCTTCTGGCTGTAAGTCTCATGCTGTTAGTGTATCACTCGATCTCTCCTCAGCAACTCACAGCTGAAAACCTGAATTGTGTATCAGCATATTGTCTGAGGGGGAAGGGGATGCAAGAAGGAAAGTTGCAGATCTTTTGCATGTGGTCTGGTGGGGACTGCTGGCGTGCACACATGTGCTGCACTCGCCAGGTAACGTGTGCAAATTCAATGCCAGTGTTGAAAACTGGGGAGAAATTTACTGCTTGGCTCTGACTGCTGGGAAACCAAGCAACACAGTTTATCCCAGCTCTGCCTTTGCGTCCAAACAACTTACCGTATTTTTCACTCTATAAGACACACCTAGTTTTTAGAGGAGGAAAACAAGGGGAAAAAATCTCTCCCTCTCTGCACAACGCCTCTCCAGCGAAGTGGGAGGAGAAATGGAAGGGGCTCCATTCCTCCTCCCGCTTCGCTGAAGGGGCGCTGCGCAGCTCTCCCTCTCTGCGCAGCGCCATCCGCTCCATAAGACGCACAGACATTTCCCCTGACTTTTTAGGAGGGAAAAAAGTGCGTCTTATGGCCCTCCAGAAATTTATTTTTATTTAGCAAGATTTGCTGCTTAATTAAAAGAACCTCCAAGCCATTCACATTAAATATTCATTTTTAAAGCAGCAGCACAAGACATTCAGCACATAAAAAACCCTCGAATTATCAACGTATCGATAAAAAACAGCAGTACACCTAATAAAATTAAAAGTCTGGCTAGGTTTGCCTGCGCACGAAAAAAGACTCCGCTTCCGATCCAGACATTAGCCCTGCCCTATGCGAAACAAGACATGGTAAAAGGCACCACCACGCCAGAATATTTATCGCCCCGGAAACAATTGTGAAGCTCCGCCCTTGGGTCGGGGGCTTTTCTGTGGTGGCTCCCTACCTTGGCGGCAGCTGCAGAGACAGTGAGCATGACAGAGACCTCGCTGCCCTTGGCTTTCTCCCAGGACGTGCCTGGAGTCCCCTTTCCCGCTTGCTCCAAGGTCCCGTAAGGCTTGGCATCTGGGAAAGCTGAGAAGTGGGAGGCAAGGGGGAGACAATGGCAAGAGTCAAACACACACACACACACGTATAATTAGCACTTTGTATCACCTAAGAAAAGGACGCGGGTGGCGCTCTGGGTTAAACCACAGAGCCTAGGGCTTGCCGATCAGAAGGTTGGCGGTTCGAATCCCCTCAACGGGGTGAGCTCCCGTTGCTCGGTCCCAGCTCCTGCCCACCTAGCAGTTCGAAAGCACGTCAAAGTGCAAGTAGATAAATAGGTACTGCTCCAGCGGGAAGGTAAACGGCGTTTCCATGCGCTGCTCTGGTTCGCCAGAAGCGGCTTTGTCATGCTGGCCACATGACCCGGAAGCTGTACGCCGGCTCCCTCGGCCAATAAAGCAAGATGAGCGCTGCAACCCCAGAGTCGGTCACGACTGGACCTAATGGTCAGGGGTCCCTTTATCACCATAGAAAGCACAGAGCTACCTAGCACTCAAACCACACCCCGTTTGCCTCTTAGAATCAAAATGTCTGTTGCCAATGGTACCCGAGAAGCACTACTTCTGCCGTTGGAGAGCCTAGAATCATAGAAGGGACCTCAGGGGTCAAGTAGTCCAACCCCTAAAAAGCAGGGGTGGGGAATCTCGGGCCCAAGGGCAGAACACATTTTTCTGGGACCCATCTCCATCCTCTTTTGCCTGGCTGCAGGGTGCCCTTGCAGTGGGTCAGTGTTCCTTATTTCCCTGCCTGGACTCGGGTCTGTTGTACAAAGTTACACCGGTTGCTTTGCCCAACTTCTGCATCTGGCCCCCAGAAGGCTGCCCAAGAAGGAATGTGGCTCTCAGGTTCCTTCTCCCTGACCTAAAGTTATGGGCACCTTCTCCCTAGGACAACAGCAGCAGTTTTCCCCCAAACATTTATTCAAAAGTTACAATACAGCTGTGTCCACTGCCGTAATATCAGAGAATGATCACTCCAATCCTCCATCCCACATCACTGTCATGTTGGCTCACCAAATATCCTCAATAGGAGCCCAACTACCGATCGGGTTTACTAGACATTTTCAATCCGAATCTCCTCCCCCCAGACACCTCTGTGATAATGATGACATTGAAATATCCTGTCCTTCTTCAATAAAAGTGAAGAAAAGGAGGCCAAATCGTGTCAAAGGTATCTTTTTTGGAGATTCCTTTGATTAGTCGCCCAATGGTATTTGATAAAGCAAAGCTCCATATTATTATTAACCCAAGCCTCTATTGGCATGTTAGAGGTTTCCTTCCATCGCTGGGCAATAACTAGTCGGTCTGCTGTGAATAGGAAGGAAATTAATTCTTTCGATTTAAGGGTAGAATTCGGGGTCAAATCTAGTGATGATAAGGCAAGTGCCGAATCTGGGGGGGATAGTTTAGTGGTTTCGCAGTGTGGTCCATGCCTTTGGGGGATAAAGTTCTTCATCTGACCTCCAAAGACAGCGGCAGAGTTTAGATGCTGCGGCAGCCCATTCCCTTGAGCATCTTCTCTGTCCGCCACAAACCTGGGATGCTGGCCTTTGGGATGATGGGGATGACTGGAGAGAGGGGTCTCTCTTCCACTTCCGGCTTGGCTCCGGACAGCAGGGGAAAGCGTGGCACCTCTTCGCTCAGGACACTCTCGGGGGATGAGGCTGGGACGATGCTGTCGGGGGAGTCGCTCTCCTCGTCACTCTCCATCCTGGAAGGAAATCGGGCGGGACCTCAGAACGGTGCTGCCACCGTTGCCATGGCTCCTGACAGAGGTGGGACTGCGGTAACCCAGCCTGACCCACACCCTAGGTCAGGGGTGGGGTGGGGGACCTGTGGCCCTCCAAATGCCACCGGACTACAACTCCCATCATCCCTGACCATCTCCAGGGCCACAGGTTCCCCAGCCATCCTCATGATTCCAGGAAGATGAGATGCACGGGTAAAGATCAGGGTTTCCCAAACTTGGGTCTTCAGCTGTTTTGGGACTACAATTCCCATCATCCCTGACCACTGAGTCCTAGGGATGACGTGAGATTATAGATTAAGAATATAGTGGTACCTCGAGTTACAAACGCCTCAGGTTACAAACTCCGCTAACTGGAAGATTTAACTCGAGTTGAGAACTTTGCCCCAGGATGAGAATGGAAATCGTGTGCCGGCGGTGCAGCGGCAGCAAGAGGCCCCATTAGCAAAAGCGCGCCTCTAGTTAAGAACAGTTTCAGGTTAAAAACGGACCTCCGGAACGAATTAAGTTTGTAACTAGAGGTACCACTGTGATGATGATCCTCCTCCTCCTCCTCCTCCTGCTTCTCCCAGAGCAAACAAGGACCACTGACCAACTATACTTCTTTGGACCACTGTTTCTAAGCCTACCAGTTTCGTCTGATTTTTGTTTATTTCAACCCTTTATATACTGCTTAACCACAGCTGTCTCTTAAGTGGTGTACAAAAGACTCCAATGCAATAAAAACTAAAAGTGAGTTAAAACTATTAAATCAGAGAGTTATTAAAAAGCCTGCTGGATTTTTTTTTAAAAGTCTTCAGTAAGTGCTGGAAGTTCAACATGGTGGGACTACAATTCCTGACATCCATGTTGAGGTTGATGGGAGTTTGTGCCCTCCAGGCAGGTGACGCAACGCAAGTAAAGTAGATTATCAATCTTCCATACTTCCCGACAAAACTTCACCCAAGCTTCCCCTCTCCCAAATGCGACAGTTAATGCTATAGCTTCCATTTGGGGGGGGGGAACCCCACGAAGCGGAGGTTCAGGATGCCCCATGGTCGAGTTGGTTCCGTCCTCCAGCTCCATCCTTACCTGACATCCTCGGTCTGGTTGTGTGGCGGTGTGGGCAGAGCTGCGAGGAGATCTAAGCTTTTCACTTCCACAGGGGGAGCATCTACAAAGTGAGGCAGAAAACTCAAAGGTTTAACATGTCAGGATGCTATAGGGAGGGGGGTGGTTTCTAATCATGGCTTCCCTGGATCAATTCCAGCTTGTCAGAGGGTTGCAGCCTATCACAAGCCAAGCCTAATGCTTGCCTTTCTTAGGCAACACCAGCCAAGCAGAGGACTGGCTGGTTCTGGGTGATAATCTGTCTCTTGCTACGAGGAGGAGTGATCCCAGACCCCTTAACAGAGGCAGCCATATGTCCATGCCTGAACATGGACCCACATGGATGCAAGTAAGCATCGGCTGGCTACAAATTTCCCCATTTTGGACAAGGTCCTCAAGTGGGTAGATGTGCAATTCCAGATATGACTGAATTGGACGAATTTTATCTTGATCCAAATTCAAATCCATTTCAAGCCCACGCTTGGCAGCTGGAATGGCTTAGGTGGCTGGCTGCCACATCCTCTTTCCACTACCCCTTTAGAGTTCATTCATTCAGCCTTGTTTTTTAAATTTTTTTTTTAAAAAAATTAAACTAAGCAATAATAATAAATAAATAAGAATAAAAATGTGCATCCCCGCTCCTCGAGACCATTCCATTGTAACTATGCAGCCTCCCAAAATTTCAACACCTCTTGTGATAGTTTGACCCCTTTCTGTTTTAACAGTACAGATTCTACAAACACCTTCCATATCGCCTCAAAATCATTTCTCCTGAATATTCCCTGCCTTCCCTTAATAACACATGTTAATTTATCATTAAAAGCTATATCCTATATTCATTCTATTGGCATAAATTAGACCATAAAATCATAAAAGAGAAAAATATATATAAAAATGGGTAATCCAGACATACTAAACATCTAAAACGTATAAAAGACTCAGCAGCCACCATTAAGTAAAACTAAGTGTTTTAAATGTGACTTTAACAACAACAACATCCCTTTAGAGTCTCTGCGCCAATGAATGCAGCTCTCTTAGTAGCCCACAAGGCAGCAGCCATCAATACAGTCGTACCTTCGTTTTCGAACAACTTAGTTCTCAGACATTTTGGAAGTGAGCGTTCCGATTTGCAAACGTTCTTTGGAACCCGGACATCCAATGGGGCTCCCGAATGGCTGCAGGAGCTTCCTGCAGCCAATCAGAAGCCGCGCTTTGGTTTCCAAACATTTTCGGAACTCGAAAAGACTTCCGGAACGGATTACGTTCCGACTTCCGAGGTACGAATGTATCATGAATTTAACCCAAACCATTTCGGCCTCACCGGTTCCTTTTAACTTCCACTGGGAAGCTCAGCGCAGCCCACCTGGGCCTCCCCCCCATCCAAAATCAGAACAGGGGCCTGCATGCACATTCGCTTCGAGGACGCTGAAGAGCGCCAGAGGTTCTCCCGGAACATTCCGGAACCCGGCAGCACCTCTTCTCCTCAGCCGTGGGGCTAACTTACCCTTTTGCCCTTCGTGCTCGTGGGGCAGCACCGGCTCCTTGGGCTGCTCCGTCAGTTCCTCGGAAGACAGGACCCCGTTCACCAGCTTTTGCTGCACCGAGGGGGGCGGTGTGGGAGGCAGCGAAGAAGGTGGGGTTGGCGGGTTGCTCAGATTGTTCTAGAAAGAGATCAGAGGAGTCTGTATCCAGCAGAGCCCCTGACCCACCACCAAACCTGAGGCGCTTTAGGTCACCTCGCCAAAACCCACATTTCCATAAACAGCTTCTTATTATTCTTATTAATTGAATTTATATACAGTACCGCCCTATACCCGGGGGTCTCAGGGCGGTTCACAGAATAAAATCAAGATATAAAACCACAAAATGCCTAATAAAAATAAAAACAACAACCCAATAGCGCCACCCCCCCACCCCAAAAATCACATTTTTAAAGGGCATAGGATATAAATCAGATCAACCAAAGGCCTGGTTAAAAAGGAACGTTTTTGCCTGGAGCCTAGTAACTTTTTGTCACGGGGCGGCCTACAAACAACATAATTATACGAAACATTAAATACATCTAGAAGGTTTATAGGCTGCCTGTCAGCAGGGCTTCCAGAGTTGTTCAACAACTTGGCTTATATGAACAAAGAGTGCTCTCCCCGGGAAGGCCTGCCTGGCCCCTACTTTGATGCGGAGACATTTTTAATTCCCCAGACCTTTTAAACTGCAGTTGACCTAGTTTTACATAGTGTGGTTTTATTAGCTTGCCTTCCTCGGCTCTGTAATCATTGCCGTTAAGCTGCTTTATTATTTCTGGTTGTTCTTGTTTCTTCTGTCAGTCATCCTAGAAATTCTCATGCACTGAACAGGGGGTGGGATACAACCAGCTAGACTGGTGACTGGGCGTGACCAGCGTGACCATATAACACCGGTCCTGAAAGACCTACATTGGCTCCCAGTATGTTTCCGAGCACAATTCAAAGTGTTGGTGCTGACCTTTAAAGCCCTAAACGGCCTCAGCCCAGTATACCTGAAGGAGCATCTCCACCCCCATCATCCAGCCCAGACACTGAGGTCCAGCACCAAGGGCCTTCTGGCGGTTCCCTCCCTGCGAGAAGTGAGGTTACAGGGAACCAGGCAGAGGGCCTTCTTGGTAGTGGCGCCCGCCCTGTGGAACGCCCTCCCGTCAGATGTCAAGGAAATAAACAACTATCTGACTTTTAGAAGACACCTGAAGGCGGCCCTGTTTAGGGAAGTTTTTAATGTTTGCTCATTTTTTTAAAAAAATTATTATTAATATTCTGTTGGGAGCCGCCCAGAGTGGCTGGGGAAACCCAGCCAGATGGGTGGGGTATAAATAATAAATTATTATTTTACTTTAATTTTAATTAATTTTAATTCTATTTATTTATTTATTACTACTACTACAGTCATACCTCGGGTTAAATGTGCGTCAGGTTGAGCGTTTTCAGGTTACGCTGCAGCGACCCGGAAGTAACGGAGCGCATTACTTCTGGGTTTCACCGCTCGCACATGAGCAGATGCGCAAAATGATGTCACGCGCATGCGCGGAAGCGGCGAATCGTGACCCATGCAGACGCGGGTTGCGTTCACTTCAGGATGCGAACGGGGCTCCGGAACGGATCCCGTTCGCATCCAGAGGTACCACTGTACTACTACTACTAGCAGCAGCAGTAGTAGTGCTTTTCTTCTGGAAAAGAGGTGCCGGTATTCACCACGACACTGTTACAGTAAACACCACACTTTTAACTGGTGCTTTTCTTCCAGCTCTGGCGTTTCCTTTGGGGAAGGGAAGCCCTGGCGCAAGGCGGCTCGAGGTGACACCCAGGGAGGCTTCCCACCCAGGGCGAGGCAGCCCTACCTCCTGCCAAGCGTGCAGAAACAAGCTCAGGGACTGGCGGTCCTTACCTTGGTGAGCAGCTGGGAGTAATAGTCCGGAATGCTGTCCAAGGCGGCGTTACCAAAGGAGCCCTTCAGCTGGCTCTTGCCATTGACCGGGCTGCTCCCAAAGGGGGGGAAGAGGTTGAAGTTGGCTGTGATGACAGGCTCCATCAGAGGCAGCAAGGACAGCTCCTGAGAGGCGGCGGGAGACACAGAACTAGGTCAAGGCAGTCAGCAGTTTCACGCACCGGCACATCCCTGTGCAAGGAGAAGTCTTCTCCTATGGACCCCGGCCCAGGGGGATCCAGAGAGGTCTGGCTGCAGCGGGCATGCCCAGCAGACATGCACAAACCCCGTCCCTCACAGAGTTCTCTCTCCTCCCCCTTTCTATTTTATTTTGACAAAGCAATAATCATAAATAAATAAGAATAAAAATGTGCACCCCACCACCGAGATCATTCCATTGTAACTATCCAACCTCCCAAAAATGTGATGGCTTGACCCCTTTCCATTTTAAAAGTACAAATTCAACAAACACCTTCCATTTCTCCCGTATATTTCCCAACTTACCTTAATGGCACATGTTAATTTATCATTAATAGCTATATCACACACCTCTTTATACCTTTCTTCCATTTTATATTCTGCTTGCCCCTTCCACTTCCTAGCTACAGTGGTGCCCCGCAAGACGAATGCCTCGCAAGACGAAAAACTCGCTAGACGAAAGGGTTTTCCATTTTTTGAGTCGTTCCGCAAGACGAATTTCCCTATGGGCTTGCTTCGCAAGACGAAACGTCTTGCGAGTTCTTGCGAGTTTGTTTCCTTTTTCTTAAAGCCGCTAAGCCGTTAATAGCCGCTAATAGCCGTGCTTCGCAAGACGAAAAAAACGCAAGACAAAGAGACTCACAGAACGGATTAATTTCGTCTTGCGAGGCACCACTGTACAATAATTCATGCAGCTGTCAATAAATTTGTGAGCAAGTCCTTCACAGCCTGCAAACCTCCCACCCCATCATAAATTGATAATAATGCTACCTCTGGATTTTCGGTTAGCTTTAACCCAGTGATTCCTGTTATCTCCTTAAGCACCCTTTGCCCAAAAAATTGTACATATTTACACCTCCACAACGTGTGAATATAATTCCCAGTTTCCTGGCATCCCCTCCAACATAACACCGAATATTCATTGGTTTTTTTTATTTAATCTGACTGCTGTTATACACCATCGCCAAACTAATTTCTAATAATTTTCTTTTATTCTTATAGACAACATTTTCAACGAACAATTCTCCCATATTTCCCCCCAGCTTTGACTATCTGTCTGCCCTGTTGTCTCCTTTCTCCACACCTCTTTTAATTGAACACAAATTTTGGCAGATCTGCCCTCTGTCTCTCCATGCATGCAAGAAGGGATATATTGTCAGGGAGAGGCAAATGGGAAAAGATGAAAGGACAGAAACCAGCAGTTATAGAGAGCCTAAAGAGATTATCAGCAGCTTCTCGTCTGACAGTGAGTCTGACGTAGAGGGGGAGGAGGATGAGCCGGGAACAAGTCATTCGGTGCCAAGAGGAAGTAAGGGGAGGAGTTTTCGCAGACTTGCGGAAAAGGAAGAAGAAAGATTAGAGGCAGCAACTGCGCACAAGGGGAAGGAGGCTAATTGAAACGCTGGAGATGTATGTTTGAACTTTGTCAAATAAATCAAATGGTTTGGAACTGGCTGGGAGCCCAGAGTCTTATCTAGGCCAGCTGGACGGCTTTAAGCCTCTGACATATATATACATATATTTTTTTAAAAATAATTTTATAAGTTGTGTGTCCTTGTTTCTCAACTGGATCATTTTACGTGCTTTTTGTACGTTTTATGCATTGCAGCTGGCCATTATTTTTATTGATTGTGGCTTAGCAATTCTTCATTGCCGCCGTTAAGTGTAAAATGCTTATTAAAACAGCTGGTATTTAATTTTGCTGTCTGCCATTATATTCTAACAGATTGTTGAACAGTGAGTCAAAACCCTCCCTCCCTCCCAGAGAGAAGTCAGGAGGGGGTTAATAAATGACTACATGGCCCTCCCAGAAGCCCTTGTCCCCTTTCCCTTCTGTAGTTTTTCCTTTCTTCCCCTTTCTCTTTTTTTTAGGTCTATCCTTTTCTTGTTTTTCTTCTTCTTTCCAACTTTGTTCTTTTTTATAGACTTAAGTAGCTGTCTCACCTTAGAATATTACAAAAAGACACTTTGTAATGGGCAGGTATTTTCATATACAGTGGTACCTTGGTTCTCAAACACCTTGGCTCTCAAACTCCGAAAACCCGGAAGTGTTTCGGTTTTCGAACGTTTATCGAAAGCCGAACATCCAATGCGGCTGTCGGCTATTGTTTCCAGGGGGTCTGCACCAATCAGAAGCTGCGCCTTGGTTTTCGAACATTTCGGAAGTCAGACAGACCTCCGGAACAGATTAAGTTTGGCACTTTTGTTTTTGGTATTTAATTTGCGTTTTTGTTTTTGAGGCTTTTTCGGTTAATTTGTTTTTGTGACTGTGTGGAACCCATTTCAGCTACTGATTGATTGATTGATTGATTGTGACTGTGGAAATGGATAAAAGCCTCCCCATCCAAACAATGACTATCGTCAGTGCAGGTAAGAGAAAAAAATAATTTTAATTTTTATCATCTACAATACTGTCTTCTTTATAGTACAGTACATTGATTATTGCTTTCATTTTATGGATCAATGGTCTCGTTAGACAGTAAAATTCATGTTAAATTGCTGTTTTAGGGGTTGTTTTTAAAAGTCTGAAACGGATTAATCTGTTTTGCATTACTTTCTATGGGAAAGCGTGCCTTGGTTTTGGAACGCTTTGGTTTTGGAACAGACTTCCGGAACAGATTAAGTGTGAGAACCAAGGTACCACTGTATCTATGAATAAATACCAATAAATCAATTTTTTATTTTGTTTTTTTAAAGGCTACCCAGCCCTCCCACAGCAGCTGCATAGCGCAGAGTACCTGCTTGAGCTGTTTCATCAGGGCCTCATTGGATTTCACTCCATCCTCTTTGCGTAGCTTCTTGCGAGAGTTGGCGACTCGCTCCCCAGCTTTCTGGGACCGCTTGGGCTTCGGCGGCGGGGGCTTCTTGGCTGCCAGCGCGTCCTGCAGGGAACCCCCAAAAAAGGGAGAGGAGGAGAGAAAAAGAGACAAGAGGAAAAGTGAATTTCTGCATTGCTGCCTGGGATCTGACACCTACTGTGCCTGGAGTTCTCAAAGATTCCTAATCCTCCCAGTGGAGATCCACCTCCAAATCTAAGCTGATCCACTCTATATGCACATTGAGGTGGAGAAATTATGGATCGTACCAGACTGCTGGCAATGTAAGCCCTGAAAGACCTACGTTGGCTCCCAGGACGTTTCCGAGCACAATTAAAAGTGTTGGTGCTGACCTTTAAATCCTTAAATGGCCTCAGCCCTTTATACCTGAAGGAGCGTCTCTACCCCCATCGTTCAACTGAGGTCCATCTCCAAAGGCCTTCTGGCAGTTCCCTCACTGCGAGAAGTGAGGTTATGGGGAATCAGGCAGAGGGCCTTCTTGGTAGTGGCACCCTCCCTTCAGATGGCATGGAAATAAACAACTATCTGACTTTTAGAAGACACCTGAAGGCAGCCTGTTTAGGGAAGTTTTTAATGTTTGATGTTTTATTGTGATTTTAATATGCTGTTGGGAGCCGCCCAGAGTGGCTGGGGAGGCCCGGCCAGATGGCCAGGGTATAAATAATGAATTATTTGTTGTTGTTGTTGCTAGATTTATCTCCGAATGCTCCCCCTCCTAAGTGAAATCCAACCCAACGCCCCCTCTGACGTCCCTGTCCGCCGTTCCTCCTCCTTCCCTGCACTCTTACCTCTCGCACATCTGGCACCGGCTGCAACCGGCCCTCCGCCCCGGCGATCTTGCCATCCACATGCCCGTTGACGTCGCCCGAGCGCTGCGTCCCAAGAGTGACGTTCTTGGCCCGCAGCAACTTCTGCAGCAAGAGGTGCCCGGCTTCGGTGCGGGTGAGGCTGTTGGTGGTCGCGGGAGCGGCAGGGGCCGAGACAGGGTCCCCGTTCGCCTCCCGCTTGACGGGCTGGGTTCCGCTCATCAGGGCGCACTGGGAGGCTTCCTCCTTGGGCTCCTGTTTGATGCAAACAAGGGGAAGGTCTCCTGGCGGTGGGGGAACCCTTCCCGCCAAGGGAGAAGCAGCTTCCACCGCCTGCCCGTTGGCCGTGCCGGTCTCTGCGGCCTCTTTGGTGGTGGGGCACTCGGAGTCTCGGAGGCTGCACGTCCCGGGAGTCACTTCTCCCGCGCTTGGGGGTGTTGGGGTGGAGAGCAGCAGGGAGCTGGGAGTAGCAGGCTGGTGCCTCTGGGTGGGAGTCTGCTGCTGCTCAGGGCTTTTAGCCAAGAGCAAAGGAGACGGTCTCTTTGGCTCTGGAGGGCTCGGATGCTGCTGTGCCTGCAGTGGCGTCTGCTGCCCAGATGCCATGCCGGCAACGCTCAAGGGGACAGAGGGAGCCTGAGGGGTGGGGAGCCTCACCATCCCCTGCTGCTGGGGACAGACAGCGGATTGCTGGCTCACCGGGACCCTCTGCTGCTGCTGCTCCACTGAGGCACCGAAACCCTGGTCCGGACGAATCTGGAAGACCGCCAGGGGCGGCTGCCTTTGCGGCTGCTGCCCGGCAGCGCCCGGCAGGGAGAGGTGCTGAGCAGCTTGCTGGCCTTGCTCTGGGGCCGCCTGCCCCGGGTAGGGGCTGGCTTGCCGCAGCGCCTGGTTCTGCTGCTGCTGCTGTTGCTGCTGCAGCAGGTTCTGCTGGTGCCTCTGCATTAGCAAGGCCTGCAGCTGCTGCTGCTGCTGCGGAGTCAGGTTCCGCAGCTGAGGGTTTTTGGAGATGACGCCCTGCAGCTGGGCACGGATCTGGCCCATCACAGGGCTGGACAGGATGCTTTGGCCTTGCGGGGAGGACTGCTGCACCATCATGCTTTGTTGTTGTTGTTGCTGCTGCTGCATCATCAGCCCCGGTGTTTTCGAGGGCCCGGCTGGGCTCTGAAGGCATTGTTGCTGTTGTTGCTGTTGCTGCTGCTGTTGCTGCTGGAGGTGGTGCTGTCCCAGCAAACCTTTGGAAGGCTGCTCCAGGTTCTGTCCTATCATCCTTTGCACTTGGCCTTGCTGCTCCATCTGCTGGTTGAGCAAGTGGGGGCCCTGAGTTGCATCTCGATGGTGCTGCTGCTGCTGCGACAGCTCTTGCTGCAGAATGCCGTCTATAGGCAGGTGAGAACGCAATGGCTGCTGGAGGAGGTTGTTCTGTTGTTGTTGTTGTTGTTGCTGCTGCTGCTGCTGCTGCAGGTGGCTGTTTTGCTGCTGCTGCTGCTGCAGGTGGCTGTTTTGCTGCTGCTGCTGCTGCAAGTGGCTGTTTTGCTGCTGCTGCTGCTGCTGCTGCTGCTGCATCCGTAGCTGCAGGGAGCCCAGCATGTTCTGCTGCTGGGGGCCCAAGAGCAAGTGCTGGGCTTGGCCCAGCTCAGCCGACTGCTTCTGCTGCTCCCCGTGCTGCTGGAGCATCAGCTGAGACGGCTGCTCCGGAAGAGGAGTCCCGTGGCCGGTCAGCCCCTGCTGCTGCTGCTGCTCTTGAGTGCTCATCTGCAGCTGCCCTCCCATCTCTGGGCCCACCATGTGGGGTCTTAGCTGCTGTTGCAATGCACCGTCCGCCCCTTCGGGAGGCAGCATGGCCGTGCCGCCTTCTGGCCCTCCTTGCTGCTCCTTGACAGCCAACCCCTGCTGCTGCTGCTGCTGTTGCTGCTGCTGGGCTGGCTGCATTCCCTGAGTCGAGGAGTGCAGCTGCTGGTTCAGAGACCCGTGCTGCGCAAAGTGCTGGAGAGGTTCGGCGCCCACGCCCTGCTGGGAAGCCGGCCCCTGGCCCAGGAGCGGCTGGTGCTGTTGCTGGCTCAGCAATGTCCTCTGCTGCTGCCCGAGAAGCCCTGGCTGCTGCTGCTGCTGCTGCTGTGGTGACAAAAGCAGCCGATGCCCCATCATGCCCTGCGCCTGCTGCACCAGCTGCTGAGGCACTCGGTGCTGCTGACCCTGCTGCTGTGGGGCCAACAGCATTTGCCTCTGGGAAGCAGGGTGCCCCATCATGCCCTGATGCTGCAGCATTGAGTGTCCCAGCATGGCTTGCTGCTGCTGCTGCTGCTGCTGCGGAGAGAGCTGCTGGACCAGGACTCCCGCCTGGTTTCCCAGCAGCCCTTGCTGCTTGGAGAGCAGATTCTGGCTCGGCTGGGGCGTGGGTGGCGGAGGCGGGGGCTGGCTCATCAAGCCCACCTGACCCATTGTGCTTTGCTGCTGCTGCTGCACCGAGATCTGCCCCATAAGGCTTTGCTGCTGCTGCATCGCCATTTGTCCCATGTGGCTTTGCTGCTGCTGCTGCTGCTGCTGCATGGACACTTGCCCTATGAGGTTCTGCTGCTGCTGCAGCTTCTGCGCCAGCTGCAGCCGCTGCTGCTGCATCTGCCGCTCCTGCAACAGGCGGTTGCTGGAGAAGAAGCTGTTGGGGGCCGAAGCGCCCGATGGCTGCTGCTGCTGCTGCTGCTGCTGCTGTCCTCCCATAAAGGGCAAGCCCTGCTGCACAGCCATGGCGGCGGCCTGAGGGAGGCGCAAGCCGGCCTGGCCTGCTAGGCCCTGCGGCCCCGGCTGGAGGCCGTGCGCGGAGAGGAGCTGGCCGGGGAGCTTGGCCATCAGGCGGGGGCTTTGCGAGGGGCTGAGGGCCAAGACGGCGGAGCTTTGCTGCTGGTGCTGCTGCTGCTTGTTGCGGTACTCAGCCATGAGGTTGGTGTGTTCCTTCTGCTGCTTCCGAACCTGTCAGAGAGAAAGACGTAGCAGAGGCAACGTAAGCACAGCAAACAACAAGGAGGGGTTGGCTTGTTTTCTCCTACCGATAGGAAACCCACTTAAGGACTCTATACGGGCTCCGGAACACCCCATAAGGGAGCCCTTTTTTTATTATAACAATACCGCCCCAAACCGGTTTGAAGTCCAGATCATGGTATCAGTTTCATAATTTCTGACTTGGCAATATATCGCAAATCATGGTGTGTGTGTATGTGTGCGCACGCTATGCAAAAATCACGATGCAAGAGAAAATGTGGAGCCCGTCAATGTCTCCACCCAGTGTGATATACAGTGGACGCTCCAGATACGAAAATTCATACCAGGGGTACGTATGTACCCAGGAAAGTCCACATCTAGAGGCGCCGCTTCTGCGCACGCGGCAAAACCCGAAAGTATACACTTCTGGGTTTGCCGCGTTCGCAACCTGAAAGTTACATTACCTGAAGGTAACGTAACCCGAGGGTCCACTGTATTGAGATCTTTAGCTGGTGATACACCGTGATGCTGAAAACCAGCCCAGCCCTATAGTTCAGGCAGCAAAAGTATGTTTTATAAGAATTGGAAACTCACAGGAACGTGGGAATCTGCTTTAACCCGCCTGAATTAGACCACTGGGTCCATCTGGCCAAATATTCTCTACACTGACTGGTGGGCAGGGGCTCCCCTTTCAGGCAGGAGTCTCACACAGCCCCACATGGAGATGTTGGGGGTAGAATCTGGAACCTTCCCGCAGGGGAGGCAGATGCTCTTCCGCGGACCTACAGCTCTTCCCCAAGCTTTTTTTTTTTATTATTAAATGGAATCTGGACAGCTCAGGATACTTGGATGCTTCTTAAGACCCAACATTTCTGCCAAAGCATAAAATGCACAGAAACTTGCACAGAGCATATAGACTCCTCCAATCTCTCCCACCCACCCCTTTCCCCAGGTGAATATTCCATCCCTACCAGGTCTCCTGACCTGGATGGTTAAGGTGACTATGGGGTTGCGAAGCTCATCTTGCTTCAGGCTGAGGGAGCTGGCATTTGTCCAGGTCATGTGGCCAGCGTGACTAAACCACTTCTGGCACAACGGGACACTGTGACGGAAGCCAGAGCGCACGGAAACGCTGTTTACCTTCCTGCCGCAGCGGTACCTATTTATCTACTCGGACTGGTGTGCTTTCAAACTGCTAGGCTGGCAGGAGCTGGGACAGAGCAACAGGAGCTCACCCCCTTGCGGGGATTCCAACCGCCAACCTTCCTATTGGCAAGCCCAAGAGGCTCAGTGGTTTAGACCACAACGCCACCCACGTCCTGAATTGCTGATGCTACCCTTGGCCACCCACATGATTTCTTCCTTGGCACCTCCCCGACTCCAGCACCCTGTGCTCATGCAAGACCTGACTCTCTCCCTCCTAGCATCTCATCACTCGGGAAGAGGCAGGAAACCACTGCAGGATGGAGTTCATTTTGCCACTATCGCGAGTCCTCCGGTCCTCCACAGACCCCTTTTGAGTTTTCTCGGTCATGCCTTTGGACTTAAAACTGACACAAGCTAATCTGGGTGGTTTACCTGATCCAACTGCTTCTGAATCTTGCTTTGCTGCTCCGTCACCAGCTTGAGCTTCTCAGCATCAGCCTCGGGGAATTCCCGGCCGGCCTTTTTCGCCGTCCGCTGCTTGGCGCACAGGGCCTTGCGGGACTTGCGGTGAACCCCTATCTGCTCCTCCAGCACCTTCAGCTGCATCTGGAGGAGTTGCTGCGTATGGAGGAGCCAGTCTTCGTACTGGCGCTGATCAGCTTCATCTGGGGGGAGTGGGGGGGGGGAGGGGAATGAGAAACACTGGTTTTTGGAAGCTGGAGACACGCAAGACAGGTCAGGCCATATACATTGGCAGACATAGGGGGAAAGTTGAAACGCCTTGCCTCTGGCACTTAATAAATTCTGTACTAGCCCACGAAGGCTATGCAAGGCCCTCCAGTCCTCAGACTTTGAGATTCTGCAGAACTTGCATCCCACGGATAAATTTTTATTATTTTTTACTAAATCTGTATGCCGTCCTATACTCTCAGGGTGGTTTGCAAGATAAAATCACAATATAAAAGATCAAAATACATAATCAAAACAAAAAGAACCCAATAACCGCCACTGACAACCCCAATTTTGTGCTGGAGCCACAAAAGGCACATCTTCAACCTTTCACCCAATCACAGAACCAGCCTCGCCAACAATTCTTCACCATGCATGACTACAGCAACCCATGCGCCCCTGGAATGCAATCTATCCTGCCTGCAACATGGGAGCTTGCATCTGCTGCAGCTCAGAGCCTCTCCGTTGCAACGCAACTACAGTGGAACCTCGGTTCTCGAACGTCTCCGTTGACGAACATTTCGGAACCCGAACGCCGAAAACCCGGAAGTAACTGCTTCGTTTTTTGAACGATTTTCGGAAGCTGAACGTGCCACGTAGCTTCCATTTTGAGTTTTCCTATTGTATTGAAAGCTTCTGCTTTCAGTTTTCGGACGTTTCAGAAGTCGAACCGTCTCCCGGAACTGATTACGTTCGAAAACAGAGGTTCCACTGTACTTTCTTGCGCGTTCAACAACACACACACAACTTATCTGTTCTTTATTATTATTCAAAGCTGCCCGGTGGTTAAAAAGCACTAAGAAAGAGAACAGAGTTCACCCTCTGCTGTCAGCAAAACGCTACCAGTTTAGGAATTGTGACTGGAAACAGGAGGAAGTCCTTAATCCAGATCTAAGCAATCTGGAATAGATGGCTTATGAAGCTATGTATGCAAAAAGCCCAGGTGGGCAGTAAGGATTGCAGGAGCATTACCCAAGGAAAAGCAACACCACAGCCCTTTCAGGACTGGTTACTGCCAACTACTCACTGATGACACCTTGTGCAAAAGTGGGTGGGTTTGGTCGAGCTTGTGCTGGGTCATTGCTCCGTTCCTGCAAGGGATTTGAAAGAATCAGAATATCTGCAGTGGTACCTGCCACAGTCCCCCCCCCCCGATCCCACAACCAAAAGAGCCAGCACTCCCCAAACCCATCCGTTAAAGAAGTGTGGGGAAACTGAAGAGGGGCTGCCAAATCCCTGCTCACCTGTCCTCCAGAGCCAGGCAGGATGTGGTTCTGCATTTCAGATGAAGACGATGCTCCGGACAATCTCTGAGCCAGCAAGGAGACTTGTTGCCTGAAAGTAGGAAGCCGGGGGGAGGAAGGGGAACAGAATGAAGGGAGCCAGTGTTGGCCTGAGAAGCAGACTCCAGAAAACCTTACATCCAGAGTCTCCCGGAGCAAGGCCCTCTGAGCTAAACGAAAGAAAAAGCGAACTACACATAATCCAAGCTCCTTGGCCTCCTGCCCTGGGTACTTACCGATTCATGCTCGGAGCCACTCCAATAGTGCCCTGCGCCATGACTTTTTTGATACCCTTCAGAGCCACCATCTTGGCCTTGGCGATGGGGTCCATGATGTCCTCGGTAGCAAATTTATCCAGATCTGTGAGAGTGGAGGAGATCAAGAAGTGATCAGGCCAGACATGGCACCTTCACAACCGACACTCATTCGTTTGCTGCGTGAGATCTGCCAGCACACAGCTGGCCCCTTGAAACCATAATCTCCTAGAATGTGGGGCCGAGGCACAACCAGGAGGAAGGCTACCAGTGAGCCAACGTGTTCATGGCTGCGCAGCACTCCCTCTAGTTGTTCTAGCTTCTGCCTTAGCAGCGCGAAGCCTCCGCAGGGCAGCAGGGAGCCTTCATCGCACTGCCCTGCGGAGGCTTCGCACGGCTATCCCTGGGTTTTGCAGGAGGTGGGGGAAAGGACAGAGCACGGCTCTGTCCTTTCCCCCACCTCCCAGAAAAGCCCCCAAGAGCCGTGCTCTCTTTAAAGAGCCGCGTGGAGTGTGTGTGTGGCTCTTAGGGGCTTTTCAGGGGCCATCAGTGACGGGCTGCCCTTCTCCCTCCTGGGGAAAAGCCTGCAAGGGCCACACACACGCTCCACGCAGCTCGTGAAAGGGAGCGCTGAGCAGAGCCTGAAATGCATACAGGCTATGCTCAGCGCTCTCTTTAAATAATATTTTTTTTCTTGCATTCCCACTCTAAAAACTAGCTGTGCCTTAAGGCCAGGTGCTTCTGCGTTGTTGTTTTTAACAAAGGTTATTTTAATAATAATAATAATGTTAATAATAATAATAATAATAATAATTTTTTATTTATATCCTGCCCCCCCCAGCCAAGGCCGGGCTCAGAGCGGCTTACAAGCAATAATAAAAACAAGAAGAATGATTACAACTTAAAAACAAAAATAAAATACAACATTAAAATAATGGAACATTAAAATATTAAAATGTAGCCTCATTGCAGGAGGAGAAGGAAAAGAAAAAAGAAAGAGGGAGGGAATCAAATTGGCTCCAAGCCAAAGGCCAGGAGGAACAACTTTTTAAACATCCTTTTCATTTCATTATATATCTAGAGCAGGCCTAGGCAAACTCGATCCTCCAGATGTTTCGGGACTAAAACACTAATCATCCCTGACCACTGGTCCTGGTAGCTAGGGATGATGGGAGTTGTAGTCCCAAAACATCTGGAGGGCCGAGTTTGCCTAGGCCTGATCTAGAGTCCTCCTTTCCAGGCAGACCCGGCCAATCAATGAAATGCCAAATCCTAAACCTTTGTTTTAAGCTCCACTCAATCCCGTCCATAAAAACTCACACCGCCCTGGTAAAAACAAGCTAGAAGAGGCTGGTGAAGGAAAGCCGTCTCGTAACTCCTACCTGTATCTGGGAAGAAGCTGTTAGCCAATTGCTGCTGCTGCTGCTGTTGTTGTTGCATCACGACTTGCTGCGGCTTGAGCCCCATCATCTGTTGCTGTTGCTGCTGGACGCCCGGCATGGGCTTCTGGGCCAAGACCTGCTGTTGGTTCTGCTGGCCATGTGCTGCCTGGATGCTATGTTGGGCGGCAAGCATGTGAGCCTGGTTCTGAGCCACGCCCATATGCGGGGCCAGGACTTGACTTTGCTGGGGACCAGCCAGTCGCTGCTGCTGCTGCTGCTGCTGCATCAACTGCTGGCTGGCCACCATCCCTTGCTGCCTGGCCACCATGCCCAACTGCAGCTGCTGCTGGGAGCTCACCAACTGCCCGTCGTGAGACTGGGGAGGGGGAGCCGAGTGAGCCAACATGGTGTGAGCTTGGAGGTGCTGCTGGGAGCCCCCAGGGCATCTGGGCCGACATCTGCTGCTTCTTCTGCAGCTCCTTCTTCTCGTGCTCCAGAAGGTCCTCGATCAGCAGAGGCAGCTCGCTGGCCACCAGGGAGCTCTCCATCTTGTCGAGGTCGTCGGCCGGAGAGTGCTGCTGAGCGTTGGCCAGGCTCAGGGGCCCTCCGTCCAGCTCAAACTTCTCCAGGATGGAGTTGCCGGGGTTGGCCATCTGCACGGGGACCAGCGGCGGCCGGCCGGGGGCACCGTAGAGGACCTTGTCGGAGATGGAAGCGTGGCTGTTGCCGTGGAACGACGTCATGCCCAGCCGGACTCCGCCGGGGCTCATGAGGCCCTGGCCGGGCTTGATGTTGACCGCCAAGGCGGCTGCCATTTTCTCGGCCCCTTCAGACTTGATAGGAAGCTTCTCTGGGGCGCCGGTGTTGAACTGGCAAGGCGACGGCTTCAGGCAGCCTTCCTCTATCTTGGGTTTGATATCGGCCGGCAGGCTGACCAGCTTGCTATCCAGCACGTCGCTGTGGGCCTTGAGTGTTGAAAGGATGGGGGAGGGCGGGGGCACCCCTGAGGCAGAGGATGGGCAGGGAACGTGGAGCAGGCCGAGCCCTTCTTTCGCCTTGGGTACCTCATCTCTGGGCAACGATGGCGTCCTTGGCTCACCCGGCTTCCCGACGCCGGCTGAGGGCGTTTCCTTGAGGTAGGGTCCGGCCGAGGGCTCCTTCTTGAGCAGATCTTCCCGCTCGGCCTTCTCGTTGGCCGACTCCACCAAGCGCAGGTGCTCATTGAAGATGTCCTTCTTGTCCCCGGTGTCCAGTTCCGGGTCGGTGTAGGCCAACAAGTCAAACTCATCTCCGTTCAGCAGGTCGTCGAGATGAGGGTCGTTGGTTTCCAAGTTATCCAGGTTCCCCAGGTCGTCGTCGCCTTTGGCGACGTCCGGGTCCAGGCTCAAGTTGGCCAAGTCGTCATCGTCCTCCTCCAGGTCTTTGTGGGAATCAAAGTCGTCGTCTAAGTCCGGCTCCACCGGCACCTCACAGGGCAGCTGCCTGCCGGCCAGGCCTAGCTGATTCCTGCCAGCAGCTGGGGCAGCGTCAGTGGCAGCTGAGGTAATGGGCACATCTTTAGGGCCGGACGAGGAGAGTGGTCGCGGCGGGATGTGTTGCATCTCCAAGTTTCCAGGGGGCAGGATCAACTGGGACACAGCCTTGGCGTGGGGGTGGTGGTTGTTGCTCATCTCTGCCCCCTGCTGAGGAGAGGATGATATAGGGACAGACATCTTCTGGGCTTGCAGGCCTTGGCTTCCCAGGACAGGAGCCTGCATGGGCATAACGGGAGATTTCAAAGCCTGGCTGGCACCATCGTTCCCAGGTATGAAGAATCTGGTTCGAGCCTGTGGGTTCTGCTGGACAAAGGTGGGCCCCGCACCGCTCCCAAGAACTCCCTTCTGGATGTTGTGCCTCAGCTCAATGAACTGGGCTCCCAGAGCGCCGCTCGAGGCTTGAATCTGTTCTCCGGGGCCTGGCAGGCGTGGGGCAAGGCCTGCTAGGGCTTGCCGGCTCAAGTCTTGGGTGGGGGGCTGGGGGAAGCGCGAAGGGACAGAGAGACGCATGGACACAGCTTGCTGCTGCTGCTGCTGCTGTTGTTGTTGCTGCTGCTGCTGCCACATCTGCTGCTGTGGAGACGGGGCTTGGAAGACACCGCGGGGATAAAATGGCTGCGCGGCAGCCACTGAAGACCTGGAAGAGGAAGGAACAAATAGAGAGAGAGAGAAATGTCAGCTACGGGACACAAATGGGGACTCTCAGGTAGAGGTACCTCGTAATCACTTCTGACAGAAGGCCACTTTCCATGCTGCTTGAAAACCATGATGGGGTTTTCCCAAACACACCATATGGGATTTGCCTACTGAAGTAAGGCCACATGGCCTGCAATTGCACCTCCCAGCTCCAAGACAACAGCCTGTCAGGCACACGGAATCAAATAACTGAAAAGTTGGGAAGGAGGACGGTCATCTAGTCCAACCCCTTGCGATGAGGAATCTTCTTACCCAATGTGGAAGTTGAACCCATAACCCTGAGATTAAGATGCTCTACTGACCGAGCTATCGCTTGTAACCTTTAGTGAAGTTCCCTGAGCTACTGTCAACCACCTGGCCTACTCTGCTCTGGGGAAGTTCTGATCTTTTAGGGTAGCTCTTTGTCATGTTTCCCTTCTGTCACGTCCAACACTGTAAGCTCTCTGGGGCAGGGGCCTGTCACTTTTTGTTCATCAACGGCACGCACGCTCCAGAGGAATTCCTCCTGCAGGCAGCCTTTGTTTCCAAGCAAAGCATGGGACTCTAATCTGCCTCAGGTGAAATGAAGTACAGTGGTACCTCAGGTTAAGTACTTAATTCGTTCCGGAGGTCCGTTCTTAACCTGTAACTGTTCTTAACCTGAAGCACCACTTTAGCTAATGGGGCCTCCCCGCTGCCACACGATTTCTGTTCTCATCCTGAAGCAAAGTTCTTAACCTGAAGCACTATTTCTGGGTTAGCAGAGTCTGTAACCTGAAGTGCATGTAACCTGAAGCGTATGCAACCCGAGGTACCATTGTAAAACAGGTCAGAGCTAGGTCTCTATGGGAGGATCGCACGCCAACAGAGAACCTGCGCTCGACTGTCCAGCCCCTGGAGTCTGGCCTCCTAAATGGCACCATGCGACTCACCTGCCATTGATATCCATGGTAGAAGGGGTCGCTGATGGAGGGGGGCGGGCAAGTCGCTCGTCCTGCACGTAGGGCCCTTGCCCCATCACTCCACTGGGAAGTTTGCTCCCCGCTGGCGTGCCCCCCAAGCTGCCAAGCATTCCTTTGTCCTGGGAAAAGGGAGAGAGGAAGACAGGCACAAGTGGATGTCAGTTGCTTTTTTGACAGCATAGTTTTTTTGGGGGTGGGGTGGGGAGGTAGAGGGGGCCTCTCTAAGAAACCCATAATATGCCCCGGCCTCACGCGTTACCTGCACTGTTGGATAAGGAGTCATGCTCCGGTTCATCTGCTCAAAGGCCTGCCCGCCACCCTCCGGGTTCCACGACGCCTGGGCGTTGTTGGCCGCTGCGGCTGCACTTTCCTTCTCTTGCCTCAAGTTGTTCCTCTGGATCTGCTGGCGGATGAGGAACTCGCGGAGTCTCTGCCGCTGATGGGAGGTAACCGGAGAGACAGGGAGCAGGCCGTTAGTCTGAGGGTCTCAAGAGGGGCAGCCGGATTGGACTTCAAGGCGGCCCAAAGTGTGGCGCCACAAAGGAAAATAGGCACAGGCTAGGTAAGCAAGGATTAATGGGAAGGAGCAGGATCTATAAGCCAAACAGGGTGCAAGTAAATCAAATCGTAATATATAGCCAGTCTGGCCTGCAGTGTGCAGGTGGTCAAAGAGCCAGGACTCCAGGGTTCTGTATTCAGTTTTTTGGTTTATGGAAATATTTATGTAAACAATTTAGTCAATCAAGTCACCAAACATCCACTTCTCAGGAACCAACATATTCCTAAAAACTGATTATGTATGCAGATCTTTTCTAAAATATGTTCTGCTTTAATATGCAATAGTGCTGCAGGTGTGAGGTATTATTTAAAGGTAAAGGTAAAGGGACCCCTGACCGTTAAGTCCAGTCGTGACTGACTCTGGGGTTGCGGCGCTCATCTCGCTTTATTGGCCGAGGGAGCCGGCGTACAGCTTCCAGGTCATATGGCCAGCATGACTAAGCTGCTTCTGGCGAAACCAGAGCAGCGCACGGAAACGCCATTTACCTTCCCGCCGAAGCGGTACCTATTTATCTATTTTTCATTTTGACAAAGTAATAATAATAAATTAAAAAATTAAAATGTGCTCCCCCGCACACGAGATGCCATTCCATCGTAACTATCAAGCCTCCCAAAATTACTGTTATCTCCTTAAACACCCTTTGCAAAAAAAATTGTGCTTATTTACACCGCCCACCACATGTATAAGTCGTCCCCGTGTATAAGACTATTTTGGGGGACTCCAAATTCAGAAAATGGGGGGAGATTGCCCAGAGTTGTTGAGACACCAATCACATGTTTCCCCCAATGCACTATCTGTGTATAAGATGCCCACCAATTTTAAACATAATTTTAAAACAAAAAATCCTCGTCTTGTACGTGGAAAAGTACAGTAGCGCCAGTTTCTTGGCATCCCTTCCAACATAACACAGAAGATTCCTGGTTTATTTGAGTTACTCTTACTGGTATTAAATGCCACCTCCAAATTAACTTAATAGTATTTTTTTTCCAAACCTATCCTTTGTTTTGTTTGTTTCTCTTACATTTGCTATTATAAAATAATTTTAAATACAAAACAAAACCCTATTTTGTCTCCTCTATCATTCTAAGCACCCGATTCTCCCATTTTCAGTTATGGGGTATCAGAGTTTTTAAGGGGCTAACCAGGCTGGGATAGCAGGCTTGTTGGTTTTTGAATGTCTGCTGTAGATTTTTTTCAATTTCGTTGTTCTATATGGGACAATGACAATAAAGATTATCGTATCATATTGTACCTGAAGCCAAGTAGCAGCCCTGCTTACCTGCCGAACTTTCTCCATCTCTGTCTGGGTGGCATTGCTGCCCATCGTCCCCTCCTGGCTGGCCGGCAGTTCCTGCAGCTCCCGGTTGGCGGCTCCGACCGCTCCCTCTTCCCTCTTGTCGCCTGAAGGCACCAGGCCTGTCCGCGGCAGGTAGGCCAAGGCGCCATCTTGTTGAGGTGGTGGCGGCTGGGGCAGAGCTGAGGGCGGGCGCAGCGGAGAGACGTTGTAGGAGTCTGCGGTGCCCTTGCTGGGGCCGAGGGGGCTCCCAGCTTGGTGGAACCCCGGTGAGGAGACGTAGCTTGTGCTCTGGGGCTTGCCGGGGGCAAAATGGCTGTTGATGCCGTGGGAAGGGGAGCTCTTGAGCGGTTCGCTGGGAGGGAAGGTGAAGCGCATCTGCTGGGCCTGAGTGCTCGGGAAGACGCTTGCCCCAGGGGAGCGAGCGAATTGGGGCTGCGGGCCGGGCTTAGGGGGGGCTTCGGAGGAGGGCGGCCCTGCCGGGAAGCCCCCAGTGGCAAGGGTATTATGGGAGCCAGGCATGGGCTTGAAGCCGGCCTCCGGCATCTGGGGGCGAGGGGGTTTGTGCAGGGGCGCGAAGGGGTCCCGTGACTGCGGCCGTGAAGGGGGGCGGGAGTAGGGGTCCGGGGACTGGAAGCGGGGGGTCACCGGGGACTGGCAGAAGGCTTCATTGGAGAGTGGCCGGGGTGTGAGGGGAGACTGGGAGCTGGACTGGGACTGGGGGCTGGCGGGGACGCGTGAGAAAGGGTCGGAGGGCAAGGAGCGGGGTGGCAGGGCACAGCAGCTTTCCGGGGGTGGGGGCTGAGGCCTCGGCGTCAGGGGAGGCTGAGCGTAGGGGTCCGGGTACGGCGACTGGCGGTAGAGGTCGGCCTGGCTGGGGGGAGACGCGGCCAGAGGGTGGGCGTCGGGAGGCCGGTGCCCCAAGCCCGGGCTCTGCGGCTCGACCTGAGACTGGCGGGGAGTGAGCGGGGCCTTGAAAACATCCGGAGCCTTCATTTCGGCCAGGTGGTGAGCACCGGACGGCGAGTCGCCGTAGCTGCAGCCGTAGCTGGGGGAGCAGATCCCCGGCCCGGCCTCTTCCTTCTTGATGTCCAACCCTTTCTTCAGTTCCCCAAAAGGCGGAGGCGAGAGCAGGAGGGCAGCCCGCTGAGGGCTACCGGGCACCGACAGGTTCTCCAAGGACCCGGTGGGGCAGCGGGGCTTGAGGAAGTGGTCTGGCGTGGAGGGCTGGTGCCTCGGGGTCCCCGGAGGGGTGGGCTGGAAGTCCCCGGGCTGCGGGGCCGGGCGAGGGTTCGGCAGGAGCGGAGACTGTCCGTTGGAAGAGGAGGATGAGGAGGACGAGGACGAAGCAAAGCCAGCAGGCACTGTCGGGCTCTGGCCCACCGAGGAGGGAGAGGGGAAACCTGAATCCGGCGGGGGGCAGGCCACGCCGTAGGGCTCGTGCAAAGGCACTGGAGCTGGGGGCTGGGCACTGGCGGCAGAAGAGGGGAGCTTGAGGAAGAGCTCGCTGGGCGACTCGACGCCGCCGGACCCGCTGGGCAGAGCTGCGGCGTTGCTGACGTAGAGCGGCTGCCCTGGCACAGAGGCGGCGGGAGGAGGAGGGGGCAGCGGAGGCGGAGGAGGCGGCTGGGAGGCCGCGGTGGGCAGCGCCCCCTGCTGGGGCGGGATGCGCAAGTGTAGGGCCGGCCGGTCTGGCCTGCGCAGCACCTCGACTTTGGTCTGCTTGTTGATCTGGCTCTCGGCTTGCTGCGAAAGACAGAGGAGGAGGCGGAGCGTCAAAAGGGCGCCGTCAACACCCGGGCACACAAGACACCCATTTGCTGACACCTTCACACAAACACACACACGGTGAAAAGGGGAGGCACAGGGGGAAATCCAGGTGATGGGACATATTCTGTCCTCAGGGACAGGAGGGAAAGCATCTGAGATGCACCCAAAGGAACCTCAGAGAGGACCAAGAGTTTCCGCCCTCTTTACAGGGGTTCCAGAAAAGTACCTGTGCTAGTCTGTTGCAGCAATGCAAAGAATCTTGGGGGCCCCCTTAAAGACTAAATCTCACGTATGTATTTCTAACTCCTGTCTCTCTGCTATCAAGGCTTCTGAACGGATTAACAAGAAAACCTATCGCGTAAGAATCCTACACACGAAGGCAGCACAAATAATTTGGATTTTTCTTGGCGCAGGAACTAGTTCCACAGACAATTACACGGTGGTTCTGGCACAGCTTCCCCATTGGGTTTTCCTGCTCAGCCCGTGCTACCCTACCTACTGGTTACGCCACTGCCCTTGGCTTACCTTCTGCACCTTGTTGATGCGATGGGCTGCCCGGTTATCTTTGGCCTTTTGCTGCAGAGAAAAACCCAAAATGAGAAAGGATGGCAGGAAAAACGCCCCCACCCCAAGGTTGGACCAATGCTCCTTTCCTAAATCACATAACTGGCCACTTTTTTTAAAAAAAAAGTGTCATCATTTCACTTTGATTTTACATAGAGAGATACCTCGCGTTACAAACTTATTTTGTTCTGGAGGTCCGATCTTAACCCGAAACCGTTCTTAACCTGAGGCGTGCTTTTGCTAATGGAGCCTCCTGCTGCCGCCACGCGATTTCGTTTCTCATCCTGAGGTAACCCGAGGTACTACTTCTGGGTTAGCGGTGTTTGTAACCTGAAGCGTTTGTAACCCGAGGTACCAATGTATAAGATAAAAGTAACTTTGAAAAAGGTAAAGGACCCCTGGACGGTTAAGTCCAGTCAAAGGCGACTATGGGGTTGCGGCGCTCATCTTGCTTTCAGGCCGAGGGAACCGCCGTTTGTCCACAGACAGCTTTCCGGGTCATATGTGGCCAGCATGACTAAACCACTTCTGGTGCAACTGTGACTTGCAGTAATTTGCAGAGTGCGAATTAATTTATTTCTTCTTACACACAGGAGGCCATCCCCTTGAAATTAAACTGAATCCTGTATTCACGGGCCACTTACCAAGTATGGGGCTTTGTCTGGGGCCGGCACCTTTCTCCAGAGCTTCATGATCTGCTTGCAACGACTGGACCAATCTGTGGAGGGATGGGGGAAAAGGAGGAGAGAGAACGAGGCTTACATGCAGGCCCAAAACCTTCCAAATCCAGAGATTTTGAACACCGGTTTGATATAAAGCTGAGGGAAAGAAGGCAAAGTGACAGACAGAAGCTTCTAAAAAGGCCAGTGTGTTTTCAAGACTGTTTGAGACCCACATGCAAATCTGTGCAAATCCATCATCAAGTCTGGACAGTGAGATCCAGCTCCAATGGCCTTCTGGCGGTTCCCTCACATGAAGCTACAGGGAACCGAGAGGGCCTTCTCAGCAGTGGCGTCCTCCCTGCAGAACGCCCTCCCTTCACATGTCAAGGAAATAAACAACTATCTGACTTTTAGAAGACATCTGAAGGCAGCCCTGTTTAGGGAAGTTTATCGGGAAGTTTTGTTACGTTTTTGTATGTGCTGGAAGCTGCCCACAGTGACTGGGGAAACCCAGTCAGATGGGCAGCATATTAAATAATAGCATCATAATCATTATTATGCAGAGCCGCAGAACATACCACCGCCCTCGCTGGCTAAGCGTCTTCTTTAGAGCATCACAGACTTCTACTGAGTGAGAGGCAGGAAGACAGGCCACTAGGCAGCTAGACTGGTGACTGGGAGTGGCCGCCAAGATGCTGACCTTTAAAGCCCTAAACAGCCTTGAAGGAGCATATCCACCCCTATCATTCAAGCCCAGACACTGAGGTCCAGCTCCAAGGGCCTTCTGGTGGTTCCCTCCCTGCGAGAAGCGACATTACAGGGAACCAGGCAGAGGGCCTTCTTGGGAGTGGCGCCCGCCCTGTGGAACGCCCTCCCATCAGATGTCAAAGAAATAAACAACTATCTGACTTTTAGCAGACATCTGAAGGCAGCCCAGTTTAGGGAAGTTTTTAATGTTTGATGTTCTATCGCTTTTATATTATTATTATTATTATTATTTATTATTATTATTATTATTATCATCATCATCATTATTATTAATGTTCTGTTGGGAGCCACCCTGAGTGGCTGGGAAAACCCAGTCAGATGGGCGGGGTATAAATAAGTTGTTGTTGTTGTGCCACAGGGGAGGAAGTGGGAGGGATAATAATACAGTGGACTCTCAGGTTGCAAACATGATCCATGCGGGAAGCATGTTTGCAACCCACAGCACCGCGTCTGCGCGGGTCACGATTCAGCGCTTCTGCACATGCGCAAAGTGCGATTTAGTGCTTCTGCGAAAGCACCGGTTCCGGTACTTCCAGGTTCACCCGGTGCGCAACCCGAATTCACACAACCCAAAGTGTCTGTAACCCAAGGTATGACTGTAATATAATAATTTATTATTTATACCCTGCCCATCTGGCTGGGTTTCCCCAGCCACTGTGGGCGGCTTCCAACAAAAGATTAAAAATAGATTAAAACATCAGTCATTAAAAACTTCTCTAAACAGGGAGGAGAGAGAGAGAAACAGAAAAAGAAAGAGCCACCCACCTGGGTAGTCTTGCTTGAGGTTGGGGAAGTTCATGTTGGCATAGAGGACGGGCGAGATGGTGGAGAGCTCTCCCAGCTCTTCATCTTTCTCCCAGCGCTGCAAGCTCCGCTGGTTGTACGACAGCCCGTCGCTCTCCCCCTCCGTAGTGGGCGTGGTGGGGGTGGACGCCGCAGAGCTGCTGGCCCAAGGGCTCTCTGGCTCACACTGCTCGGGGCTAAAGAAGCCACTCCTCTCCCTACGTGGGCGAGGGGGGAGAAAGGAGAGAAACAAGGCGTGTTGGATAAAAGGTTCAGGGATACCGGCTAGATGGAATAGGTAAAGGTAAAGGTAAAGGGACCCCTGACCATTAGGTCCACTTGCGGACGACTCTGGGGTTGCGGCGCCCATCTCGCTTTACTGGCCGAGAGAGCCGGCGTACACCTTCTGGGTCATGTGGCCAGCATGTCTAAGCCGCTTCTGGCGAACCAGAGCAGCGCATGGAAACACCGTTTACCTTCCCGCCGGAGCGGTACCTATTTATCTACTTGCACTTTGGTATGCTTTTGAACTGCTAGGTTGGCAGGAGCAGGCACCGACCAATGGGAGCTCATCCCGTCGCGGGGATTCGAACTGCCGACCTTCTGATCGGCAAGCCCAAGAGGCTCAGTGGTTTAACCCACAACGCCACCCGCGTCTCTTTGGATGGAATAGAAGAAGTGCCTAAACCCAGGGGGTGGGGGGAATCCTTCCAGGTGCGGTTGGAGCCCAACTTCCACCCCCACCCCCAGCCATCACGCACGAGGTCAAGGATGTGTTGGAGCCCAGCAACATCCAGAGGGCTCCACCGCCGGTGGTCTAAGAGAGAAGACGCCAGTGCGGGTGACCTACCTGCTATCAAGAAATGGGGACTGGCAAACCCCTGAGTAGGTCTCCATCGGCACAGCGGGTTGAAGGGGCCCAAGGGAGACCCCGGCGCCACCTAGAAACAAGAAGAGATGGATCACAGAGCTGGAATCAAGAGGCGCTTCTCCTCCCCACTGTTAGGGTGCGAGCTGCAAACTCTCGACGGGTTCCTTTCTTCGTCTCAGCAGAAACGACTCAGAAAGTCTCCCTGCATCTTCGCAGCAGCAAAGTCCGGTGAATTCCCAAGACAGGAATAACACCCTCACCTTCCCAATTCTCCTCTAAAGTCTTTTATTATTTACAAGTTGCATACAGCGCAATGGGTCTACGTATAAAATAAGAAGCAGAGCGATATACAGATCTCTGCTCCCTTCAGGCATCCAGCCAGAGAGACAGGCTCACGGACCATCACTGACTGCCTCTCACACTACTGCCTCTCTCCTCCTCCAGACTAGCCCTGATAAGGACACCTGTGGCCGGCCAGAATTCTGGTTGCTAAGCAGATGTTGCCAAGCGTGCCTCAAGGATGCGTTTCAAGGCCGTGCTTCAAGGCTTGTTTCAAGCTTATTTTGGCAGCGCACCAAAACACCCACAACCCCAAAGACACACTGCTTTCTGTCCGGCAGCAGTTTCACGTAGGGGGTGTTGCCAGTCCCGCCGGGGATCAAACCTGGAACCGTTGGTACAAAAGGCACACAATCTACCACTGAGCCGCAGCCCTTTCACAAAAAATGAAGGCTTCCAAGCACACAAAGTGCACGTGCTTTGGGCTGAAGTGGCTGAAGTGGTAAAAAGCCCGCAAAAAACAAACAACCCATTTGAAGACTTATGATGTAGCAACAAAACCACCACCACTCAAACCACCCAAAAACTTGCCTTGCCTGGTTACTTGAATAAAATTCTCATATACCACATGCAAATACCCACTTCCTATTTACTAGCCAAGTTGAAATAACTTCTTTCTATCTACCAGCCCTAGCGATGTACTATAGCTATGGCTGGCTGATATTATTGAAAAGGTCTGAGTATAATGGCTGCCTAAGTCCAAAAGTGAAACTAAAGCACCAATAGTTTGGACATCACAATGTAAGGTAAAAAGGTAAAGGACCCCTGGAGAGTTAAGTCCAGTCAAAGGTGACTCTGGGGTTGCGGCGCTCATCTTGCTTTTCAGGCTGAGGGAGCTGGCGTTTGTCCGCAGACAGCTTTCCGGGTCATGTGGCCAGCATGACTAAACCACTTCTGGCGCAATGGAACACCGTGATGGAAACCAAAACGAATGGAAATGCCGTTTACCTTCCCGCCACTAGTGTGCTTTCGAACTGCTAGGTTGGCAGGAGCTGGGAAAGAGCAATGGGAGCTCACTCCATTGCAGGGATTCGAACAGCCGACCTTCTGATCAGCAAGCCCAAGAGGCTCAGTGGTTTAGACCACAGCGCCACCCGCGTCCCACGTCACAATGTACAGAGCAGATAGAAAGAAAGCTGAGCTGGTTTTCATGTTGCATCGCCACTTATGTGATATTTATTTTATTTTTGTATGCGGCTAGGATATTTTTCAATGCTTAGCAACATAAAAGTAAAGGTAAAGGGACCCCTGACCATTAGGTCCAGTCGTGGCAGACTCTGGGGTTGTGGCGCTCATCTCGCTTTATTGGCCGAGGGAGCCGGCATACAGCTTCCGGATCATGTGGCCAGCATGACTAAGCCGCGAACCAGAGCAGTGCATGGAAACACCGTTTACCTTCCCGCTGGACCGGTACCTATTTATCTACTTGCACTTTGACGTGCTTTCGAACTGCTAGGTGGCAGGAGCAGGAACCGAGCAACGGGAGTCCTAGGCCCTGTGGTTTAACCCACAGTGCCACCCGCGTCCCGGAACAAAAAAGTAACATTAAGCAAAACATCTGAAGGGGGCGGGAGAGACAGAGAGGAAAATGTGACTCGTGGCCCACGAACCTGGGCGTGGAAGCTCACCTTGCAGGAAAGGCCTCTGGCCCAGCTGCGAGCGGCTCGGGTCCCGAAGGCCTCCGGCCTCCGCTTCCGCCCCAATGCAGTTGAGCTGCTGCTGCTGCTGTTGCTGCTCTCGCTCTGCAGACCCCAGGACGTCTTTGAAGAGCTGCTGGACGTCCTTGCTCTCCATTTTGGGCAGCTCTGTGGGGAAAAGGGGGCGGGAAAGCCACAGTGGAACGACAGGCGGCAAAAGCCCGTCCAAGAGAGCAACCACCTCAGCCGGGTGGCGGAACCCATCGGTCTCCAGTAAGGGCAGGCTGAATTGCAAGCGGGGGAGGTTAAATAGAGAGAGGTGCGCCGGTTATGGAGCAGCGACCGCGCTTCCTTTTCGTAGCCGCTAGCATCTACCCCTCATTCTAGAGCGGAGAGGAAGCCGAGGTTTCCCGACTCCCGGCCTCTCCCTTGCTTTCCACGGAGGGGTAGATCCTTGGCAGGGAGATGGGGGGGCAGAAGGGTCTATTCAAAGGGCCCGCCTGACCTTCAGTGGGGATTTTGTCAAGGTCGGAGCTGAGCACCCCCTCCCCCGGGGGTGTGGCTGGGTTCTCGGCACCTGTAGGGTCTGGAGAGGTCTTGGGCACCATCTGCTCTTCTGTGCCTGCAGGAGCAAAAACAAGAAGACCGCCGCCAAGCCCATCAGCACAGGGACAGGGAAGGTGCCTGCGCTCCCAAAAACGCGCCGGGAAGGATCATCTCCTCCGCTGGAAGCAGGGAGATAACCTCGCCTCGCTACACTTGCAGCGATACGGGAAGCAACCCGGGTAACTTTGCTTCCACCTCGCTTGCAGCTTGGCATCACTACCGTGGCAGCTGACATAGGCCAAGGAAGCAAGGCACTCCCTTCTGACGTTCCAAGTAAAAAAACCAGAAGCCTTTCTATTAGGAATTATAGGTATCGACACTCCAAAGGAACAGAAAAGACTATGTATGCAACAGCAGCAGCACGGATGCTACTAGCCCAGAGATGGAAAGAAGGAAGAGTCCGTACCAGAGAGGAATGGCAAAGTAAGCTGTTAGACTATGGTGAAATGGCAAAACTGACTCAGAGACCAAGAAGACAAGAAATTCAAGAAAGAATGGGGAAAGTTTATAATTTATTTAGGAGATCACTGATAGCAGATGAAAACGTTAGCAGGATTTTAATCTCACTTGTAATGTAACAAATATGTACTATGGACAATATGAATAGGTACAAAACATAGACTATGAAATAATATGCAGTTGGGAATGTTGACAATAGGGGTGGGGAGTCTGGAGATTCAGAGAAATCTCATTTTATGGATATGTATTTGGTGTTGTAATTAATTTGTACAGTGGTGCCTCGCAAGACGAAATTAATCCGTTCCGCGAGTCTCTTCGTCTTGCGGTTTTTTCGTCTTGCGAAGCACGGCTATTAGCGGCTTAGCGGCTATTAGCGGCTTAGCGGCTATTAACGGCTTAGCGGCTATTAACGGCTTAGTGGCTTTAAGAAAAAGGAAACAAACTCGCAAGAACTCGCAAGACGTTTCGTCTTGCGAAGCAAGCCCATAGGGAAATTCGTCTTGCGGAACGACTCAAAAAACGGAAAACCCTTTCGCCTAGCGAGTTTTTCGTCTTGCGAGGCATTCGTCTGGCGGGGCACCACTGTATTGGTAGAATCAAATAAAAATTATTTCAAAAAGGGAGGGGCCATTAGCAATGGCAAGAATCAGGTGCTCTGATACGGGGCTACTCTTCGACTGAGCTCTGCTCCTTTTTGCATCAGCGGAAAATTCCTCCCAATGAGGGTGGGCTGCTGGGAACATGTTACGGCCGGTGCTTCCCTAAAGTGGCTCCTTTTGCTGTGTGTTGCCTTCCCGACGGAATCAAAAGAAGAAGGGAGGAGAACACCAGAGCACACTGCGTAATTCCAATTATTACAAGATTACGTCAGCATTGGAAATACGTGCAAATTTATTTTACTGGATATCATGGATTTGGGGACGCAGCTCTCATTGGTACGTTTTAAAATTTGCATCACATTTCCGGTTTTCATTTTAAAGTTTATTTTAGCAGCATTTTAAGCAGCACTTACTTCCCAGGGCATTAAGAGCAATTCCCCAACCTGGTTTTGGGCGAGGCAAATAGCTTTGGTGGGGGAGACCTGGAGTGTGCCGTTAGGAGTAAGAGGTCCAATAGAATCTGGGGTACACCATACTGAGAGAGGTGGACCAACATGTCTGACCCAACACAGGGCAACTCGAGTTTCTCAAAAGTGCAAGGAAGTGGTCACTTCAGAACAGGGAGAAGTCCCTTCCTGGCACCTTCTACGGTCAGTTTGCCACAAGTGGATTTAGACAATGTAAATCACAGGGTTTTGAACATGCCAATTAAAATGTGAGCTCGTTTACACACAGCCACAAAATTTATTCACCTCATATCCACAAGGCCTAAAAACCCAGAGCATTATCAGGGTTTGGGGAGACAAGACTTAACCCCGCTCTGGTTGACTTTTGAGACTTTAGGAAAGCAATTTACAACTAAAGGTAAAGGACCCCTGGACGGTTAAGTCCAGTCAAAGGCGACTATGGGGTTGCGGCCCTCATCTCGCTTTCAGGCCAAGGGAGCCGGCGTTTCTCCACAGACAGCTTTCCAGGTCATGTGGCCAGCATGACTAAACCACTTCTGGTACAACGGGACACCATGACGGCAGCCAGAACACATCGAAATGCCGTTTACCTTCCCGCCGCAGTGGTACCTATTTATCTACTTGCACTGGCCTGCTTTCGAACTGCTAGGTTGGCAGGAGCTGGGACAGAGCAACAGGAGATCACTCCGTCATGGAGATTTGAACTGCCAACCTTCTGACTGGCAAGTCCAAGAGGCTCAGTGGTTTAGATCACAGCGCCACCCGCATTCCCACCTTTGACATAGTCACCTTTGACTGGACTTAACCGTCCAGGGGTCCTTTACTTTTACCTAAACCACAATTACATTACACTGTGCAGATTAACACAGGACTAAATGTGCTAAAAGAAGCTGCTTCGTGTTCTTCCTAGCAACCTAGCACAGACCCCTCATAAGGCAGAAGCATACCCCCCCACCCCAGCTTTTACGCTCCTCTGAAGAACTCGTACTCACCGGTATTTTCAGTCTTGGCATCAGCGGTTTTCAAGTTGTTTTCTGGGGCTACTGCCTCCCTGCTGTCAACACATTCATCCCCTGGAAGAAGAGGGTGTTTTGTCGAACCAAGGTCTAGGACTGGCGGCCAAGCTGACCCCAAAGATGTGGTGGGCAGCTGGAAGCGAGCATCTTCTGCTTACTGCCAGCAGACCAATGGATTCGCTGAACGCTTTAATCTGACGCCGGGGCAAATGATTGAGGCGTATGTGGCTAGGCATCCATCAAACTGGGATCAAGCTTCGCCTTGTCTGTTGTTTGGTTATCGTGAAGTGCCCCAGGAAAGTTTTGACTGCTCTCCAACTGGCGAGGGGCAAAGGTAAGTTCCTGCACTTAGCCAGGAAGAACCAGATGCACAAATATTCTAATAAATCTACTTCAATCAACTAGAGATCTGTTTACTGAGGGTAAAGCCTGGGTACTGAATCCAGTTCCTCACCTCTTGGGTTACACAAAGCTGTGTAACTTGGCTGAGCTGAAGCTCAGGTAGCAGAATGTTCAGCTTTTTTAAATTGCGCCTGCTTCTTTTGAATCTCAGGAGTGTCTGGTAAGTTATTTCAGCTTATGTCTTTATATGTTCTGCCCTTGCACCTGGAGACCTTTGCATTTCAAGTCACTGACAAGTCGAATAAGCACAGCTCATACCTTTGGGCTGAACCGAAGGGTCTTTCCCGTCCACCGGTCCTTTCTGAAGCATGCTGAAATCCACCTTGGGCCTGGGAGCCCCCTGGCCAACGGGAGGGTGGGCAGTTCCATCCCCACCCACACCGCCGGCTGCCAGCAGTGCCTTTCTGCTCAGGTCTAGGAGGGCCTTTCCAAAAAAGGCTTCCTGTCAAAAGAGGTGAGAGAAGGAACCGAAAGAACAGAATGAGATGGTATATTCCGAGTAAAAAAACTGGGCCTCCCTGGAAAGCTAACCTCCAACCCCTCTGGCCCAAAATGAACAAAAGCACACACCCAAACTCTATTTGCTCATACAGTGGTACCTTGGTTCTCGAATGCCTTGGCTCTAGAACATACAGTGGTACCTCTAGATACGAACGGGATCCGTTTCGGAGCCCCGTTCGCATCTAGAGGTAAATGTATCTAGCGACGGCACGTCTGCGCACGCGTGTGTTGCTTTTCTCCGCTTCTGCGCATGCACGTGATGTCATTTTGAGCCTCTGCACATGCGCAAGCGGCGCAACCCGGAAGTAACGCGCTCCGTTACTTCCGGGTTGCCGCGGAACGCAACTCGAATGCGCTCAACTCGAAGCGTATTTAACCCGAGGTATGACTGTATTGGCTCCCCAATGCCATAAACCCATAAGTGTTCCAGTTTGCAAATATTTTTTGGAAGCTGAATGTCCGACGCAGCTTCCGCTTGGGAACAGGAAGCTCTTGCAGCCAATTGGAAGCTGCGCCTTGGTTTTCGAACAGTTTTGTGAGTCAAACGGACTCCTGGGATGGATTAAATTCGAGAAACAAGGTTCCACTGTACAGTGGTGCCTCGCAAGACGAAATTAATTCGTTCCGCGAGTCTCTTTGTCTTGCGGTTTTTTGTCTTGCAAAGCACGGCTATTAGCGGCTTAGCGGCTATTAACGGCTTAGCGGCTATTAACGGCTTAGTGGCTTTAAGAAAAAGGAAACAAACTCGCAAGAACTCGCAAGACGTTTCGTCTTGCGAAGCAAGCCCATAGGGAAATTCGTCTTGCGGAACGACTCAAAAAACGGAAAACCCTTTCGTCTAGCGAGTTTTTCGTCTTGTGAGCATTTGTCTTGCGGGGCACCACTGTATCTGTAGGCTTGACACAGTATTACTGATTAGCAGCAGCAGCAGCAGCAGCAACTCACACAAATGGCAAGGTGTTCTCATTCTCCATAGCCGTCTTTTAAAGATAAATTGCCAAAAGACAAGATTCTACAGCCTAATTAGACTATACTGTCATTGGGTTGCTGTTTTTATTTTGATGATATATATACAGTGGATGCTCGGATTGCGAACGTGATCCGTGAGGGAAGCAATCCGCAGCGCCGTGTCTGCGCACGCGCAGGTTGCAATTTGGTGCTTCTGCGCGTGAGCAAGCGTCGAACCCCGGAAGTAACCCGTTCTGGTACTTGCGGGTTCGGCGCGGTGTGCAACCCGAAATCGCACAACCCAAAGCGTCTGTAACCCGAGGTATGACTGTATTGTGGTTGCATATTTTCATTTTCTTCTGTGAACCACCCTGAGGCCTCCTGTATAGGGCGGTACAGACCTCCGGAACGAATTAAGTTCGTAACTAGAGGTACCACTGTATATAAATTCAATCAATCAATATTATACATTTTGGGTTAGGGGTCTGTACCTCACTTCAGCCTGTACCTCACTTATATAATTATTATCCAGCAACTCTAATAAGAGTAAGAGCTGTCTGACAGTGGAACGGTCTACCTTGGGAGGCTGCGGACTCTCCTTGGAAGTTTTTAATAATAATAACAACAATAACAATTTATTATTTGTACCCCGCCCATCTGGCTGGGTTTCCCCAGCCACTCTGGGTGGCTTCCAACAAAGATGAAAAATACACAAAAATGTCACATATTAAAAACTTCCCTGTCAGATGTTTTCTGAATGTCAGGTAGTTGTTTATCGCTTTGACATCTAATGGGAGGGCGTTCCACAGGGCGGGCGCCACCACTGAGAAGGCCCTCTGCCTGGTTCCCTGTAACTTGGCCTCTCGCAGTGAGGGAACCGCCAGAAGGCCCTCGGAACTGGACCTCAGTGTCCGGGCAGAACGATTTAAGCAGAGGTTGGGTGGCCATCTGTCCTGGATGCTTTAGCTGAGATTCCTGCATTGCAGGGGGCTGGACTAGATGACCTTTGGGGGTCCCATCCAACTCTGAATATTCTATTATTCTACTCTGCTTTTGCAAACCTTCAGTCTGCAACCGAACATCTCACCGCACAACTGTCCACAACTTCCTCCCCTTCCCAGTTTGGACAGCAGAGCTTCCGAATGAAACCGAGAAGCGAAACGGCACCTGGCCGCACTTAAGAGAGAAGCGTTTTCTCCTCCAGTCCACGAAGGTAACCAATCAACCTGCACGTCCCTCTTACCTGAAGGTAGGCAGGGAACATGTCCTCCAGCTTGCTCTTCTTCCTGCCCCGCCGTTTCTTCTTCTCGTCACCCTCAACCACTCCCTGCTCAGCGATGCCCTCCGCGGGGACTTCAGCAGGTGGGTTGGGTTGAGCCCCTGGCGTGGAGGCAAGTTTGAGTAGATATGAGCGTCTCTTTGAATTTCAGATAAGCAAGGCTGGGAGCAGCGAGCGAACCAGCTCTCCGGATTTCAGGCTACTTTTACGGCTGCGGTGTGGAACCTGCAGCCCCCTCCAGACCGGGCTAAGACTACCACCCCCATCGGATTTGGAACTGACAGCCTGCTGTCCGTTGAAAGAAAAATTATACGAAAATGATGTGCCGTTGGGATTTGACACCTAGTAAAGCAGCAAAAGGGACGCAGGTGGCGCTGTGGGTAAAAGCCTCAGCGCCTAGGGCTTGCCGATCGAAAGGTCGGCGGTTCGAATCCCCGCGGCGGGGTGCGCTCCCGCTGCTCGGTCCCAGCGCCTGCCAATCTAGCAGTTTGAAAGCCCCCCTGGGTGCAAGTAGATAAATAGGGACCGCTTACTGGCGGGAAGGTAAACGGCGTTTCCGTGTGCTGCGCTGGCTCGCCAGATGCAGCTTTGTCACGCTGGCCACATGACCCGGAAGTGTCTCTGGACAGCGCTGGCCCTCAGCTTGTTGAGTGAGATGGGCGCACAACCCTAGAGTCTGTCAAGACTGGCCCGTACGGGCAGGGGTAGCTTTACCTTTTTAAAGCAGCAAAAATGTGCAGAACCAGTTCAAAGGTGTGTTGGAAATGTAAAAAGAAAGAAGGTGCTTTCTATCGTATGTGGTGGTCATGTGGGGTGGTAAAAGCATTCTGGGAAATGATACACAATTGGGGGGGGGAAGGTTTAAGATAATTTGTTTGTCAAAAAACCAGAGGCTTTTTTGTTAGGAAGTATAGGTGCAGAACTACCGTAAGAAAAGACTGTTTATGTATGCAACGACAGCAGCAAGGATGATTTTAGCCCAGAGATGGGAAGAAGAAAAAGTACCGACCACAGAAGAATGGCAGACCAAGCTGATGGAATATGCAGAAATGGCAAGACTGACGGGGAAGATCAGAAACCAGGAAGACCAAGTATTTGTGAAAGACTGGAATAACTTTTTAACATATCTGAGAGACCACTGTAAGCAGTTGAAATCACTGGCAGGAATATGATGACACTTGTAAAGTAACATGAACTCTGGATATGATGGATATATAATAGACAGACTACAGTAAAAGATGCGGGGGGGGGGGGATTTAGAAACAGAACCCATGGAGGGATGGAGGGAGGGAGGTCTGAAGGTTCGAGAGAAACTTTTCCTGGTTTTTGTTTTGTTTTGTATGTACAATCTTCTGAATGTTTGAAAACTTGGTGCAGCTAACTAAATAGATGCAAAAAGCACCTCATTTCAATAGCAAAATTTTGGATGTGGGATTCTCAGACTGTGGACTGAGAAATACATGGAAAGAGTTTTGTTTTCAAAGACATATCCCACTGTTAAGATACTAAAATAGGAAAGAACATCCTGTACCAACCCAAGCAACGAATAAAGGTAAAGGTAAAGGGACCCCTGACCATTTAGGTCCAGTCGTGGCCAACTCTGGGGTTGCAGCGCTCATCTCGCTTTATTGGCCGAGGGAACCGGCATACAGCTTCTGGGTCATGTGGCCAGCATGACTGAGCCGCTTCTGGCAAACCAGAGTAGCGCACGGAAACGCCATTTACCTTCTCGTCGGAGCGGTACCTATTTATCTACTTGCACTTTGACGTGCTTTTGAACTGCTAGGTTGGCAGGAGCAGGGGCCAAGCAAAGGGAGCTCACCCCATCGCGGGGATTTGAACCGCCGACCTTCTGATCGGCAAGTCCTAGGCTCTGTGGTTTGACCCACAGCGCCACAATGAATACGGGGGAACAAAATATACAAGCAGTGCCCTTACCCTCCTCTGGATGTCCCTCAGCACCTGTCGACTCGCGAGAGGCTTCTGCCAAGGCGGCTGAGCCCTTTTTCAAGCGGGTGTGGGATTTCCGCTGCCGCACCATGAACCCTCCGATACCTGTCCCAGGGCAGAGGAGAGATGAGTCAACAAGATGAGAAGGGACCATTTCTGCTCCAAAGGCCTGGCCCAGGCACACAACACTCACCTGGGCGATATGGCTTCCGCTTCCGCTTCTTGACCTCCTCAGAGTCTTCCAGAAGACCCTTCGCCAAATCGGCCTCGGCTGCGGCTTCCCTCTCCGGGGTAGCAGGGGCTTCCAATTTGATCTCGCACTCCATGTGTTCAACGCTGACTGCAGGCGGACAAGGAATGAGAATATGGGCGAATGCAATATTCCTTAACAAAAGGAACCTCAGTATAATTTTCCCCATGGAATACGATTCCGGACGAGCACCAGTCCTCCTGTCTGTTGCATCACGCATGCGCCTTCGAGTGCTGTGTGCAGGCACCTAACTGAACTCTCACATACATTTGCACATGTACACACACACACACAACTTGCCAACCCCAGGAACAGGATGTGGAAGGTTACCAGATAAGTCTCTCTCCCCTGTATTCCTCCTCAAAGAGTTCCCAGGTCCATAAAAGCAACACTTCTGGACTTTCAGTTTCTTGAAATTTGGGACCTTGGACAACTTGATCTACAAAAGCACCCCACATTTGCTTCTACCCCACTATCAACGACCACCACCTAGACTTCTGCATCATATATACTCCATCACAACAAAAACTTTCCCACGCTAGTCAATGTCTAGAACAGGACACCTGTGCTGCCTCCCAGATTACAACCAAGCTATAAACATATTCATTCTCAAGAGATTACGTAATACAGATTACAAGCAGTCGTTGATCTAGCATGTTGGTTTGTGTTTTTTTACCAAGTTTGGAAGAGGAGGAACTGTGGCTCAGTAATAAGATAAAGATTCCACCTCCCCAAAACCACCAGTTTGGAGAGTTCTTCATTGCGCAAGGAAGTACCTTGGAGCCCAAGTCCCCAGAGAACCGCATTCTAACTTGTATCACCACCCAGGGTTGGCAGTACTGACTAAATGGAGGACAATATATATATATCAGTACTGCACTATAGGTAAAGGTAAAGGGACCCCTGACCATTAGGTCCAGCAGCGGGCGACTCTGGGGTTGAAGCGCTCATCCCGCTTTATTGGCCAGCATGACTAAGCCGTTTCTGGCAAACCAGAGCAGCATACGGAAACGCCGTTTACCTTCCCGCCGGAGCTGTACCTATTTATCTACTTGCGCTTTGACGTGCTTTCGAACTGCTAGGTTGGCAGGAGCAGGGACCGAGCAACGGGAGCTCACCCCATTGCGGGGATTCGAACCGCCAACCTTCTGATCGGCAAGTTCTAGGCTCTGTGGTTTAACCTACAGCGCCACCCGCGTCCCAGTATAGGTATACTGGAGCTTTAATATTAATACTAATAATATTTGCTTTTGTTGTTTGCTTGCTTGCCGCCCATCTGACTGGGTGTCAGGGACCGTGCTGAGGAGGGCTGCACTGAGGGAGAATGGTGGGAGCCACCCCCTCCTCTTGATCCTAATCCTGCATCTTCCCAGGAGCAGGAGGACAGTATAGATTTGGAACAGTGGTTTGCAGAGGGGCACAGTTCAGAAGTCAGAAGCTGGGAAATACTGGATGGGGAACAGCTAGCAGAAGAAACACTGGGAGAGAGAGTGAGTTAAGAGATTCACTGTCTCTGGAAAGCATTCTTCCACTCTCCCCAAGGTCAAGGAGAGCTGAGAAAGTGGCAGAACAGAAAGCACAGAGGGTACAAACTCAGGTTACAAAACGTAGGAGTGACGTAGATTAATAGGGACGGAGAGGGGAGTGACCTTAATTGGGAGCACCGCCATGCTAGAGAGATGCATTGTGTTGTCTCTTGCTGTGGTTATTAAAGATTCTAACTGGTAAGATGACTCATTTTCCTTTGTTCTGCTTATCTACTGCCACAGGGGAGGAAGCCGATTCTGACACTGCGTTGCCCCAGCCATTCTGGGCAGCTTCCGACAATGATAAAACCAGAGTAAAGCACCAAACAATGAAGAACTTCCCTCCACAATACTTTAGCCCACACTCCCCTGAAGGTGGTGGGGATGGAACAAACCTTCAGCTTTCAGGATCTCGTCTCCCTCCACGTCGCCCTCCTTTTTCTCTTCGGGGCCCAAGGGGTCAACCCCATCCAGAACACCTTCGCCATTGAGTGCACCCAGCGGCCGTGGTGTCGTCGGTGTCGTTGGGGTCTTGCGCGGGCGGCGCTTGTGCAGTGGCGACAAGGACAGGTTCCGCAACACCGCCATGCCCGTCTCTGTCAGCCAGACGCCTTCAAAGCGAAAATACTGGGGCTCTGTGGGGGAGAGGGTGAAACTTGGTAGGCAGGGCCAAACCAGCATGGTGCCACCGTTCATCTTTGTAGAGAGCCGGCCTGAGCATTAATTTCTTCCCCTCCTTTCATCCACTACATACCCCCCCCTTTTTCTTTTTTGACATCCCCCCTACAGTTGACAGCAGTAATTCAGAAGGACCTGAGCCTACATTTATTCCAGGCTCAGAAATAAGATCAGCACAGTATCTGGGTGCAATGCCTGAGATTATAGAGCACAAATGAGAAAGAAACTTACCCGGCTCCTTGATCTTCACCGGAATAATTTCTGGAGGGGGGACCGGAACTAAAAAAAAAAGAAAAAAAAGAAAGAGAGAGAGAGACCCCCAAAAAGGTATGTTAGAAAGGGTAGGTATTCAGTATTTTGTTTTTGTGTGTACTTCTCACAACATTTAGGACGGATAATTCCATTTTTATAAGAGTATCTACTTCAAGTAAATGGATAAACGAGCAAATTAAGTTAATTTGGATATGCAGAAAATGTTAGAAACAAATTTAAGGAACCGCAGAAAGAGGGGGAAGGAAGCCGAGCTTTGAAATCCTGAAATGATTGTAAAATTATTGAAATGTATAAAATTGAAAATAATAATAATAGGATAATTCCTCCCCTCCAAAAATGTGCATCATTTATTCACTCACCCACCCAACCTTTCACCCTTAATCTGCTCCTTCACCTGCATTCCCCATGCGCCTGGAACACAGCTATGTCTTTTCTGCACCCAACCCCAAGCAATCTCAGTGGTATTACATTGAGCCATAATATCCACAAAACTCTACCACGTCCAGCTGACCACCATCCACAGCCCCTTTGCCCCACTTATCTTCTACTGTTTCACACCCACCCACCCCAAAATATCTTGCTGAAGTCCTCGTGCACCAATGGCTTATCTACTTGTTCCAATATCCATTTCAAAAGAAGCAGCTACCATTAACTGACAATGAGAATCTCTTGCACACCAACATTTGGAGGGCAAGTCTACAGGTTATACCAGGGGTAGTTAACCTTTTTATACCTACTGCCCACTGATGCATCTTTTTTGATGGTAAAATTTCCTTACCTCCCACCAGTGCTCGATGGAAGGAGGATTCAGCTTGTGCCGTAGAACTCCCTACTGCCCACCTAGAATCCTGAAACGCCCATTAGTGGGCAGTAGGGACCAGGTTGACAACCCCTGGGTTACACTATTCCACATCCAATTCTTGGCTTCCTCAATTGCTGTCTAGGGCAGCTCTCTTTTCCATGACACTGGGAAACTGCTAAACTAGGAAGCAGCCTATCCAAACACAGAGATGGTTCTATGTACCCTTTGTATATATCTATGTTTCACAGTCCTCCTCTTCGAGCTTCTCCATTCTATTCCCTCCACCCACACTCTGTCGTCCATTTTATTCCTTCTCAACATTGTTTGCCATTCAGTGACTACAGGGCTGTTTTGGGTCTTTATGCACCCTTAAGTGTTTTCCCCGTAAAGATTTTCTGAACACCTGCAAATCAAGTATTCCGACACATCCCTCTTCCGTGTGGGTGGTGTGGTTCAGGATATAGAACCACAGGAATACTCAACCTGTCTTATTATTATTATTATTATTATTATTATTATGCATAGTGATGCAGAAAGAAAGTAGACCTAAGATGCCCTCCCAAATTTTGAGCATCATGAAATCCTCCCCAGAGCCAGCTCAGGATTTGAGGGTCCCGTTGGCACAGTGTCCTTGGTGGGTTAGTGGGCCCCTTGATGGCTTTAGTCATCTGAGAGCTGTAAGGGTGGACAGCAGCAGTGGCTACACACTAATGAGCACTAGGTGGCAGCAGCTAGGAGAGGCAGCTTCCCACAATGCCATGCAGCAACACTATGCTGGAGGAATTGTGGGAAGTAGGGCTGGGTGATACCTGGTTTTCATCATCGTGATATATCACCAGCTAAACATTGTGATGTACCGATATATCACAATGTTTAGGGTGGTACTATGTAGGTAAAAGATCCCTGGACGGTTAAGTCCAGTCAAAGGCGACTATGGGGTTGCGGCGCTCATTTCGCTTTCAGGCCGAGGGAGCTGGCGTTTGTCCACAGGCAGCTTTCCAGGTAATGGGGCCAGCATGACTAAACCACTTCTGGTGCAACGGAACACCGTGACGGCGAAGCAGAGCGCACGGAAACACTGTTTACCTTCCCACTGCAGCGCTACCTATTTATCTACTTGCACTTTGAGGTGCTTTCGAACTGCTAGGTTGGCAGGAGCAGGGACCGAGCAACGGGAGCTCACCCCGTCGCGGGGATTCAAACCGCCGACCTTCTGATCGGCAAGCCCAAGAGGCTCAGTGGTTTAGACCACAACGCTGTCTGGCTTCATGCTTTCCCCCCACATGGTGATTTTTGCATGGAGCATACAGCGCATGATTCGTGTTCTGTTGCCAGGTCAAGAATTATGAACCAATATCACGATATGGAAGTGAAACCGGTTTTGGATAATATATTGCCTAGCCCGAACACACATTGGAATTCAAAATATGTTGGCAGGTCAAAAGCTATAAAAATCAGTTATCATGATATGGACTTTAAACTGGTTTTGGGCAATAGATTGATATATCATCCAGCCCCAGTGGGAAACATAAAAAGGTCGCTGTCTGAAACCCTGGCACTCAAAACTGCAAGGAATGAACACCAGGGCAGGCTTCTGCAATGAGCTTTGCCACTGCACTGGGGACTTGGCAGTTGCTGGTGCTTCTTTCTGAAATGAATTTGGTTCGCAGGTCTCACACCTGTCTGGTACTCACCAACGGGCTTGACCACATAGGGCTGGCAGGAGGTACAGTCAAATCCTTCGTCTGCTGCCTGTTCGACTTCTTCCTCCGTGAATAGGTTGTCGCACACGGCATGCATCCACCTGGGAAACAAACAAAAGGGTTTCAACGCACATACGGAGAGATTTTGCAGATTAAGTATGGGGAAGGGAATTCTCCGACATCTCAAAAGCTTGCCCTCCCTCTTCCCCCGCAAGGTGGAAACGTACAGGGAGAGAGTCAGCCACTTACAGGCGGGATCCAACATTGCCTGCATCTGTTGACGTGAAGATTACAACGGCCAATAGTGCAATACCGGGTGGGTTAAGGAAAACTGGGGCTTACCTCTCACAGTGCTGGCACTGGATCAAGAGGTCGTCCTCCACATATTTCACATGGCAGATGGGGCAGGTGACAAGGCTGGCGCAGGGAGCACAGTGGGTGTAGTTGTTCTGCCATTCGCAGTGGAAGCCAGGCGAGACTGCTCCACACTGCACGCAGCAGACGCACCTGTCGAAGAGGGGTGGGGGCAGGGAATCAACACCAATTCTGCAATCCAATCTATCCCACCACCCCCTGAACCAAAAACAAAAACAACGCAGATGCCCTAGGAACGGCAGCCCAGAATTCCTCAACTTGAATGTGACCTATAATCACATACAGTGGTACCCCGGGTTAAGTACTTAATTCGTTCCGGAGGTCCGTTCTTAACCTGAAGCACCACTTTAGCTAATGGGACCTCCTGCTGCCGCCACGCTGCCAGAGCACGATTTCTGTTCTCATCCTGAAGCAAAGTTCTTAACCTGAGGCACTATGGTATTTCTTTATTAGCAGAGTCTGTAACCTGAAGCGTATGTAACCCGAGGTACCACTGCACATTCAACTCTACCTTGAGCAAGAGCACAACCTGCTTTTATTAAAAAACGTTTCTGTACGACCTTTCGATTCTAACAAGGACACCAACACCACCGAGGCAGAAAATAGGACAAAACTAGTTTAAACGGTAACAAAATTAAAACAGAGGTTTGAAAGACAAAGAAGAGCGGGTTTTTAAACCTTCAACTGCACACCAAAAATGATTAAAAACAAAGCAGGATAACAAGTGCCTTTTTGCTGCCTGCTTGCAAGTCTTCCGGGATAGGGCCAGCCTAACTACCTTGGGGAGGGATTTCCATAGCCTGGGTGCAACCACAGAAAAGGCTGCGTCTCGTGTTCCCACCAAACCGAACCTTTTAGCAGTGAGGAATGTAGCAGGGCCTCAGAAGATGATCTCAATCTTAATGGGCAGGCTCATTCGGAAAGAGGACATCCTTCCATTCTCCTGGCTCTATGCCATTTAGGGATTTACAGATAGGTGCCAGCACATGAACTGCAACTGAGTGCAGCCAATACTAAACCAGTGTATTCTTTTTTTAAAAAAAATTGTTATATGGCACGAGATATAAATTGTAATATAGTACATTGCTGTATAATTTTGTGAAATAGTGTCATACCTCGGGTTACAGACATTTAGGTTGCGTTTTTTCAGGTTACGGACCCGCCGAAACCCGGAAGTACCGGAACAGGTTACTTCTGGGTTTCTGCGGGCGCGCATGCGCAGAAGGCCAAATCGCGCGTGCGCATGTGCAGAAGCACCGAATCGCAACCTGTGTGTGCGCAGACACGCCTCTGCGGGTTGCGAATGCTGTGAGTTGCAAACGTGCAACCTGCACGGATGATGTTCGCAACCCGAGCGTCCACTGTATGTTTAATAAAGATTTCAGACGTTTATAAAAAAAAGAAAAAGAAATCAATAGGTCACATCTGCTGTGTAACATCTTAAATTATAAAATCTTTCAAAGCACCTATGCTTAGCATAAGTCACATTCCCAGTGCTTTTTTTTCTAAAAAAAATGTTTAAGGGTACTCTCATTTTCCTACTCATACTGAAATACTGCCCCTCAATGAGGCCAAACTTAGATTCACAAAATGTTTAGGGGTATGCGTCCCCCCAGGAAAAAAGCACTGCACATTCCTGTAATTCCTTCAGTCAGATTATTATTATTTGTTAGATACACCATCAGAGTTCAAAACAAAAACAGCAGCAGGGAGCTTCCTCTTTTCTGTTATTTGTTTAACTGCAGCAAAAATAGCATGGCCAAAATAGGTAAAGGTAAAGGGACCCCTGACCATTAGGTCCAGTCGTGGCCGACTCTGGGGTTGCGGCGCTCATCTCGCTATATTGGCCGAGGGAGCCGGCGTACAGCTTCCGGGTCATGTGGCCAGCATGACTAAGCCGCTTCTGGCGAACCAGAGCAGCGCACAGAAACACCGTTTACCTTCCTGCCGGAGTGGTACCTATTTATCTACTTGCACTTTGACATGCTTTCGAACTGCTAGGTTGGCAGGGGCTGGGACCAAGCAATGGGAGCTCACCCCGTCGCGGGGATTCGAACCGCCGACCTTCTGATCGGCAAGTCCTAGGCTCTGTGGCCAAAATACGGGGAATTAAATTCCATTCCGACATGAGAGGTAGAAAACAAGAGAGCCAAGCTCTCTTGATTTTGTTTGCCACACACAGGGCCCTTTAAAGCAGTCTTATGTCGTCTCTCTCACCATTTACACTTCCAGCCGCCCTTGGGCACGGTGTTGAGAGGCGGGTCCAGGCAATATGTGTGGTAGCTGATGTCACAATCATCGCAGAGCAGCAGGCGGGACGGGTCTGACGCTTTGCCACAAACCTCGCACACAATGCATTCCACGCAGCGCCAGCCCTTTAGCAGCATCACCTTGGTAATCTTTAAAAGGGGGGGGGGACAAAGATGTGGAGGGGGGGAAAAGGGAGACCTGAGTGCTTACGGAGCTGCGAGGAGAGCTGCGGTTGTGTGTACAACCTGTCTTCGTCAAGTCTGATTCCTCTATGGCTCTTTGGAACAGCCGCCTCCCCTACATGAGTGTCGCTCTGAGGCCTGCTACCCAGGCAAGGTTGCTGAGAATAGGGTAAAGGTAAAGGACTGCTGGACGGTTAAGTGCAGTCAAAGGCGACTATGAGGTTGAGGTGCTCATCTTGTTTTCAGGCCCAGGGAGCCGGCGTTTGTCCGCAGACAGCTTTCCAGGTCATGTGGCCAGCATGACTAAACTGCTTCTGGCACATGGAGAACTCTGACGGAAGCCAGAGCACACAGAAACGCCATTTACCTTCCCGCCGGAGCGGTACCTATTTATCTACTTGCACTGGTGTGCTTTCGAACTGCTAGGTTGGCAAGAGCTGGGACAGAGCAACAGGAGCTCACCCCGTCGCGGGGATTCGAACTGTCGACCTTCTGATCGGCAAGCCCAAGAGGCTCAGTGGTTTCAACCACAGCGCCATCCGCATCCCTTTTGTTGTTGTTGTTGCTGAGAATAGGGCAAAACGACAACTCCTGTGTAAATTAACCTGTAAGAGCTTGCCGTTTCCTTGTCAGGAACCAAACTTTGCAGATTCTGTACACTTCAGATCTCAGGAGAGCAAACAGGGCCTTCATAGATCAGGACAGTTGAAGGTTCAGCTTCCTATTTTCTTCCTAGGCCCATTCCTACATGACTGTTGTCCCTATGCACACATATTCCATGAGCGCCCCCCCAACCACTTGAAAGTAAAGAAACAAAAGCCAACCCTCTTAGATGGGTCCACCCCACCAAATTCCACTAACATCTAAATTAGGAGTGTCACACCGACATATTTACGGGACATATTTAGCTCAAGAACTGAGCACGGTGAGAAGTCATGGGTCCTTTAAGAGAGGAATCATTATTTTAAAAATAATAATGGGGAGAGGGAGTGCTGTTTCACACAGAGCAGGCCTTACCTTGCTGTTGACGCAGTAAGGATGGTAACATTGAGAGCACTGGGAGCACGCCAGGAGGTGGCCCTCAGCACCACGGCCAAAGCTACCACACACCACACACATATCCTGTCAAGGAGGGAGAGGCAGGTTAAAAGAGGCCTTGCAATGCCCCAGAGAAACAACCTCTATTTTTTAATATAAATATTCCAACCGTTCCACAGATGCAAGGTAACGTGCAACCACAATTCGCCCCCCTCCCTAAAAGAAGTAACCAAAGGCTGCTAACCGATAGCTTATAAACACCCTAGCTTTTCTTTTCTTTTAAAGTGACTGAATAATTTTAATGAATTTGCAAGCTCCCAGCCGGGGCAAAAGCAATAAAGCTTATTGTTCGCAGCAATGAAACAGGGAATGGGGAGGCTAGCTGTCCACCAAAAGGAATCTTGGCAAAAGGAGTAACACACCTGAGCCACAGGAATTCAGCAATAAGCAAGTTCAAGACCTATCAATACTGGATGAAATCTAGGTTTCAAAGATGTACCCCATTGTTGACTTCAGCTGGGTGCTATCAGCTACAGCAGGGCTGGGCAACCACCAGATCTCGCTTGACTCCAACCAAACATTTGGGGTGATGGGTGTTGTAGTTCAACAACACCCACTGTGCCCCATCCTTGAGCTACAGCTGTCTGTGGGGCTTCTTATTAGAAGGAGCCAGAGTTTCAGGTAGAAAGGCAAACTGTTATCCTCTTGGGGCGGCTAGGTACCAGTCAACAGACGCACCTGACTGTGGGACAGCCCCAAGTCTACGCTCTATGCCAGCCCTGACTAGCTGCTCCAGGAGAAACTCGCCGCTCACATCCATTGAAATTGGTGCAATCAGAAAACCGTCCGAGGTTTGCGGCCCTCGTGTCTGTACCCACCTGCATCAGCACAAACTTGTCCGTGTTGGAGAAGAGCACCACCGTGTTCTGCATCGTGTCATCGTCATCATCGTCATCTTCCTTGCTCGGGGAGCTGTCGATATCAGCGAGCTTGGAAGGGAAGGGAGCAAAGGGACGAGGTGAAACTGCCGTCTTTCGCTGCTCCCGACAGACAAGAGGGGGAAATGCAGACACACAAAGCTACAATCTCCTCAGCCTACCAGCTACACCCTTGAGTCACTGCCCGTGCTGCAGGGGAGAAGGCCTACAGTCCCGTTGCCAGATTCCGTGTATAGCCCCCAGCCCTCCCGTTTCTATCACCCACCCACCCACAAATATCCCCACTGGCTAATAATTCCTGGTAGGTCGACCATGCTCCAAAAGGGACAGAATTCCTACCCTTTTAAGAGCACAGAGGAAGGCAGAGATTCCACAGGTGCAGCTTCTCAGCGTCGCGGCAAGAGGGAAAACTACATCTGCTGAACAATGCCCCGCTTTGAAGCACTTAAAGGGAGAGAAGCCCCATCACTGATAGAATATGGCAAGCCTACGTCGAGAGGGAACGCTTCGACAATCTATTCAAATGAAAGGGAGGGGAGGGGAAGGTGGGACCCACTGCCTCCAAGCACTATGGATAAGGATACGGCCCCAGGCAAGGTGCACTAACTGGGAGCTGCAGGAAAAGGGGTGCTCTCATCTTGAGGCCAGAACCACGCATCTATCTAAACTGGGGGGGCCTATCCGCTGCCTGAAGCTCCGCCTTTGGGGAGGCCAATAGGACTGGGCGATATCTGGTTTCCAGCACTGCAATATATCACCAGCTAAACATTGTGATATATCGCTATATCACAATATCTGAAATAATGATGGAACTATGCAGAGGCGAACAGCAGGGCTTGGTTTTCAACACTGCAATATATCACCAGCTAAACATTATGATACACTGATATAAGGATGGAGCTATGGCTGGCTTCGTGGTTTTTCCCACATCGTGATTTTTAACAGCACACAAACACACACGCGAAATTCACGATACACTGCCAGGTCGAAAATTATGAAAACAAAATCACAACATGGACTTCAAACCAGTTTTGAACGCTATTATCGCCCAGCCCTAACACACACAGTGATTCGTGATATATCGCCAGGTCTAAAAGGATGAAAACGATGTCTCGATATGGACTTCAAACTGGATTTGGATGATGATACCGATCTATCGCCCAGCCCTAGAGACCGGCCTCCCTACGTACCGCCGCTATGGCTTCTCTTGCCCTGGGAAGGAGGGCAAACCACTCGAGCCCCTCCCCTCCCGCTCCCCCAGCGTTCTCCTGCCTGCTAAAGCTGCCCCTACCGCCAATGTCTCGATGGAAGAAGTGGTGGATTTCAACCGTGATCGGCCCCGCCCTCGGCCTGTGTGGGACCCTCCCCGAGGCCGTCTCCTCCCGGGAAAACTGCTGCTGCGACCCTACGACCAGAAGGAAACAGAGTGAGAGAGAGGGTCAAAAATAAAATGACAGAGAGAGGGGGGAACATAGATGCACACACCGGGGAACATTCAAACAACATGGCCGCCCATTTGCTCTGGTACTCCCCACCTCTGACAGGGACGGGGGGGGGCTACTCGGGGGGGAGGAAGGAGACAACGGGCCATGGGGTTACCTGCTTGACGCGGGAACGGGCCGGGGAGCTCCGCCGCCGCCCCTTCTCACACTCCCCTTTCATGTCAAAAGGCAAGGAGTCGTCCATCTCGCCCGGCGGCAAGGAAGCCCCGTCGTCTCTCTGGAGGCTGACGTCTGTGGAGGTCAGGCCGGCCATCTCCAGGGACATGGAGCCGCCGCCTTCGTGGTAGGGCGAGGCGAACTGGAGCTCCGAGCCTGGGAAGCTGCTGGCGTCGCCTTGGCTCAGGTTGGAGATCTCGTTCACGATATCCGACTTCACCAGGTGGTGGGGCCTCAAGGGCGCCGGCCCAGCCTCCTCCTCCCCGCTCGCCCCTCCCTCCTGCTGGTGGCCAGCCCCGTAGGCCTCCATCGGGGTGCCCCCCAGCAACTCCGCCTCCACGGGCGAAGGGGAGCGCTTGGGTTCGCGGGCGAAGCTCTCCTCGGGCGGCTCAGGCCCCAACGCAGCAGGCCCGTCCTCGTCCGGAGCCTCCGCCTCGCTCAGCGGAGGGGATAATCTCTCCTCCAGCTCCATCTTCGGCGCCGGAGCTGCCCCACCGGCCTCCTCGTCCTCTTCTTCCTCCTCCTCCTCTTCGTCCTCTTGGCTAGGCTGTACTCGGCTGCCGGCGGGGCTGTCCGGCGCCAGGCCCTCGGCCCCCGTGTCCATGGGCTCCTCGTGGGCTTCTCCTTCCTCGGCGGCTTGGGGGGAAGCGGCTTTGAGCGAGCCAGGCCGGGGGCTCGCTGGAGAGGCCTGCCCTTCCGGGGCTGGGGGTGCCGCCTCAGTATGGCTCTCTGTGGGTTCTGGCTCTGCGGGCGGCAACTCAAAAGAAGGATGCTCTTTGGCACCGAGCGGGGGCTCCTCGGGGTGGGAGGGTGAGGCTGGATCTGGAAGGGGAGAGCGAGGGAGCAGGAAGGGGAGACATGTAAGCCTTTGGCAGGAAAGAGCCATTCCCAGACATTGGAAAAAGGAAGCAGCGTTCCTCAGCCTAAGCAGAGAGCAACAAGATCAGAATCGTGCACCAGGCCTTTAGCCTTAGAAATTAATGAATGAGATTAATTGGAAGTCAGTTTTAAATTTCTTATCTATAAATTTTATAATTGTGTTCAATACCAGGATTACATATGATGATAATATTAATCTTCTTATATCTTATAGTTTGGTGGTTTGTTTGATTTTTCTGTTATTTGTTTGTTTGATTGTATGTTTGTTTACAGTATAGTGGTACCTCGGGTTAAGTACTTAATTCGTTCTGGAGGTCTGTTCTTAACCTGAAACTGTTCTTAACCTGAAGCACCACTTTAGCTAATGGGGCCTCCAGCTGCCGCCACGCTGCCGGAGCCCGATTTCTGTTCTCATCCTGAAGCAAAGTTCTTAACCTGAGGTTCTATTTCTGGGTTAGCAGAGTCTGTAACCTGAAGTGTATGTAACCTGAAGCGTATGTAACCTGAGGTACCACTGTATTTTCCTTTGTGTTTTCACCCAAAAAGCACAGCTTAGGGCAAAACCAAAAGAAGTTCAACAACTGTGTTCCACCCCCCCACCCACACCCCCAAAAACAAAAACCTCAACAACTTTGCCAAAAAGAATAGCTCAACAACTTTTCTGTCCGGATTTTCACTGTTAGAAATACGGCAACGCCATTTTAGCTCACCTGGTGGCACTGGGGGAGGGGGTGGCGGAGAGGGGGCCTTCTCAGGCTCTAATAGCGTCTCTACTTCCATCTGCTCCTGCCCTGCAGGGGCTTCCGGATCAACATCGGACAGCTCTAACGGCTTGTCTGCTTCTGGAAAAGGACACAAGAGGACAGCTCGTTCAAACGCTCCTTGCAAACAAGCTCAAATCCGCTCCATGACGTACCCTCACACACACCCCTTAGTTCCACTGCGGAAACCAAGAACGCTTGCAATAACCGGGAGCAGATTTGTGCGCAGAACGACAGCTAGCTCGGTTCTGGTGCTCAAACCAAGTCCTGGGCTCGGAATTCTCTCATTCCTTCATTTCCACCAGGTTCTGACAGCTGGATGCCTGAAGGAGCGTCTCCACCCCCGTCGTCCAGTCCGAACGCTGAGATCCAGCTCTGAAGGCCTCTTGGCGGTTCGCTTATTGCGAGATGTGAGGTTACAGGGAACCAGACAGAGGGCCTTCTCGGTAGAGGCACCCGCCCTATGGAACGCCCTCCCATCAGATTTCCAGGAAATAAACAACTATGCGACTTTTAGAAGACATCTGAAAGCAGCCCTGTTTAGGGAAGTTTTTAATGTTTGATGTTTTATCGTGTTTTTATTATTTCTTTGAGGGACGCGGGTGGCACTGTGGGTAAAAGCCTCAGCGCCTAGGGCTTGCCAATCGAAAGGTCGGCGGTTCGAATCCCCGCGGCGGGGTGAGCTCCCATTGCTCAGTCCCAGCGCCTGCCAACCTAGCAGTTCGAAAGCACCCCCGGGTGCAAGTAGATAAATAGGGACTGCTTACTAGCGGGAAGGTAAACGGCGTTCCGTGTGCGGCTCTGGCTCGCCAGAGCAGCTTTGTCACGCTGGCCACGTGACCCGGAAGTGTCTCCGGACAGCGCTGGCCCCCGGCCTCTTGAGTGAGATGGGCGCACAACCCTAGAGTCTGTCAAGACTGGCCCATACGGGCAGGAGTACCTTTACATTTACCTTTATTATTTCTTTGTTGGGAGCCACCCAAAGTGGCTGGGACAACCCCTTCAGATGGGTGGCATATAAATATTTTGTTGTTATTTATGATTATGCTTATGGTTATATCTATTAGGATCCTAATAAAAAGAAATTGGATCCCACAAGCCTGATTCCAACTCTATTTTAAGTTGCCACAAGACTCTCTGTTGTTTTAGGGCGCTTGCAAACAGCTGTAAAATGCAACTGGCGTTCATGATAAAAGTGTGGACAAGATAGCTCACAAGTTGAGCTACAAGTTATGGAAGGTATGCACAGATATTTCTCCCCCTGCTAAGACAGTATCCGCTGTTGATTATTTGGAAAAAACAAAAGCCCACAATCTTCTAACAAAATGCAAGGGGGTGTGTGTGTGTGTGTGTGTGTGTGTGTGTGTGTGTAAGCAAAGGTCAACTCACCAGTCGGTTTCTCATCGCAACCCAAAGGCACCTGCTCTTCTTGGTGCAAACTGACCGGGCTGCTGCAGCTGCTTTCCGCTTGCTCCTTGCTGGCTGCACATGCTTCCTCCAGTGGTTTGGGGGACACTGGCTTATCTGTTGTGACGAGGCTGCTGCTGCTGCTGGCTGGGGCAGTTTGCCTGGTTCGTTGAAAAGAAAAAGGCCAGTTGAGACCAGAAGTTGCTATCCTTAGATTTTAAGAAGTGTTCAATAATCTCTACAACAACCCTGCGAGGCAGGCAATTGTGAAAATTGCAGGTGTGGGGGTGGGAGGCAGTGGCTTCCCCATGGCCGCCTGTTGAGTTTTGGGGCAGAGGCAATGTGCAAGACTGAGACCTCCCATTTGCCACTGAGTCCCACTACAGTCAGAGGGACTCGGTTGACGCTGTAGGTTAAACCACAGAGCCTAGGACTTGCCGATCAGAAGGTCGGCGGTTCGAATCCCCGCGACAGGGTGAGCTCCTGTTGCTCAGTCCCTGCTCCTGCCAACCTAGAAGTTCGAAAGCACATAAAAGTGCAAGTAGATAAATAGGTACCGCTCCGGCGGGAAGGTAAACGGCATTTCCATGAGCTGCTCTGGTTTGCCAGAAGCGGCTTAGTCATGCTGGCCACATGACCCGGAAGCTGTACGCCGGCTCCCTCGGCCAGTAAAGCGAGATGAGCGCTGCAACCCCAGAGTCGGCCACGACTGGACCTAATGGTCAGGGGTCCCTTTACCTTTACCTACCTACTACAGTCATGCTTAACATCAGCGATTTCGGGGGGTACCCCAGCCTACACTGTGAGCTGGGACACCCATTATTATTTCCCCAACCTAAGCCACTCACTCCTGGCTGTGCTGTACGGCCTCCGTACTACTTGCGCTCTTGCGACGTTGCTCTTGGCATCCTTCACAGAGAGAGTAGTTCTCGTACCACTGGCTGCTGGGATCCAGGGCAGAAGGGCGGAAGCCACAGTCAGAACAAACACGGCAGCTCTGGAGGAAGAGGAAGAGAGACGGGCATTCAGGAGAGGGAAAAGGCAGCCGAGGGTCTTTCCAACACCGCCAAAATCTTACCTGGTTGCCCCAAGACTGCGGACACCAAACTGGAAAAGCTAGAAAGAGCAGGGGTGAGGCGCAGGGCTGGGTGGTTTGAAATAACCAGAGTTTACTGCTATATTAACTGTGGTTGGTTGAAACTACGATCTGTGATGCCAGACGGTTTGAGCCTAGCTCGTTTCAATCAATCATGGTTAACGTTAACCACGGTTTGTCCTTTTCAGACGCAACTAAATAACTGTGGTTATTTAAAATCAGGAATGGGGTGCTACCAGTCTCCTCATAGCCTTACCAGAGCATGATATGAGTTTAAAGCAGATAAATCACGGGTGGTTAAGCTGTGCACCTCCAGATGTTGCTGGAATACAATGCTCATCATCCCTGACCAGACTGCCTAAGTCTGATAGGAGCTGGAATCCTAAACATCTGCAGGGCCACAGGTGAGCCGTCTCTGGGGTAACGAGTAACCTGAAGTTATTATCAACCAGCTTCCAAATTTTGCCTGCAACCTTAAACATTGAACACTGAACACTGTGGGACTAGTACCTGAGCAAATCTACTTAGGGTTGTACTGTTAGCAATTGTTTTTGTTTTGTTTGTATGTGTTGAATGCTAACAATTCATAGAAACTAAGAGGCCCTGGACTTGGTCACAGCGGTATAAAAAATATTAGGTTGGTTCAGAGAAAATCACCAAGGTTTTGTTTAGTTCTTTGAAGGCTAATGTTGAATTGTGGCTGCCATAACTAGAGAGGAACACAGAAGAAGAAATGGGGAAAGAAATGCCCAAGGCTGGCATTCGACTTCTTCCAGAATACAGTGTACCTTGGTACAGTGGTACCTCGGGTTAAGTACTTAATTTGTTCCGGAGGTCCGTTCTTAACCTGAAACTGTTCTTAACCTGAAGCACCACTTTAGCTAATGGGGCCTCCTGCTGCCGCCGCGCCGCCAGAACACAATTTCTGTTCTCATCCTGAGGTAAAGTTCTTAACCTGAAGCACTATTTCTGGGTTAGCGGAGTCTGTAACCTGAAGCGTATGTAACCCGAGGTACCACTGTATCTCTATGTGAAAGCAAGTGGTGGAGGATTCCTTGCGGGCAGGCAGGGCTATGGGCATTCTGTTCCAAGCGTCGCATCAGTACAGAATCTAGTGCCATGAAAACATGCAATCATATTTTAAAAGGAAAAAGTTAAGTCCATAGGTAACACATGGCAATGTCTCAGAAACAGAGGGGAGTCCGAATAGCATTTCAACTGGCCTTCCCCTCACCCCATGTCTGTTGGAAACAGAGTACAGTGGTACCTCTGGTTGCGAACGGGATCTGTTCCAGAGGCCCGTTCGCAACATGAAAAGTCCGTAATCTGAAGTGCCATATCTGCGCAGGTGCGCAGCATGATTTGGGGCTTGTGCGCATGCGCGAAGTGCGATTTACCGCTACTTTGCATGCGCAAGCAGCAAAACCCGGAAATAACCCTTTCCAGTACTTCCGGGTCGCCACAGGACACAACCTGAAAAAACGAAACATGAAGCAAACGTAACATGAGATACGACTGTAAAGCAAATACAGTGGTACCTCAGGTTAAGAACTTTATTTGTTCTTGAGGTCTGTTCTTAACCTAAAACTGTTCTTAACCTGAAGAACCACTTTAGCTAATGGGGCCTCCTGCTGCCGCCGCACCGCCAGAGCACGAGTTCTGTTCTCATCCTGAAGCAAAGTTCTTAACCTGAGATACTATTTTTGGGTTAGCGGAGTCTGTAACCTGAAGCTTATGTAACCTGAAGCGTATGTAACCCGAGGTCCCACTGTATATGCCCATTCCCTTAATACTGAAGAGATTGCAGAACTCACTCTCTTTTTGCAAAGGGCAACTTGGGTTACCTCAACACTGAGTTTTAAGTTTTTCAGCTCAGACGCGTGCGCAGGGACTTACTTTGCACTTCCAGGAGTCGGTGGGAAGGCTCTCGATGGCTGGCTCCAAGCAATAGGTGTGGTAGCATTTCTCGCAAGCTTCACACACGAGCATCCTGCTGTCCTCCCCAGACAGCCTGCAAAGGAGAGACGCCACAGGCGACCAGTGAATCGAGGCACCCTCGGCAACAGGCCTTTCTGGGGTGCTCAACGGGGGTCCCCCCTCCCATCCCCGCCTCCGAGGGGCTTTTTCACACTCACCTGCAGGTTTGGCAAACTTTGCATTCGTGACATTGCCAGCCCGAGCGCTTGCGTGGCGTCACCGTGATCTCCAAGCATGCGCCGTGGTAGTGCAGGCCACAGCTAGTGCAGAAGAGTAGGTCGCGCAACTCCCCGGGGGCATCGCAAACCATGCAGCGAGAGTCCTCTGCAAGGAGGGAAGAAGGGCACTCTGGGACGAAATCCACCAAACCATCCCCCCATTGGCCCAGAGTCCAGCAGCAGCAAACACAAACAACATTGTTTTTCTCAAATTTAGGTCCCCGTTGTTGGACTACAACTCCCATCATCCCTGACCTGTTAGCTAATAATAATAATTTTTATTTATACCCCGCCCTCCCCAGGCAAGGCTGGGCTCAGGGCGGCTAACAAGCAATAATAATGAATACAACTTAAAAACAAGATTAAAATACAACATTAAAATACTGAAACAATAAAATATTAAAATGCAGCCTCATCACAGGAGGAGAAAGGAAAAGAAAAAAGAAAGAGGGGGAGGGAATCAGATTGGCTCCAAGACAAAGGCCAGGCGGAACAACTCTGTCTTACAGGCCCTGCGGAAAGAAATCAGATCTTGCAGGGCCCTGGTCTCATGAGACAGAGCGTTCCACCAGGCTGGAGCCAGTGCTGAAAAGGCCCTGGCTCTGGTTGAAGCTAATCTAACTTCCTTAGGGCCTGGGACCACTAGGGTGTTGCTATTTATGGACCTTGAGGTTCTCCATGGGGAATACCAGGAGAGGCGGTCCCGTAGGTATGAGAGTCCTAGGCCGTGAAGGGCTTTAAAGGTCAAAATCAGCACCTTAAATCAGACCCTGTACTCCACCGGGAGCCAGTGCAGCTGGAAAAGCACTTGGTGAATATGCTCCCATGGCAGAGACCCTGCGAGGAGCCTCGCTGCAGCTAGGGATGATGGGAGTTGTAGTCCAACGACAGCTGGAGAGAAAGCTATGTTTGAGAAACACACACACACACACACACACACTGGGGCCTCCCTTTTCTTGACTCTGCAAATCCAGAAATAACAGCTCAGAACCCCAGGCTCCAGGCCCCAGCTGCTCTACCTACTAAAGATCACTTCTGTTTAAGTGCGGTCAAGAGTTAGGGGAATATGCACATATGTGGTGGGAGTGTATTTGTGTAAAGGAGTATTGGCGAAAGATTATAAAGATTATTTCTGATGTATTTCAGGTTAAGATAGAAGTCAATAGAGAAATGCTTATGTCAGGGATATTGGGGAATGGTTAAACAGAAATAAAAGAGCAAGATTGGTATAAAATGATGATCTTAGCTGGTATGCTTCTTATTGCATCAGGATGGGAAGGACAATGAAAAAATGGAATGACTATGTTTTTGAGTATATACAATCTGATATATTTGAACAGGTAATGACGGAAGATACATAGGAAAACAAATGTCAATTTTTTTTTTAATAAATGGGTAAGTTATAGGAATTGGATAGCACGGGGGGAAGCCAACCCAAGCATCCAAATTAGAATGAATAATCTGTGCACATGGTTAAAGATTTGAAGAGAGAACAATTTGGGGGGGGGGAGGGGTTAAAGGGGAGGGAGGAAGGGGGGAAATTGACTGAAAGTCATTGGAATCTTAAGAAGAACATGATACAATGTAACAAACACTAATATTTTCTTCCTATGGGTGATTTTGTTAAATGTTACTTTTTTCTAATTTCAATAAAGCATTTTAAAAAGCAAAAACAAAAAACGCTTCTGTTTAAGTACCCTGCTGCTCACAGAATCACTGGGCGAAAGCAGGATCCCATTCCAGAAAGGCACACCGCCAACACTTACCCATCTGTACTGCCTGGTCCAGGTGCTCAGGACAGAGGAGCTTCAAGCTCTTCATAGACTGGAAGCAGCCACTAGTCGCCGCGCAGGGGAAGTGATAGTGGCGCTGGCACCCCTCTGCATGGCACGGAATGGTAGCACCCCGTCTCTTACAGTGTTCACATTTCTGGAAGGAAGAAGAAGACGTCGCGGGTTCAAAAAGACGTTCATTTTTCATAAATACCCTAACAAGGCCTGGTTAACTACAATAACATCCCTTCCCCCTTTTTGTAATAAATATAATAAATAAATATTTTTTTATTTATACCCCGCCCTTCCCGGTTCAGAAAACCGGGCTTAGGGCGGCTAACAACAAATTTAAAACACTTAATTGATGCAACAAAAAAACCAGTATAAAATAAGAGTATAAAATGTGGATAACAATAAATTCAGCATTCAAAAATCAATTTAGGGGGGAAGTCCATCCAATAAACATTAGACGATCACCAGGGCTAGCTGGCTAAATTAGTCCTATTTGGGCCAGCGAGGAGACCAGGGGAGAATTCACTGTGGGATCCCAGAGTGGGTAATCTTCATTAAAAAGGGGAGGGGGGGGGAATAAAAGATCAGGCTAAGTTCAAATTGAAAGCCAGGCCATCTCTCTCTCTCTCTCTCTTTTTGATGTTGTTTTGTTTTCTACATGGGTACTAATTCTTGTTTCTTCTTCTCTGCGTCTCATCTCACTCTACGCACTTGTACTATTGTACTTTTTTAATTTACCGATGAAGGATATAAAATAAAAACAGGTTCAGAAAGAGGGGACGGGGAGAACTTCTCTTCCTGCAGAGAATGGGAGCCTTAGATAGGTCAGAACACCCAGAGCTGAGATACAGCTGCCACCAAAGACAGGAACCATTCATTGTTCAGACTACGGCTGAGGAACAGCCACCTTTAAGATCGAGGTAAAGGTAAAGGGACCCCTGACCATTAGGTCCAGTCGTGACCGACTCTGGGGTTGCGGTGCTCATCTCGCTTTATTGGCCGAGGGAGCCGGCGTACAGCTTCCAGGCCATGTGGCCAGCATGACTAAGCCGCTTCTGGCAAACTAGAGCAGTGCACGGAAATGCCGTTTACCTTCCTACCAGAGCGGTACCTATTTATCTACTTACACGTTGACGTGCTTTCGAACTGCTAGGTTGGCAGGAGCAGGGACCAAGCAACGGGAGCTCACCCCGTCGCGGGGATTCGAACCACCAACCTTCTGATCGGCAAGTCCTAGGCTCTGTGGTTTAACCCACAGCACCACCCGCGTCCCTTAAGATTGAGAGACCTGCTTAATTCACTCTGGCAAATTGCCTGCGGGACCTGGACGCTTCTGAGCACCCATCAGACCTTCACCTGCGCTGCACAGCAGTTTCCAAACCTGGAATTCACTTTTGTGCAGGACTGGTACCCGTCGCATCAACTCATTTAAACACAAACTTCTTGTCCAGATGTCAGATCTCCAGCCTGGTCCAAGGCAAACCTAAAGAGGCTGTAGCCAGGGGTGGACAGGAAGTGGACTGGAATCTAATGGCAGATTTCCAGTAGGCCGGCAAGGATTTTCAACTCGTTTAATAACAAAATACCACCCAGGTTAAATTATACTGATGAAATGGAGAAAGGTGGGAATACTCAGGAGGACTGAAAGCTTCCTTCAGTTCTGCTACTATAACCAAATCCCTAGGCTCATCCTCTTTAATTCTAAGTACATGCCTTTTGTACCAGGCTCGGGTCTGGTGGGTCTTGGGGGTTCTAGTAAAAAAACAAACAAAGTGGATCCCGCGAGGCTGAAGTCTGCCAGCCCCTGGGGTATACACACAGCCTAATTATCCTGAAAGCATTCCTGAGCTCTTTATTGTTCCCAGAGCTTCCCTTCCAGGTCCTCAGTCGCTGGGGGGGAAAAGGGACCGGCAAGGGCTTTAGGGAATAACACTTAAAAACAAAAAATCTCCAAGCTTCTGCTAATGAAACGAAAGCCACAAACTGGGAGAAAATTGGATTTGCCAACCTAGTGTGAATGCAATGCAACACAGCCGGGTTTCAGGATGTGTTTTCCGGGAGAGAAAAAAAGGAGGAAAGTTTGGCATGTTTGTGCTCCGTTGGTCAGAGGGTGAAAAGGGGTGAGAGGCTCTGTGCAATTCTCCGGTCCTCACGAGAAAGTATACTTGAAAGGAGGGTTGAGGAGTGTCCACCTGGTAGCTACATGTTGAATGAAACTTTGTGCTTTAATCACTGGATTCCAGTACAGTGGTACCTCGGGTTAAGAACTTAATTCGTTCCGGAGGTCCGTTCTTAAGCTGAAACTGTTCTTAACCTGAAGCACCACTTTAGCTAATGGGGCCTCCCGCTGCCGCTGCTGCGTGATTTCTGTTCTCATCCTGAAGCAAAGTTCTTAACTCGAGGTACTATTTCTGTGTTAGCGGAATCTGAAACCTGAAGCATATGTAACCTGAAGCGTATGTAACCCGAGGTACCACTGTATTCACTCTCAAGTTGCAACCAGTCTAGCAAATATGGCTATTACAATTTAACTTCTCTTATGCTAGAGTTGTCATATTTCAAAAAGTAAAAACCCCGACACAAAAGATGTTGAGCTTTTTCTGCAGAAATCTCTTTTTTTTTTAATGTAGTTTTGGAGCTATTTTTAAGGAAATTCGCCAAAATCGACACTCCCGACATGGGTTGCCATACATCTGGATTTTCCCGGACATCTCAGAGATTTCCACCCGGACGCTGTTTATGACGAGCGAATCCCGGCTACGTCCAGGAAATTCCAGGCGTATGGCAGTCCTATATTATGACCAAGGTGCTATCCTGCTCCTGCAACAGGATTTGCTACAGCAGGAATTAGGGGATGAAGAATTTGTCCCTGGTCCTTTCCCCAGACAAAAGGAGGGGAAACCCCACAGGTTACTGATTCCCAACATATTTAAGGACTGCATCAGGATGTAACTTGAGGGTGAGGAAATGTATTTCAAAAGAATCATAGAATTGCAGAGTCAGAAGGGACCCCGAGGGTCATCCAGTCCAACCCTCTGCAATGTAGGATTATAAGGTAGGTAAAGGTAAAGACACGGGTGGTGCTTTGGGTTAAACCACAGAGCCTACGACTTGCCAATCAGAAGGTCGGTGGTTCGAATCCCCGCGACGGCATGAGCTCCCGTTGCTCAGTCCCTGCTCCTGCCAACCTAGCAGTTCGAAAGCACCTCAAAGTGCAAGTAGATAAATAGGTACTGCTCCAGCGGGAAGGTAAACGGCGTTTCCGTGCGCTGCTTTGGTTTGCCAGAAGCGGCTTAGTCATGCTGACCACATGACCCGGAAGCTGTACGCCAGCTTCCTCGGCCAATAGAGCGAGATGAGCACTGTAACCCCAGAGTCGGTCACGACTGGACCTAATGGTCAGGGGTCCCTTTACCTTTAAAGGTAAAGGACCCCTGGACAGTCCAGTCCAGTCAAAGGTGACTATGGGGTTGCGGCGCTCATCTCGCTTTCAGGTTGAGGGAGGAGGCGTTTGTCCACAAACAGCTATCCGGGTCATGTGGCCAGCATGACTAAACCGCTGCTGGTGCAACAGGAGACTGTGATAGAAGCCAGAGCACACAGAAACACTGTTTACCTTCCTGCCGCAGCGGTACCTATTTATCTACTCGCACTGGCCTGCTTTTGAATTGCTAGGTTGGCAGGAGCTGGGACAGAGCAACGGGAGCTCACCCCATCGGGGGGATTCAAACCGCTGACCTTCTGATCAGAAAGTCCAAGAGGCTCGGCGGTTTAGACCACAGCGCCACCCGCGTCCCTTCAGAGGATTATAGTATTTCTTAAGGTGTATTCTGTGCTCCATGAGGAAAGCGGTTCCTAGAGTTTTGCCTAGGATGTTGCTCTGGGAGGACTGTCCTAGAGCACCCCATATATTCCTGGCCCACCCCACACAAGAGCTAAAAAGTAACATGCCCCCCTGCAGCACAGCTGAGTGCCGACAAACCTGTGCAATCCCTGAGATGACAGCTTTGTTCACGAGGCTCAACCATGACCCTTCCGAACGCAAGTCTCCGGCCGACCACACCACGCACCAGTGATGAGCCCAGAAGTGACCTGCACAAACAGGAAGAGGAAGACAGTCAACAGGGCAGCAAAGCAAATATCATCAAAGGCACACACTCAGGAGCCTGGGGAATTAGGAATAATAATAATAACACCGTATTGGCCTGAATATAAGCCTCACTTTTTCCCCCAAATTTTGACCGTGAAAAGTTAAAAGTGCAGCTTAAATTTGCGACCTTACAAAAATTGGCTTTTACGATATTGCTGCTGAAACAGACATACGGTAAAACAGAATGGGAATCCCTGCAGAATTTTAAGGGAGCGGCTTATATTAGAGTATTTTCTTTTTTCCCCTTGAATTTTAAAGGTGTGGCTTATATTTGGGGTAATACAACAACAACAACATCATCAACAACAACAACAATAATTAATTTTTACCCCGCCCATCTGGATGGATTTCCCCAGACACTCTGGGCAGCTCCCAACATAATATTAAAAACTCGATAGAACATCAGTCCTTAAAAACTCCCCTAAACAGGGCTGCCTTCAGAAGTCTTCTAAAAGTCAGATAGTTGTTCATTTTGGGGGGCAGAGATGAGTTCTGGGCCAGAAAGAAACATCTAAGCGTGTGTGCTTAGCTCCAGGAGTTAATCTGCTCTTTAAATCCAAGTATATGCTCTCAAGTCACTACCAGGTCCCTGGTTTTGTGTATGGGTGTGCATGTGCGCATCTCAGGTTGGCAAGGCTGTCCTACTGCAATAGCTTTAATAAATGCATGGCATCTTGGGTTGGCAAGGTACCCAGTTTGTGTGTGTGTCTGCGTGTGCGTTTGTGTGCATGCATTCATGAACAGCTGGTTGACAAGGCTGTCCTATTGCAACAGCTTTAATAAACACGCAGTCCCTCCCAGGTGCTGGACCCGTTTTATTTCCTTGGTTCTGTGGTGCGTTCCCTCACCTGGGTAATGAACACAGTGCTGCAGAAGTAAATTCTTACCATGCCGGTACAAAAAGAAAAAGAAAAGATTCTGCAAACTTGAAGTCTGCACTCCCCGCCCTCCTGATTTACTCTAACCTGAGCCCTCTTGATAAAAAAAAAGAGGGATGTATTGCTAAATCAGAAGCCAACCAGCTTTTAAGATATCCGTGAATTTTGGATGCTGATAACCAAGAATTATTCAAAACGTAATAGTGGATTATATATCTACATACAAAATAAAATAATATGAATCTGTGCAAGGAATACAGGTAACATAAGTAGTATAATGAGAATTATTGGAAGTTACATATTTTAATTTGTTATGTAAGCATAATATATTGTATTTGTTTATGTTTGTTTTTCTAACTTTTTTACTTTATTGTTTTTATTAATTTGTATCGTCTTTTGTATTATATGTTATGTATATTTGTCCATGTGAAAATTAATAAATATTTTCTATTATAAAAAAAAGATTTCTAGGCTACACAGAGACATTAGGAAAGGGAGCTTTGGCAAGGGCATAATGGCGCTGGGGTAAGGTGGAGGGGTGCCAGGCTAGGCTCCTCTCAGCCATGGTTCCTCGGCGCCTCCTGGGCTCACCTGTTGGCTCAAACACCTCTCGCACTGCCACACCATCCGCAAAGCCAATCAGGGTCAGGTCATCGCCTCCAGCCTCCGCCGAGCCAGGCTGCTTCCCTTCCTGCGGCTCCGAAAGCTCGTCCGCCCAGCCAGGCGCCGGATCGAAGCGCAACAGCTCTCGCTGCCCGTGAAGGCTCCACTTGCTGCAGTTGCAGAATGCGCAGCGCTTGGGCGGGGAGCTAGGAGGAAGGAAGAGATGAGAACGTGCTCGTCGTTGCTGGGAAAATCTGCCCCCTTCCAACCCGCAAGGGTGGTCCCACCCAAAATATCCCAAGGGGCCACTTTGATCTGGAAGCATGCAAGATCCAGGCCTTCTGTCCTCCAGTCCCATTTGGGCATCCATGACGGACTCCCTGTACCATAGCTGTCAACTTACAGATTTGAAAATAGGGACCAGCAGCCAAAATAAGGGATTTTCCAAGCATAGGTATGTTCAACTACTGAGCCCCTCCGAGCCAAAGGCAGAAAGCCCAGCCAGCAGCCAAACGAAGCCTCAAGCGGTGGTTCCCACAGCGCAGCAACCCGGCAAAGGGGATGCAGTGAGGAAAACCACCGTCACCTCTCCACTGGGAAGCGCTGAGCAAAGGCGATTCCCCAGGCAAAGCAGCCGATTTGATCGGCACAAGGCATGCAAGCTCCACCCCCCAGTCGTTCTTAGACTCCTTTTTGGGTGAGGAACGCAGCCAAGCAACACAGTTGGAGCCTCCCTCCTCCCTGGCCAGCAGGGAGGGAGGGAGAGGAGCTGCTTCCTTTTAAACCCGGGAAATTTAAGGGACATCATCAATAAGGGACAGCAGCGGGACATGGTGCTGGGATAAGGGACTTTCCCGCCAAATAAGGGACGGTTGACAGCTATGCTCTGTACCCATCCGATGCCAAGCAAAGGCTCCGGATTCCCCTTCAAACTCTTTCCTGGATTCTCCTACTACGGTTTGTTAACCTTGAACCCTCGAGAGCCTCCCCATTCAGAAGAAAAGAGCTCCAAGGGAAGGGGGGGGAACACTGCCGAAGGTCTCCCACCTGCAGGTCGGGGGTGGCTCTGCTTTCGCTTCCGCTTCTTCCAACGCCTCTTTTGCAGGGCCTTCTTCCGGTGGCTTCAAGGGATCAGCTTCCACGCTGCCCTGCTCCTCCAAGGACACAATTCCATCTGCTGCTGCAAGAGGGTATTTTGTCAAAAGCCGGGCAACCGGGTAGGAAGCGCATTGCTCGTGTCACTTTCCCTGCCCAAACTGAGGACTTCATAGAGGAGTGATACGAGATATGAAGGCCTGAGGGGGAAATGAATGGGGGGGGAGGAAGTCTCCGCTCCTCCACATTTTTTCTGGGTCCCCCCACCCCAGACCTTCACGTGTCTAGGGGGGAATATATGCATTATCAAGCTCAATTGCTGACAGGAATAGATGCTACGCTTGATTTTACCCAAAAGGCCGAGAAGCCATGGAACATGCCTTTTTTCACTGCCAGTACCATACAGATATACAAGCTAAGTTCATCTTGCCTACACTACATAAATTTCCAGGTCACACAGAACAACTTTATGCCTCCTTGCTACTTCAAGATGAAACTCCAGATGTTACATACTCAGTTGCTAGATTTTGCACCGCTATTCCAGATATTTGTCGAAGGATGGTTTGCGCCACAAACTAGGCCCAAAATGCAAGACCTGTGCTCCTTCATGCTCCCTCCTTCAAAGTCGCTTCTAACCGTTAGTCCTTGTTTCTATCTTTTAAAGTTATGTATGATACAATGGGACGCGGATGGCACTGTGGGTTAAACCACAGAGCCTAGGACTTGCAGATCAGAAGGTCGGCGGTTCGAATCCCCACAACGGGGTGAGCTCCCGTTGCTCGATCCCTGCTCCTGCCAACCTAGCAGTTCGAAAGCACGCCAAAGTGCAAGTAGATAAATAGGTACTCCTCCGGCGGGAAGGTAAACAGCGTTTCCGTGCGCTGCTCTGGTTCGCCAGAAGCAGCTTAGTCATGCTGGCCACATGACCCGGAAGCTGTACACCGGCTCCCTCGGCCAATAAAGCGAGACGAGCGCCGCAACCCCAGAGTCGGCCACAACTGGACCTAATGGTCAGGGGTCCCTTTACCTTATGATATAATCACCTTTCAGCTACTAGTTTTTATCCCTTGCCTGTTTTAAGTCTTACATGTTCAGTTTATCCGTATGTTTTATTTTATGCTGGTCTGTGACTAAAATAAAAGTTTGGTACCAATATTGATACCTCTGACAGAAACGAGACCCAGCTCAGGACCAGTTTAACATAATCTGTTCACCTGACAGCTTCAACCTGCAGAACTGGCACTTTTGCAAAATGCCACATAATGTTTCTTCCATACTTGCACAAAGGCAATATTTCATATTTCCTCACTCTGGAATTCCCTGCTGATTGAGATTCGGCAGGCACATTGACTCTACTGTTTTTAAGGCTCCTACTGATTTTTTGTTTGCTTTACCAAGCCTACACAGATACAGATGGATGACGTGTATTTTAAAATGCAACACTATTTCATAACGCGTATATTTATATTTCTATTGATGCTGGTTTTATTTCTATTTGGGAGAGAGCAGAATGTAGGTGGTCTTCCGCTCTGACGCTCATCCGTCATTTTAACGTCAGTCTCTCAGGTTAACAAGATTTACAAGTTGCTAAACAAACGAAAACATTGGTTTGCCACACACACAAAAAGACGGCCGCATGTTGAGTTCTCCCATGCATAGCATCTACTCCAATGTGTCCTGAGGTGGTTACAAGGGGTGATTCGTTGCCTCCCTAGAGTGCAGTCAATGATGGCCGACAGAGGCGGGATTAACGCACACTGCCATGGTGTCAAGGCACACAGCCAGCAAAACTACACATCAGAGAAGGAACTCAGCACACTGCTCCTGTGTTCAACGGCAGCCCAATATTCTCTGTCACCCGCAGTTCCTCCCTAGACTGCAAAGGGAAGAAAAACTACCACTCTGGTGCGTTTAATTCTGGAAGGCTGTATTCTTCGCCGTCTTTTTTTTTTGGTGTTACATTTCCTTAAAAATATGAAAATGGCTGATCCTTGGTTTCTGACAAAAACTCTTTTATTATTTGAGACGGCCTTTTCTCTTGTAAAAAGGTAAAGGACCCCTGGACGGTTAAGTCCAGTCAAAGGCGACTATGGGGTTGTGCTGCTCATCTTGCTTTCAGGTTGAGGGAGCCGGCGTTGGCCCACAGACAGCTTTCCAGGTCATGTGGCCAGCATGACTAAACCGCTTCTGGTGCAATGGAACACCGCGACGGAAACCAGAGCGCACGGAAATGCCGGTTACCTTCCGCCACAGTGGAACCTAATTATCTACTTGCACTGGTGTGCTTTCGAACTGCTAGGTTGGCAGGAGCTGGGGCAGAGCAATGGGGGCTCACCCCATCGCAGGGATTTGAACCGCGACCTTCCGATCAGCAAGCCCAAGAGGCTCAGTGATTTAGACCACAGTGCCGCCCAGGGGTCCTTTACCTTTTCTCATTCATTTAAACAATTTATCTAACAAGAAATAAAAATACTGAAAAGATAAAAATTGGGTGAAAACTATAAAACCGGGCTTCGGTGAAAATGCTTGCTGGAATAAAGACTTTTAAAAAAAATAAAGTATTTTTTATTAAAGATTTTCATGGTTTACAAAAATACTTGCATTGTCTCTTTTGTTCAGGTTGTGTTTTATACAGATCAATTACATTTGTTGTGAGACATTGCCGTTGTATGCAGTACAGTGGTACCTCAGTTTCCAAATGTAATCCCTTCTGGAAGACCGTTCAAGTTCCGAAACGTTCAAAAACTGAAAACTCAATACGGAAAACTCAAAACAGAAGCCAAGTTTGACTTCCGAAAAGTGTTTGAAAACCGAAGCATTTATTTCCAGGTTTACGGCACTTGAAAACCAAAATATTAGTCAACGGAGACGTTCAAGAACTGAGGTACCATTGTGTAAGGTTAGGGGAAAGAGAGGAAGGAGAGGGGTGTGTGATAAACATATTCTTTTACTTAGTGTATGTGTGGGGTGTTCTGTCAGCGTCACTTGGGTAGGTTGGAAGGCCGTGTTCTTGAAAGCAGAGGAGAGCTCTGGAGATCTCTCCCCTCTCATGACCACAGAATCTGAACCTCTTGTGGAGGCAAACTACTCATCAACAGACGCCAAACTGGGGCACCTACCTGGTGTGTCAGAGTCTTTGTCCTCACCAGGTGGTTTCTGATCATCCATCCTGTATCCAAGAGACCTAGGCAAGAAGGAAAACAGCTCAGGAAACTTTCTTCTCCCCAGCCGTGTTTTGCTCTTAGCCTCTCACTAGGTTTAAACAGTGCCACATAAGCCATGTTGTGGTCAAGCCCCATTATTTATTGTTACTATCAATTTATTAATCACCTTCCAAACCACCATCTCAAAGAGATATATAGTCATACCTTGGATCTCGAACCCTGCAAACCTGGAAGTGTTCCAGTTTGCGAAGTGTTCCAGTCCGAACGCGGCTTCCGCTTGAGTGCAGGAAGCTCCTGCAGCCAATCGGAAGCTGCGCCTTGATTTTTTAACATTTTCGGAAGTCGAACTTCCAGAACGGATTCCGTTCAAGAACCAAGGTACGACTGTACACATAAGATCATTAAAAACTGTTAAACACAGGGAAACAACAAATACATTTAAGACGAGACTGAAAGCCCAACAAATGCAAGAAAGGAAAACTTCACATGTTGATACACACCAGGTTCTGCACTCAAGACATAGAATTTTCATTTACATGCACTTGCTTTGTATAATCTACTCCTCTTCCTTAATCAATAGCTCTTGGAGGCAAGCACTGGGGCTCTGGGAGGGATGGAGGCAGGCAGAAGAGGCTGTGCAAGAACTGCGAGAGGAGGAGGACAGTGACCTACTAGAAGCCCAGATCAATAGCATCCTAAGAATTGCCGCCTACACCCTGCTAAACTTCCCTATGCATCAAAGAGGACCAACATTAGGAATAAAATGGGAAAAACAACTGTCTCCAGATTACCTGCAGGTATGTAATAAATGCAACTATCCTTTCTCCCCCAATTAAGCTCAGGTAATGTAAAAACAAGCAAGCCTGCTTCTCTCTACCCCGCCCCCAAACTCCCATTTCCAAAAACTCTCCCATTTTTCCAACAAATGGGAATAGGTAAAATGGCTTCTGCCTAAGCAAGGAGCATCGGGGTCCGGAGCTGTAGGAAATCCTCAGACTATTCTAGGTTACATTGGGGAAATTGTGGCACAATGAACTCTTTTTTCCCAGTAGTTGGGGCAGCGGGGCTTGCTGTAAAACACAAAAGGCAATGGGTAGAAATACTGGATCACATATATCAAAGGATATTCCATCCCTTTGGAACCTCTAACAGTATTGTTAGAGCACCTCTCTTTGCCCCCCCCCCCTGCCTAATTTGAATATATTTGATTAATTTAACAGCAGCTGTATTTCAAATACACTGGAAAAATAAAACACCTCCACCCCAATATCACAGGATGGTGTTTTAAGATTTGGACACCCTAACGATGGTTAACATCTCCAGTTAATTGAAAATGATATCAGGCTCTAAATACTTCGACAATTTGCTTCCCTATTTCTTAACACACTTTGACTCCTTGAAGCCTCTTCAAAAAGGAGTCTAAAATTAAACTGTAATAAGCATTATCCTAGCAAAAACACCCAGCTCTGTGGCGCACAGGGTATTTTATCTCTTTACTGTCAAATGTTAACAGGAATTTAACAACTTTGTAATTCCAGTGTTTAGCTTTCTTCCAGCCCAAGCAGAAAAGAAAATAAATTTTAAGGTCTAGTGATGAGAGGCCTGGCCTTGTTGACATGGAAATGCTTCCCTCCCCCAATCATTAATTCAAAAGCTATGACCATAAAACCAGATCTCACAAGCCCCTTGTACAAAGGTGCAATTGCTCCACGTTGCACAACCAACACAGGAGATACAGAAACCTTGAGCGATGTGAATGCACGTCTAGATCACCACCTGTGCAAGCGGGTTTTGAAGGCTATGGGGTTTAAAGGGAGCAGAGATTTTGCATCTCTTTTCAATGCTGCGACCGTCACTCCAAGATTTCACTACAAAGGCATGGAATAAATCCAAAATAAAGCCAAGATTCAATTTCCCTAACCTGAAAGTCGCCTCTTTCACGGCAACAGTAATAAAAGTAACTCCAAAACCAACCACCCCCGTTTTTAAAAAACAAACCAGAGTTCTCGCCCCACGGAAACACAGGAAGCAAAAGCGAAGAGCAGTCTGTGCAAACGCTGGCAATATTAAAGGTCACACGGAGCACTTTAAAGGGGGGTGGGGAATCTGATCGCACATCAATACAGTGACACAGAAACGCTCCATTAATTCAGGTTTTTCAGTACCTAGTCTCTTCCGATGAACAGCGGCAGACAGAACCTCTGGATTTACCAAATCCAAACTCTGTAAGCAACAAGAATCTTATCCAATCAAAATATATTTGCGGGGGGGCGGGGGCGGGCATGTGTGTGAAGGGGGCACTGGTGGGCACACTTACATCTCTTTGGTTGCCAACGGCCTTCAGATATCATTCTGCAATTCCATATAGAAATGGCCTTCTAAATTATTGCAACCATGTGACATTTGAGGCCTCCCGTGAGGAAGATCCCACCTGATTCCTTGGCCAAACCCTTAACGGGTTTCATCGCTGTCCTTGACGGGCCCAGCCCAAAGTTATTTTGGGGCAACCAAGAAAACCCAGCGTTTCTTACAGTGTAAAGGGTTCTCCAAAGCGTCACATACACTCCCCCCCAGTATGTAGTAAAAACAGCCCCACTGAATTCATGCAGAATCCAAATTCGTGACTACTCCCATCAGAATTAAGTACCACACACACCCCAGATCACACGGAGCCTTACTGAATACAGTGGTACCTCAGGTTACATACGCTTCAGGTTACAGACGCTTCAGGTTACAGACTCCGCTAACCCAGAAATATTACCTCAGGTTAAGAACTTTGCTTCAGGGTGAGAACAGAAAACGTGCTCCGGTGGCACGGCGGCAGCAGGAGGCCCCATTAGCTAAAGTGGTGCTTCAGGTTAAGAATGGACCTCCAGAACGAATTAAGTACTTAACCCGAGGTACCACTGTACTTTACTCACTCCATAAGTGGAGTAAATCATCACAGAATTATTTGGGACAGGACTCCCCTGGACTTCTGGTGGTTCCCTCACGGCAAGAAGTGAGGTTGCAGGGAACCAGGCCTAGGGCCTTCTCAGTAGTGGCACCCAACCCATGCAACCCCATCAGATGTCAAGGAAATAAACATATGTCTTTTAAGAGACATGTGAAGGCAGCCCTGTATAGGGAAGTTTTTAATGTTTGATGTTTTGTTGTGTTCTTAATATTCTGTTGGGAGCCGCCCAGGGTGGCTGGGGTAACCCAGTCAGATGGGTGGCATAGAAATATCATCATCATCATCATCATGTAAAGCAGGAAGAGGTCCACTGGCATTTACACAGACCGACCTCACTCAAAACATTCAGAGGGGCAGAAAGCAGCTGTGGCAACAGCAAACATCTAGTAAGATGTCTGAGAAAAGGCCTCTCTATAATCTGCCAGGTTCAAAAGAGAAAGTAGGGACGCATGAAAGTAGCCACAAGACAACAAGCTCCCAGGACAGCCAGGGACTGCACCTGGAACCACCCACCAAAAAAGGAGGCCACGCGACGAATCGAAAAGTGGCATTTTGGGCCAGAAGTTAAGCAAAGGTGATTAGAGGAAGGGCCAGGCCTAAGGTTCAGGACTCTGGGTGCTCCTCCTCAACTAAGCCTCCCGTTCCTCTGTTTTGGGGGTGAGTTAGGACAAGGCACCCAAAGGGGCTCACTATGGAATATACATTTAGGAGCTCCTGCTTAAAGTCATTCTGGAAGGGAAAGGGTGGCTTTCTCCAAATCTTTATACTTTTTAGTCCAGGAACGAGGGAGACTCCAAAACCTTCATTTGCTTCCAGCTAGGCCACCCCACTTCCAGCGGAGAAGAGGAGGCCAGACTGTGTCTCCTCTTTCTCCGGACCAAATTGCACCACTTCCCACTTTCTGCCCCAACTGACAGCGCTCCTCACTTTCTGGCCTCCCCTTCGGAAGATGTCTGCTCCCTGGTGGCTTGGACCTGTTGCCATAGCGTCTGCGGAACCTCTGTCTCCTGCAAATGGAAGTCCCCTTCCCTGGAGAGAAGCCTTTTAACCCTTTACCAAGGCACCCATCTTTCCCCCTGCCCCACCCCAAGCCCAAGAGCTGCCCTCCATCAATCTAGAATATGTTGCCTTCCCTGTTAAGGTGGGTTTCTCAGTCTCACCTTGGGAATTCGTACAAGATATTCTCACTTGCATTGTGAGACTTCTGAGCCCTAGCAAACTAGCAAAAGGGTGTGCAGGTGGATGCATTATCCTAGACTTCCCCAATTTGGTCCCAACCCCAGAGATGTTGCACTAAAACTCCTCATCGCTGCGGCTGGAGAAAGTTAGAATCTGTGGCATCGTGCAGCTGGGCTCACATCGGTGGCGTATCAGGACAGGTGCCCAGAACTGCCCCACGCACCAGTCAACCTCTGAGACCCAAAGATCTGGAGGGAACCAGGTGAGGGAATGCCGCATTCTTTTATAACCAAAGGATATCCCCCTTGTGTACAGGAGCCAATCCACTGGTCTTCAGCTGGTGGTTATGACCCACAATCTGAGGAACACTCCACGCAAAAGTGGGCCAAATTCAAGAGAAAATGGGGGTGGGGGGAGAGACGTAAAGATAGACACATGGGGCAAAACCCTGGCACGTGGTTAAACATATTGTGAATATTGGCGCTAGGGGTTAATGGTGGATCCCAGGTCGGAAGAGAACGAAGATCACTGCCTTTATTGACTCATTCACATTCTCTTTGGTGTTTAGCGGCACAAGAGAAAAGGGAGATCACACTGCCTAAATTTCTGTGAACCAGGCTTGCCATGTGTCCTCTTTTCCTAGGACACACCCTCTTTTTCAGGGGTAAAATTTCTGCCTGGGTGGGTTTTTTAAAATTTGACAAAATGCTTCTGGCTATACAGTGGTACCTCAGGTTACATACGCTTCAGGTTACAGACTCCGCTAACCCAGAAATAGTGCTTCAGGTTAAGAACTTTGCTTCAGGATGAGAACAGAAATTGGGCTCCGGCAGCGGTGGCGCAGCAGGAGGCCCCATTAGCTAAAGTGCAACTTCAGGTTGAGAA